ATTCATTACTCTGCCATTGCACCTATCGCCCGACGGGACTCAGCGCGCGGCTTCTCGCGGCAAATCGGGTTTCTTTTAGGAAGCATCGCCGGCCTTTTTTTACACCTCTTTTTTCATTCGCCGCGACGTTCCGCTCTGGGCCGCTCGCCCGCCTCGATTCCCGTTTGTATTTCGCGTTATCGAAGGCGCCGCGACCGAGCGCGAAGACGATATTTCGAACAGCAATCGGCTCTTGCGCGATTGCTTTTGGAAATACTTTCCGAAAGAAGACGCGCCACGCTCGGTCGGCTGGTCGCCATTGTTCTCCCAGAGACAACGGCGCGCTCTCTTGCTTCGAGTGGGAGCGGTCGCCACCTGCCTCGAGGGTCACGCATCGATCCCGCAAAGCCCTCTTTGACGTAATAAGGGAAAACGGTAGTGCGGCTCGACGGGGATAGGCGCGCCACTCTCTCTCTCTCTCTCTCTCGCTCGTCGCATCCGCAGAACCGGTTGCAGAACGCTCTGCCCGCTGGATTTATGTCTGCTCTCGTGCCGGGCGTCCGCGTCGCCGTGCGAACAAAGGACGAAGCTTGCCCGTGCTTATTTTCGTCCCGATCGCTATTCTCTTTTTGCGCTTTTCGCGAGTCGCCGCCTCCTCAAGGATCCTTATTTAACCGTATTCAAAAATAGACCGTTAGCGCGGACGAGGTGGTCCGGCAAGGAGAAACCCAGGGGTTTTCTGCGGGGCACCTCTGTCGCGGCCTCGATACCAGCGCAAATTGCAGCGGGCAAAGAGGCTTTCTTGATGCAATTGTCAGTCGACTCGAAAAACAAATACGGACCGCCGATTCGATCAGCACGGGAAGCACGGGAAAATAAAAAGTCTCCCCGTCGTTTGACGTGCACGCGTATGCTAAGTAAGGCTCGGCGTCGCGTGACTCGCGTTACAGGTGCTCCCACCTGCCGACTCGCGGTCTAGCGCTTTGACCGATAAGATACATCTTTCGTCGAGGGGCTGGCGAGGACACTCGAAGCACCGAGTCCGATTAACGTTCGCGCGCCTTGTGCCCTCGATCTCCTAACTACTGTACCGTCGGTTTCAAAATGACGGCCGCTTGGCTTCCGGAGCTTGTATTCTTGCGAGAGGAAAGAAAATAACGAAAATCGTACGAAAATGGGATTTGCAATCGATTCATTCGTCAGCGCTTCTTCTAGATCAATTAGCAGAGCCGTGGCGGCAATCGTGCGATTTCGTCAGAGAAGCTTGAAACGTCAAACGTCGGGCAACAAAATAAATTCAGCTTCTAGTCTTCCTGAGGCGACTGCGCTGGACTTAAAAAAATATTATAAATAGTTTATCTGTAAATAACAACCTCCGGCGATAAAAGACTACCTCGCGAACGGTTTGTTCGATTACTTTCGGATTAGATGCAAAACGTTAATAAGCTTTGAGCTTTTTAATTTTGCATAAATCTTTGAACCCGATAGCCGAAGTAAAATAGCATTTTTGAAAATGAATGCACGGCGAACGGAATGGCTTAACTTTTATAAGGTAGGACTTGAACATTTGAGTAATTTACGTTGAAAGATTTAGGAAAGATCGAGAAGCTCGGACGGAAGCTTTTCGATGTTTTGCCTCAGATTCGAATGTAATCGGACAGGTCACAAGACGGGATAATTTCTTTTTCGGAGACTGCCGTTTACGCGTAAACTAATTGATTTTTTGCAATTCCAGCGGCGTTGCTTCAGGAAGACTTGAAATATTTTTTTCGTCCCGGCGTTTTCGCCTTCTCTGACGACAGCTGCGCGAGGTTACCCGTGTCGGAGTCAGCGTCAGCTCGAAAGGTCAGTGTTGTTTTTCCCTTTCGATTGGCGCCACGGCTTTGCTAGTAGATCCAGATGAAATAAACGCTTCGAAAGCGAAGCGACGGACAGATGCTGATTAATCCTGTCGATTCGCGATAGACAGGCTGTCGACTGGACGATACAGCGAGCGTGGCGCAATAACGAATAGAAAGGCGTTGTTTTTCCTTATCAATCGGCGAGCTACGTTCGATCTCGCTTATCGAAGCGATGTCCGAGGTGACTACTATCTACTTGACCATTCATCGATTTCGTCGACCTCCGACATGTTAATTAGCGAGGCGCTCGGGCGCTCGTTCCAACGAGGAGAAAGAAAGACGAGGATGCGAGCATGGTTTCTCGATTCCCGAGGAGATACAGAGTCGCCAAACAGTCTGCCACGAAGTGTTCCGCTTTCGTCGACGAGCGTCGCTGCTTCTGGCGCCTGGCCAAAGTGTACAATGACACGAATAAGCAATCTCAACGATTCGAAAACTCGTTGGACGCTCGCTGCCTTTGATTTTTGGCTTTTCTTTCCACTTTCCTCCTCGCGTGCATTTCGATCGGGGAACCAGCTCTCGGCCCGTTCCGATGAATTTAACGCGACGTTACTTCGGAAGGTAGAGGCTTGTGCTGTCGTCGCGCCAATTAACTGGACGATCGCGGTTTTTCCGTCAGCTGCAGCTCCAGCGCTCGGCGAACAAATCGACGCAGCGCGTGAAAGCGACGCCACGGAGTTCCCTCCGTTTGTTATTTCTTATTTTGAGCAACTTGTAGAACTGGTAGACGGCGCTCGTTTTATTTGGAGCCGCGCCGCGAACCGAAAATAGCTAATTGCCCGATGCGACGATCCGATAAAACACTATGTCCACAAATAAATCAAGCGGCCGGAGCGCAATAATAATAACGATAACGATAATAAGCGGCGCGTGCGCTCGGTATAAATGTAAATCTCGCGCTCGCGCGTTACGCAACGCGTCGGCTGAAAGGCACGACGCTGTGTTCTCGCGCGTTAATCAACCGGCCCCGATGATCGAGCGTTGAGGCTACAGTTGACGCGCGTCGCGCTTCCTCGCGCCATTAATCCCTCCGAAATTTTACGAGCCAACACGTGCCACGCCGCGCTCAGCAACTTTCTAATTATGCGACGCGCCGATAGTTCGTCGCGCCGCGGCCAAGTGTCGCCGCGACCCTCACCCAATTTCGCGAGACAATGCGTAATAAATTTATTACGCGCCGAAAATAAAAAAAAGAAAAAGGAAACGCGAGCGAGTTGCTCGATCTGCTTTCGCCTCGGAGAGGGGCAGGGAGAAAGACTTGATTCATCGCCGGCGAGCATTGTCGCATTGTCGCGGCGAGGACAAAGATCCTTTCGCTGAGTCGATAGTCGCGCGCTATTATTCAATTCGGCCGCGCGAGCAACGAAGAAAGTGCAACGCGCCGCGTACGGGCGTGAGTCACGCCGACGCGATAACGCAGCTCCTCATTGACAATTGCGCGTTTCAGTTTTTCTTTATTTTTTGTTTACACGGAGGCGGACCGACTCATTGCGCCTGTTATTCGAAGGAAAACTCGCTGACGAAGAAAGTCGCGGTTTTTTTCCGGGACGAATCGCGCGTTCGATTGTTATTAATTTGTACTCGCGAGTTTGCGATTGTTTTCTTTCTCTCGTCCGGAAACACTTGCCTTCGGCGAGAATGGCGCGTCTCTCGCGGCGTCGTCGCCCTGATTTCTGGTTCCGCCGCGATAACGAAAATGCCTCCTTCACGCGAACGCGCTCGATGCGACCTTTATCCAGTTGCAAGTACGCTCTTCGATTCGATAAGCGCCAATAATACTCTCTCGAGAAGCTTTCGCGTTCGGCTAGTCGGCGCACTGGATGACGTTGGAAACGGTAGCGCGGCGGGAATCGAAATGGGCTGCTTTTCGTCATTTTTCTCTTTTTCTCTCGCAAGAGTGGGATCGACGAGTCTTCGATCGCGTTCATGAATGGGATCCGGGGAGAGAAAAAAGGCATCGAATATTCACGCGAGAATACGCGAAGAGACGCGCGCCGCGGGTAAAGAGACTTCGCGGCTCAATGGAGTATCGAGACGGGCTCGCGAGCTCGCTAAGTAGGCACATAACGAACGCGTTGCACAACGCGACGCCTTGGTTAGAGCGTAGGCGCGATGCGCGCAATCGGAAGTAGGTGTAGACTCTGGCGTCGTTTTCGACGGCAACTTGGCAACGATCGTTGCTCCCCGACCGACGAGACTTCTCGTCCGGGGATAACGTTGCTAAGCTCGGAGAGATACGTCGGCAAGTTATTTTCACCCAGAAGTAGGAGAAGCTATTGAGTGGCGCCTTGGCGCCGTTAAAGCTGATTCGGGCTTTCATCATACTCGCGTTAAAGCTTATCACTCTCTCTCTCTCTCTCTCTCTCCTCTGACGTTCAGCGTGCGCGATTGTCTGCAGCGCTATATTCGCGCAATGGCATTTCGGCGAGTTTGATAATTAGGCGCGAGACTGCCGAGCGCGATCGTCATTATGAAATTCAGCTCTCCTTTTCTCTCGCGCCGACAAAAATTGTTTATCGTTGTTGCAGAGTAAACATATTTTTCAAAGCTAAACTTTATAGCCTTCTATTATCGTTTATTTGCATATAATGCATCGCGTCGGTTGAAATTGAGCAGTGACGGCGGCCGAAAGAGGCAGTCTCGCGCATCCTTTCCACCAAAAATTTTATTGTTACGTCGAGCAGTATCGCAGTTATTTTTAAACGCGCAGACATTCTTATCGCTCGCGATCTAGACGAAACCAACTCACAGTCGAACGTTGTTTTGCCCGCCTGGAATTCGTCGACATTGGCGTTCGTACCTGTACTCTCCGTTCGATCACTGCTTCGGAACGAAAGCAGGACGAGACAATCAGCTCATTAGTTGAGAGCGAGAGAGAAGAGGCAAAGCAGGCGCATGATAATTCACAATAGTTATCTCGGCGAGAGCGAAAAAAAAACAAACGCGCGCGCGAGAGAGAGAGAGAGAGAGTGGAGTACAGTAGTAAAGCAAGTAGTAGGGGAGAGGCAGTAGCGCGGCGGTGGCGGCGGTGGCGGCGGTGGCGGCGGCGGTGGCGGCGGCGGCGACGGCGGGGCAATAAAAGAAGGTAGGCGCAGGCGGGGACGCACAGTGTTAGCGAAACGTCCTTTCGGTGCGCGCACGCGGCGGCCGACAGCGCGAGATCCAGTTCGGCTTCTGGCAGCACGCACGCGTGTGGTGCGCCGGCGCCACCCACCCAGTAGTGCTGCGAATCCCTGACAGTGCGCCCGTATTATCGCAGGCGCGGTTGTGACGAAAGGTCAACCTCCGTCTTTCTCTCTCGTCGTTGTTTTTATGACGGTGTGCTTTGGCCGAGGAAAACGTGCGCTGCATGTTATGCGCCGAGCAGCAGCGCCCAAGGAAACAAAAGAGCAAGCGAGTTCCGATAAACATTGAGGATGTCGAGTAGTGTGTGTCACGCTCCACTCCCGGCGAGGATGGAGGCCTTCACGACGCGTATTTGCCTTAGGGCGGTAGATCAGTACGAGAAGCTTCTACAGTCTCATTTCAACAAGGTTCGTTTTTCCTCTCTCCCTCTCACTCTGTCTCTCACTCTCTCGTATAAATACGCAATCACGCATAGTTCGGGACGGCGCGTGTCGCGCGTGTCGCGCGTGTCGCGCGCGTCGCGCGTTCGAGGAAAACAGGCAGCGCGACCGAGCGGCGTTTCGTTATTAATGCGCGAGCCCCAGGCGACGAACGGTGCAGAAAAGAGAATATCGGACGAAGGAGGGCCATCGATTCGTCGCGGCGACGAGAACGAACGGCCGAACTCTCGTTGAAAAGCCGCACGCGAAAGTTTGGCCGGGCGCGTAGGCGTGGGATTTCGGAATCACCGTTAAGCTCTTTCCTCGAGCTCTCCTGGCGCTCGTGCGTCACGCCGAGAGTCCGAAGTCGAGAAAGTCGCGGCAGCCCGTTCTCCTTTTCTCCTTTTCTCCTTCTCGCCTCTCTCGCCGAGAGGTCCGCGTCGCGCGTGTGCGCGTTCACGGCGGCGCTTTTCCGTGGGAAACGCGCGCGCAGGAGTGCCTTCCGCGGGAAGGGCGGCCGCCGCCGAGAGGAAGGAGCGCGCGGCTATTTATAGGGTCGGAGCCCGCCGAGCCCGTTCTCGCCGCGCGAACAGACCGCGCGGCGGCCCTTTCCCAGCGCGAGCCGCACACGTGCGTGCCGCGCGCGCGCGCACGCGCCTCCGAGGTCGAGCTCCGCGAGAGGAGCTCGCGCGCCCGGCGGCTCGCGTGCCGATCGTCGCGCGCGCGCGCGCTTCCTCTCCGGGCCGGAGCCGGACGCTCGATCGCTCCGCGGGCACTCGCATCCGGCGCGCGGACGTTATCGCGCGTCCGCCGACGGTCCCCTCGGTCGCGCCGTCTTCGAGGAAGCGCGCGAGTCAACGACCACGGCGATGCGAACGGGCCACGCGAGGCCACTAGCGTGCACCTCGCTCCGCTGCGCGATTCGACGCGCGCCGCCGACCTTTCGGCGAAATGTCTCGACTGCATATAAATAGATTGGATCAGGTGTGCGTCAGCGAGGTTGCGCAATGTTTGATTTTTCTTTCTTCGTTATTCCTGCTTTTAAATCAGCATTTGTAATCTCTCTGTCTCTCTCTCTCCTGTCTATTTGTTTCTTCTGGACGTCTGTGCGCGCCTAAGGTTGCTTAGCATATAGGTCGCACGCGTACGAACGGTCGCGACATCGAGCGAGCTTTGCGCGAAAAACTGCGCGCACATCGAGCGATCTGCGGCGCGCGACCGCGCTGCCGATAAGCGAGCTATGAATACGGACGCGCTCTCGGCAGGTATGTGCAATTACTGTCGCTCGCAGCGGCGCCAACGCGTGCGTGACATCGTGCCCGCGCCCCACGGATCGCCGGTCCGATCAACCGCCCGACCAGCCGTGTCAATGGGCGCCTCATCGGCATACGTATCCTCCTATCTCGCCGCGTGAAAGTATTCCGAATGCTTGCCGCCTGAAGTCACCGTTCGAACGATCTAAGCTCGCGTTTTGGACAATGGCTCTGGTTGATGCACGACGGGCTCGCTCTCGATTTTCGAAATCCAAGCGCGCGCGTCACTTTTGCCGTTGCCTCGATTCCTAATCGCGCTAATCAAGCTCCAAGCGAGCACGAGTCCCGATTCCAATTTCCAATCTCCAATCTCCTCGTAATCTGCAGATTGAAGCGAAAAACGAAGAGGTCGTTCGGTTTCCCGGCCTTCGATGAGCGAGCGAGTAGCCAGAAAATAATTGATCGATTGATTAGTTTCAAAGTTTTGTTGACCAATGCTAAAACAAATAACTATGTATGTATAACATTCTTACCAAGAGTAGTTGGTTTGACAAAATTAAGTTTGGGTACAAAGCTGTTTACACGTTATCGTGTAACGGAAATGAAGCAAGGACCTATATCACGGTTTTTCTATAAAGTAAACTTTTCTTGGTCGAGAATGAATTGGCAGCTTCTGCATGCAGTAGCTCGATCGATATGAAATAAGGATCGAGTGTAGTTGGCAAAAACAGCAGTCTTATAAGCAAGTCAAATTGTAAAAGATGAGAGAGATGAAAGAGAGAGAGAGGCACGCTTTTTATCGGCAACGCGCATTGACGCACGACTCGCGAGCGCGTTCGCCTTCTCTCTCTCTCTCACTCCACCGCGCGATCGCATCTTCCTTTGCGCAACTCCGCGAGCAGTCGACCGGGCTACGGTAAACCGCGCGAACGCCGAGCAGGTAGCGTGTCTCACCGTGACTCACGCGCAACTCTCATTGTACAAATATTGTCGTCGTGCGTCTATAATTAACGACGAGCGTTCAGCGAGATTCGGCGTCGACGGACGCTCGACTGGTCACTCGAATCGACCAATTCGAAAACAAACTACGGCAATGGGTCGTCGAACGCGCGCGCGCGCATCCAATTTTCCAACGTCACCTTTCGAAGCTCTGCCGACGAGATTTGCACGCCCTTCCGCCTTCGCGAATGGCGTGCCGTCCGCTCGCCTCGTTTGCCCCGTTCGCCGACACGCTCTCAACCAGCCTCGCGTTTCGCCCTTTGCAGCCGTCGAGCGGCAAGGAGACGTCGACAGCGGCAGCGTCGCGACTGCCCAGAGACACGAAGGAGCAGCGCCGACTGAAGGATGCAGCGGCGAGCACCTACTCGGCCGTCAACGCCTTCCGGCAGTGGAGACGCAGCAACAACAGCCACCACGGCAACAACAGGTCGAGTAGCGCGGGCTCGAGCCCGAGCAGCGCCAAGCAGATGCTGCTCGCCAACAACAACAGAAACGTGGCGCTGGCGCGCGATCAAGCGGCAGCGGCGAAGGGCGTCACGAACGGCACGGCCGGGCCGCCGAACTGGCCGCCCGCCGACGCGGCGACTTTGCACAAGCTGGAGCAGTTCCCGCTGGTGCTGTCCGACGCCACCATGCCGGACGAAGACCTGTCGCTCAAGTTCCTCGCACTGGTGAGTCGACGCGTCGGCCCTCGACGGCAAGCGCCGCGCGCGATCGCGTCCAAGCTAAGCTCTTGCCAACCCGTGCTCTGTCGTAGAACGCGCTGGACCTGACGGCGCCGGCGAGCGACGTCCTGCTGAAGAACAGGCTCAAGTCGTGGTTCCAGCTGTCGGGCCACAAGGACAGCTTCGCGCCCGCGGGTCCCGGCACGGTCTGGAAGAGGCGGACCGGCGGCGCCGAGAACACCGAGCGCATGGTTTACGAGGCGCTGAGCAAGGACCAGGCGCTCAAGGACTGCATACCCAGGTAATTGGATGTCGCGCCAACGAAACCGTCGCTCGTCCGTCGTTCGCCCATTGCTCGTCGTTACCACCACGATCGCTTTGGTGCGCAGGTATTACCGCGAAGTGGAATACCGGGGCGAGACCTTTATCGAGCTGCAAGATCTGCTGTTTGGATTCAACGAGCCCCACGTCATGGACATCAAGCTGGGCACGCGCACGTTCCTCGAGTCCGAAGTGTCGAAGACGACGGCGCGCCCGGATCTCTACCAGAAGATGATCGCGGTCGACCCAAACGCGCCTACCGTCGAGGAGCACGAGCAGCGTGCAGTGACCAAGCTGCGCTACATGCAGTTTCGGGAACAACAGAGCTCCACCTGCAGTCACGGCTTCAGGATCGAGGCGATGAAGCTACCTAGCATACCGCCGATCACAGATTTGAAGACTGTCAAGGATCACAAACACGTGCTCGAGACGATGAGGCGCTTTCTCAAAGGCAAGCCCGAGATGAAAGACCAGCTGCTCGATCGGCTGCGAGAACTCAGGCTCAAGGTCGAGCAATCGGAGTACTTCCAAACTCACGAGGTGTGTTGACGATTTTTCTTTCTTTTTTTTTTTCCCCTCTTTCGACTTATCCAATTGGCTATTGTCTCGATCGCACGAGATTCCCGAGTGATTCATAGGCCAACAACGAACGATGTCTCTGCTTTGTTGCAGGTGATTGGCAGCAGTATTTTCATGATTTACGACGACAGGAAAGTCGGTGTTTGGTTAATCGACTTTGCAAAAACGTGCCAAGTACCGGCCGGTTGCAAATTAACTCATCGACGAGATTGGCAACAAGGCAATCACGAGGAAGGTTTCCTACTTGGTCTTGACAATCTGATAGCCACCCTCGAAGAAGTCGATGTTAATTGAACGCAGCGCTTGCGCTTTCGACTGATTATTTATTCTATTTTGTACATACATACAAACGATAAGAAAACTCTGGTCTGATTATAAAAATCGCTGCTTTCGCAATGTGACGTTCGATAAGCTGTACTTAGAAAAGTCTGATATTTAAATAGTGCGAGTGTGAACGTGTGAGTGTATTGTATTTAAGTGTAAATTTGTAAAGTTTTCTTCTCTACTTTTACTCACGAATATTTGACGACTTTTAGAGTGATGTACAAATTTCTTCCGAACGTTCGATGAAAAAAAAACAAGTATTTGCGTAACTCTAGTTTTACCGAAACTTCTAAGTTTCTTTGTTAGAAATATTTTTCTACAGATAATTATGCAATTTGATAAAATATCACATATATCTACCAAATAAATAATTATTGCATTATAAATAACCTTTACTCATTTGACTCCTACTCTTCTCGTCGGAAACAAAAATTGCTGCGAATATTTTTCTAAAAAATTTTTTTATTTAGCCTTACTTATAGTAAATTGTAGAAATCCATATAAAGTATTAGGAAACACAACTGCCAGTGACAACTTTCATCCCTTGATTACAGCTATTGGCCTTAGTTTGATACACTTTTGCGAAATGCCAGCTGCGTGACATGTATTTACAACGTCGGTAACGTTTTTATAAGATTCTGGAGCTTCTTCCATGACTAATTTTGGTGAAGCTACTCGAATTGAAATACCCATGTCTTCTAATTTGTTTAGTACGCTTTGGTAATCTAAATTTCTGCGGGACTTTGCACGAGACAGCGCTCGACCCTGTAAATATTTATTAATTAAAGTGTTAAAAACTAAAAATAGCAAAATCTAAGTATTATTGCACTTACGGCTCCATGGCACGTCGAACCAAACGTTTCTTTCATTCCTTGTTCAGTACCGGTAAGTACATAACTGCACGTGCCCATTGTACCTCCAATTAATACTGGCTGGCCTGTTAACTGGTAATCTACTGGAATTAAAGGATGATGAGGTGGAAAAGCTCTTGTTGATCCCTAAAACAATCATCAATTAAATTGTTTTAAAAAATATTAAAAATTGTTTGAATTGCTTATTGAATTAAATAAAATCTACTAACTTTTCTGTGAACCAAAAGAGTTTTTGGCTTTCCATCAACCATGTGTTCTTCAATTTTTGCGATGTTATGTGAAACATCGTAAATAACATGCATATCTAAATCATCCGGCGACATGTTGAACTGTTTCGCAAATGCTTGTCGACTTAAAAACGTCATCGAACTGCGATTCACCCACGCAAAGTTTGCAGCTGCGGCCATAGACTTCAAATAATCTTGCCCTTCTTGAGAATTAATGTGAGCACAGGCAAGCTGTCTGTCATTTACTTCTATGTTATCTCTTTTCATTGCTTTCTCCATTAAAACCAAGGCATCTAAAATACAAATTGGATTAGTTAAAACATATAATAGCTTAAAATACATAATCTCGATTTATTAAATCATTGTTCTAATTCTAACCTGTAGCCACTTGATGTCCGAAACCTCGACTCCCAGAGTGAATCATAACACATATTTGACCCTTTTCTTCAATACCCATTTTACTTGCTGCTGACTTGTTATAAATTTCATCTACAACTTGAATTTCAGCGTAGTGATTACCAGCTCCCAAAGTTCCTAACTAAAATAGCAAAAAAAAATATTTCTCATATATTTCAAAATGTATTTAAAAAGATTTCTTTTTTTAAGATGTACCTGTGGGAGACCACGCTTTTTTGCTCTCATGGATACCTTTGATGGGTCTGCATTTAACATTCTACCATATTCTTCACAATGTTCTTTATCTTCAGCCCAAATGTAGCCTATTGTATAAAATTAAAATTTTTAACAAACTGAAAGAATAAATTGACAATAGTCAAAAAAAAAATTGTACCTTCTCTAAGAGACCAATCCATACCCATTTCTAATGCTTCTTCCAAATCTCTAGCATTCATAGGAATGATTCCTTTTGAGCCCACTCCTACTGGTATGTGGTCAAACATGCTTTGAGCTAATTGTTCCTTTATAAATAAATGAGATATAGATTATTCATTGCTTAAAGTCACATTATTGCACTTATTTTTAATGTTATACCTTGACTGGCTGAACATCTTTTTCATATAAATTTGTTCTTAAAAGTCTGACTCCACAATTAATATCAAATCCTACACCACCAGGTGAAACAATAGACTTTGGATCATCCATATCAAAAGCTGCCATGTTTCCTATAAGATCAAACTCAGCTGTTGTAATATTTTATATATATAAATTTATAGTAGTCAATAAGTATGGACAGTGAATTACCAATAGCAAAACCATAACCAGAATGTACATCTGGCAAACCAACTGATTTTCCTACAATACCAGGAAGTGCCGCAACATTTGCAATTTGTTTAACTCCTGGTAAAAATCCTCCTACAGCCCCTGGCCTACATGAATTCCTCAGCTCTTCCAACATCAATTTTTCAAGTGTATTATTAACATAAAATACACCTTCAACCTGATAACGAATATTACAACATAAATGTTCTGATTGAAAAAGGTTGTTTTAAAGCTAATGCACTAGTAACCTTCATATTTGGTTGAAAGCCTTTTTTAATTCTCCAGCAATGATCACTGAGCTTTTCTAAATACTTTAACTCCTCGTTATACTGTCGAACAACCATTTTCGAAATTCTTTAATTATCACACACTACTAATATATAAATAATTGTTCACAACTGTATTTCTTAATTTAACTGCTTATTTCTATAGAGCTTACACCGGAATTAATTTAATCAGTATTCGTATTTATCCGGCACTTTTTAAGGTTATGATCGTGCTCTTGCGTATATTAATTACGTACGCCATTCTCTGTAGCTTTTATAGTTTATGTGATAGAGTCATTATAGCAGCCGTTGGTGTTGGCGCCGTTGACGGTTGAGACGGCATTTAAATTCATAACAAACTGGTGCACGTGCGGAAACTTTACAGAATATATAATTGTTTTTTAAGATTTTGTGGAAGTTTATAAACAAAATATAAAATGTGTATGGTGCGAGATTAAGCTTTTAGTGCTAATCGTATGTATTATTAATCTTTTATTGATTATATTTTTTGTTAACATTTGTTTATTGTGCTACTACAATCTTTTTTAAATGATTATGCATAAAAAATTTGAAATATTTAGAAGATAATAAATATTCAATACATTTTTAAAGAAAATGGAGGAAATATTAGCTCTAAAAAAGAAAAATTCATCCAACAGTCCTACAAAAATAAAAGAAATATTGCAGCAGATATCAAATACTCGTTTGGACAGTGATAAAATTTCTTACAAGTTGGAAGGTATCTTATCACAAATAATCAAGTATGTCTGATTAATTATCAATATTTAATTTCTTAAACTTTAAATTGTTTTAGAAAATGAAACTAGAATCAATGAGTTGTCAAAAGAAGTATTTACTTTACGAGAACAATTTGAATCAGAGACACAAATTCTAGAAAGTAAAATTAATGAATCAGTAGAACAGAAATCGTTATTGGTTAGTATAAATGTTAATCTTTATACATTTATTTACTGGAAAATTGCTTTAATAATTCTTACTTCAATATAGGAAAACTTGAATGAAGAAAAAGAAAACGCATCTTTATCTTTAAAAGAATTGGAAACTCAGCATAAAACAATGAAGAGAACAAAGCCTAGTTTAAGTGATCAGCAACTTCTAGAAACTGGAAAGTAAGTTAATTTATCTTGCTACTTGCTTTCTCATATTAAAGCCATTATTACAATGCATATATTCTTGCAGGCGAAAACATAAATTATACAAAGAGTTTACAGGAATCAGATGGGATTACTCTGCTCCAGAAAATGTTATTGAAGGATGTATCCTTTCTATGCAATTTAAATTTTTTATTTAAAACTCTAAAGAATAAATATTCATATGTAATACTTGGAAATAGTATTTTACTTTTATAATTTTCGATCATTGAAATAATAAGCTCCTTAAGAAACGTTATAGTTATTACAAATAAGAAAGATTTTATAGAGAAAATTTCCTACAAATGTGATACGGGTTATAAAACTATAAGGGAGCTGCTATGGAGAGATATACGATGCTCTACAATGGAAAGCAAGGCAAGAGAGGAATGTTGTAAGGAGAATAAACCAGTAAATAAATAAGTACATAGTTGTTTTATGTAATGGACTGCAAAACAAATATTTAAAAAAATATTTTTCATGACAATAACTTATTTTCACAAATTTAAGAATTAAGAAATGACTTTAAAATATTCATTTACTAAACCCTACTTTATATATATATACATTATATTTTACAGTGCACAATATATAAAAATTCTTAGAAGTTTTAACATACTTTTGATAATTAAGCAATCATTTACTGTATACTTTGTTTTTAACTATCATAAACGAAAAATATGTAGCATAAAATGATAAAACAAGTGAAACTCCTGACACAACAATAACTGCTACAATGAAAAACATTATGCAGCTCAAAGTAGTTAGTCCAACTGTCAATAGTAACACTGTAAAGAAAAATAGAACTTGTATTTGTTACAATGAGAAATGACCACGTATAGCCTTATCAAAAATAGTATTAGTCTTTTACCTTCAATTATCATGAAACTTGAAAAAGTAATTGCAACATTGATAACAACAAATGTTATTAATAAAGCAATAGGGATTGCAAACATTGCTATTACAATGATGCAAATCAATAATAGAAGTGGATGTGATAGCATGAATTGCATCACATAATTCAATTTTTCATAAATTTTTTCATCTTCCCAGAGCTTTTTACATCTATGCCTGAATTTTAAGCCTGTAAATAAACAACTACATGAAATTATCAGCCAAATATTTTAATTTTAGTTATATCAATGAATAAACACTTGCACCGATTTCTCAAATTATAAATATAATCAATGTTTGTTTTGTCATCGTGGTCGTGACTATGAGAATTGTTGTGCTTAGAAGTCGTCATTTTTAGATTTATTGCTAGATGATTCTAATAGGCAAAGTATTTTCAGCACATTTTCCACACTTCATATACTTGCTTCTTCAATTTACGCTAATAGCGTAGCAAGCTTAAATGACCTCGTATATTACGGTCAAATGTAAACAAATAAATCGTGAATTAAGAAATTCTAACGCGCGCGCGCGCGCGTGTGTGTGTGTGTGTGTGTGTGTGTATAATAATCTACATACGATTTTTTCTGCTAGTGACAAAAACTGTACTGTTAATTTAATTTGAAAAATTGTCCAAAAGTCTACATCCATAATCATATTCCACAGGACTACCTATCATAGTCGCCTAATCCATGGTAAATCAGCTTCGAAAAATTTCCTTTTGCGCGAGCGCCGCATGTCTGCTACTCGCATAAGTAGGCCGCCGCTTCTTTGCAGTCAGCTGAGAGATTTCATAACGTGTAAGTTTTTCGGTGCGTTGAGATTTTGAGAGCAACTTGGAAAATCAAGTGGTTTCGAGGATGTCGGGTCTTTTACGTTTCCAAGGCATCCGGCAAGTGGTCAGCAGATTGGTTCAACGTCGCTCTGTCGGCACTTCCAACGCCAAGAAGAGCGACACGATCACTACAACACCCAGCATTACTACCAGCACTTCTACAGCTGAGTGCACTCCAAAAAAAAACTGGATATCTTACGGTTTCAGCGATGTCAGCCAGGATCTCGACCGACATCTCATGCATTTAAGCTTTTTCGTCGGCATATCCATTTTGTTCACTCTAGGGGGTTATGTTATTATCTACATGCCAGACTTCAAAATGAAAGACTGGTATCAGAGAGAAGGTTACATAGAGCTTAGACGAAGAGAGCGACTAGGATTGCCAAAGATCGACATCAATCTCGTTGATCCAGCTAAGGTCAAGTTGCCCAGTGATGAAGAGCTCAGAGCACAAAATATTGAGATCATCATATGAAGAAGTTTATCAAGAGTATGCTGTTTGTTGATCTTGTGGCAAGACTTGTTAAAGCTGTGTTATATGATATTGTTCAGTTCTTGTTTTTAAAATGTAATGATATGTGAGTCAAATACAGGAATAGACTCCTTCATTATTGCCTATAAAATTTTTCTTCACTCGAAATTATAACACTCTTTACTAATATTGTTTCAAAGAGCCACATACTAACTTGTCCTTTTCAGAGCTAACTTTAGCTTTGATATATATTTTAAGCTTAGCAAATACAATGAATTGGAGGATATTATAGTTATAATAAAGTGTGAGCGAAAGTCCCTAATTTTTCTTTATATAAACAGTTTATTCGAGAAATTATAGCAGCATGATATAACTTTGTGTAATTTATACAAAAAGTAAAATATATATTAGTCATACAAAAACCATAAAATGCTCAGTTTTTTAATTACAATATATCACTTAAATAGATAACAATGCAATAAAATATTTTCTGATGCTTCAAATTATCTTAATTAAATTGTTCAATAATTGGGTAAGTAATTGAATTAAATTCAAGTTATATTTGTACGAAAAAGAAATTCAAGTTAGCAGGATTAATGAATTCAATAATAATATTAAAGGTACTTCAATTGACATAATTAATTACAGCCAGTAGAAATACACAATTTTAAAACAAACAATGAAGCTTACACTATAAATAAATATCGAAACTTAATATTTGAAAATTATCATTGGAACTTTGAATTCTCTTTTAAAAATTTTTAGATCAAAAGATAATTAACAAAGTTACCATTTCTTTATTTACAATACAAATACAGTAGCTTTTGCAACTTTATCAATTTTCATGAAAAGATCTACTGCATTTTTTCAGATTATTACAACTCATTATACCAAAGATGTATCATTCATTTTCATCTTTGTAAATGCAAATTTTTCTCTGAAAATCAGTCAATTATACCAGTGTTCCCTCACGCACATCACAATCGTAATAATTTTGGTTTTTCACTTTCTCTTCAAACTTCCAATTTAGTTCTCTGTTATTGTGCTGGCGGCAGTACAAAATTAGAGCTGGGATTCTGATTCTGTTGCATTGGTGGCTGATAATACGGTGAGTTTTGTGGCATAGATGCACTGACAGTGATTGGCGGCATTCCAGGCAACGAAATTGGAGTTGTCACAACTTGAGGTTGGGATGCATTATAATTCGGTATGCTTACAGACACCGATGTCGGTGGAGCATTGTAGTTTTGATAGAAAGTATTATCAATTGGGCTCTGTGATGAGAATGTTGGCAATGGTGGATTCATTGGCATTCCTGGAATATTAGGCATCCCATGATCTGCAGGTTCTATAGCTGGAAATTTATTAGACACTAATTATCATTTCTTTTGAGCCTCAATCTATTGTATTTTACTTACTTTGAGGAGAGAATTGTGGAGAACTCATAAAAGAATGTTGCGGAGAGTACATTGGTACTTGTTGTGATGAATACATGGGAATGGTCTGTGCCTGCTGAGGTGAATATATAGTGTTAGGTGTAAATATTTCACTAGTTGTCTCAGTGACATTTGAATCTAGTTGTGGTGTAAAATGATATTGAGATGGCATAGGTGTAGTTATAGGATGAGACACAGAAATAGCTTCTTTTGTTTTTGCAGCATCTGCAGAAGGTGAAACAAAGCTTGGAGGTGGCAGATTTGTTGGTGTGAAACTTGTATGAGTAGTGAATTGAGAGATTGTACTTGATGTTTCAGGATTTATTGGAACATTCGGAGCCAGTTGGGCATTTGGAGCAGTGCTTTGAACAGTTGTCTGTATGAAAAAAATTACAAATTAAAAAATAACTTGAGAAACATTTATAAACATTTTTTATCATTATCTAAAATTAGACTTACTGAAGAAATATGAACAGATTTGTGATCTGCATTACTTCTAACTGGTATTCTGTGCAGATAACCATATCCAATGCCACAACCAAGACTAAAAAAAAACATGTTACAATCAATAGAGCAGCTCATCTCATAACAAGTTAAATGTTCTTTAATATTTTATTACCTTCCTTCACCTCCCCATGTGGTGTTAGGCGTGATTGTTACCTCTCTGCAAGAGTCATCATCTATATTATAAACATACAGCTTGAGAGGCCTAGATTCATGGGCTTCAATCAATGAAAATAAATCTTCGCTTTCATGTAAAACAGAATCTGATCCAATAATATAATCTGTGAATGGTCTCAATCCAGCTAATTCAGCAGGTGAAGATGGGTGCACTTCCTGAAATTTCATATTATTAATAAAAACATTTAATATTGACATCGGTCTATAGGTAATTCTTCTTAATTTGTAATTGATAAAAATATGGACAATATACAAAATTGATAAAATACTTGCCAGAACATGCCAGACATTTTCATTAGCACCTTCAAATGAGCAAAACCTAATACTGACTCCTAATAGACCTTGACCTCCCCATGTCATGCTAGGCATTATTGTACTTTGTCTAATAGATTGAGTTTTACTACTGTAAACTGTTATAGATAATTCCTTATCTACTCCAGCTTTTAAGAGTTCTTTAAGCGTATCATTATCTTGATCCTGTAATAAAACAACAAAATAAAATAAGACTGCTTGTCATCGTACCATGAGCAATCATAGACATAACTTACTAAACGCGTATTTCCTATAGCCACTATAAAATCGAAAAAAGCTTCGAGGCCTGCTTTCTGCCCGGGTGAGCCATCCTGCACCTAAAGCACAAACATTAAAGAGAATATTTAAATAGCCTGGACCCGTATAAAGCACATGTTTGACAGTTTGCCTCACCCGCAATACATGGTAGCCTTCTGTTCCTCCGCCGGGTATCTCTATACTATGAGAACCTCCCATCTTACAGTTGTTCTTGCCACGAGTCTATCAAATGTTCAAATTTCTCAAGACACCACAGGCAACCATAAATGTCGTGGGAATGATCTGTCAGCACAAGAGTTACTTTTATTGTCGAATGCAAAATTACGTGGCACGGATGGCTTAAATTTAAAGCCATGAGCCGTATTCTAGCTGTAGATTGATGTCGGAGAAAAACGATACCCGATACCTGCACTCTGCTGGAAATTCGACCGAAGCTTGCAAACTGGTCTATTTGTTGTTGACAAACGTGGCGAAACAACTTTTTTACAGCTCCACTTGTTGATTGTTCATTTTTCAACATACGTATCACGTATTTTCACTCTGTTATTTACGATTGTTTGCAACGGAAAATAAAGTTATTCAATGAGTAAGTAAATGACGATCGATCAAGCAGTTTCTCGGATTGGCGTTGCGATCGCTTTGCTTGATTTTCATTCGATTGTTGTCCATCTCATCTTATCGTCAGCTGTTTTATGCTTCAAGAGAGAAAAATAAAAATGTGGTGTTGTTCTGCAGAAATATGTTTATCGTGAAAGTTATTAATTTTGATTACTGATCTTTTCCCAATAATTTTTCCATTCATGATTTACGGGTGAGTTTTTGGTTCTTTAAGTGTTACAATCTATTGTACCATGTTTTCTTACGTTAAATCATTTTTAATAATGCTGTGGTTGGTTTTGTATATATCAATGCTTAAACCAGTCACGTGTACTCGTCTAAGACTACATCGTTTACGCTTCTGAATGAAGATCTCAATCGCTTTTTCAAATAATATTTTATTTGCTTTTACAATGAGTTATTGTAAATCTGTGTATTGTAAAGTCACGTATATCGTTATCGTTTAGCAGATATAACCTCAAATTATATAATTTTACAAAAACATTTTAATTTCAACAAACAATAGATTTATTAAAAATGAAATGTTATTTTGTCGAACGAAATAATTGTCATTCGAAATAGACTAAAAAATGTTGAATTGCTTGCAGAAAAAGTGGCAAGTTCATACAATTGTATCGACAAAATTAATTCATAATTTTTATTCGATTTATTTTTCGTGAGTGCAGTATTATTGCTATATTGTGTCAATAATAATGAATTGTTTAATTAACAATGAAGATATCTATGTTCTTTGAAAATTGAACATTGTTATGTCGTTCGTTAAACTGTGAACACGGCTATTACTACTTTATCCATAAATAGTAATGTTTGATGGATCAAGTAGAGCTGCATGTTATGAAAATAATTCATTCGAATAAATCTTGTTTATACCTACGAAAGAAGAAAAGTTTTTAAATAGTTCTGGCTACGAAGTGTGGTTTGCACAAAAACGTTTCAATCGGAATTCATCGAATACCCATCCCAGGCAAACGAGCATCGTGCTGAAGTAACGCCGAAAGCTCGAACAAACTGCCGTAGAACACGATATAGCAAGCGATCCTCTGGCGTACGAAGGGACGGCATACGCGTGCGATTGACATGACAACCGCTGCCACGGACGTACGCCTCGCGTTTCCGAAAGCTCGCTGAGAAAGAAGAGCCGAGGGCGATCCTCTCACGCACCCTCGTATCGATCAAGCTCGCGCTGGCTGCGCATTCGTCGCGGCGCCGGCCGCAAGTGTGCCGCAGTGTGGTGGCCGCGCGCCGAGCGGAAAAAAGCCATCGCGGGCTCTCCACCCAGTGCGCTCTGGAGTTGCGTGCGAGGAGGTGCACCGCGATGACGAGGTTGCTATGCCGCTATCGATTCGCGCGAGTGCAAGTTAGGCGGCCCAGTGACACGCGCGTACACCGTTAACGTCCAATACCGAGTGTGTGTCTGTGCGGTGCGTGGAGGGGGCGGGGGGTGAGTTGTAAAGCCAAGATATCCGATGGTATGTGGAACCAGCAAGACAAAGGATTGATGAGACGAGCAGCGGATCGGAACGTTAACTGGAACTCGGGTAAGTTATGTCCAGTTTGTCACTCATTGCACTTGTACACGGGAAGAGGGTCGTGGTGCGCGATTGGCCATCGATTCGCGCTCCACTTTGTCGCGGCGCGCGCGAGCTGCTCCCCGTTCGAGGATTGGGTCGTTCGCTGTTTAGGATCGGCCGACGGCTGGGGGAAGCTGATCGAACGTTAAGCTTTCACTTTGATTCGCGTAGCAGAAATAAACGAGCTGTTGATTGGATCGATGGCCAGCTCGTGAATAACCAAGCAGCCGTCCATAAGTGCGGACGAACGCGGCGCTATTACTGTCCCGCGTTCAATGACGAATGCCCAGTTGGTCGGCCGCCGAGAACGCGAGCCAGTCGTGGCGCGACGCGACTGTTCAAGCGTGCCGGTGCGTCCGCGGAGGGAGCATCAACTGTAACCCGCTCGATCTTTGGTCGACAGCATCCCTCCTCCATGCGACGACGAGAAGCGGCATCGGCGGTAGGAGGAGGCCGTTAGTAGGGTCGCGGCTCGCCTGCGCGACCAGCGATGCCCGCGCTGTGCGATGCGCGTCGGCCGAGCAGCAGCAGCAGCAGCAGCAGCAGCAGCAGCGGCGGCGGCGGCGACGTCGACGGGGGGCCGAGAGCCCGGCAGTGCGCCGGCGAGAGCAGTTCGGGCCAGCGGCCTGTCGCGCTTCTGCTCGCTGCAGGAGGTGGGTCTGACGCCACCGGAGCAGCGGCGCTTCCGGCGTATCCACGGCCTGCAGCTGCCGCTGCACCCGCAGCAGCTGCTCGGCTGGCTGGTGCTGCTGAGCGTGCTCGGCGGCACGTTCGTCTGGCTGCTGCCGCCGTTGGCGCCGGCGCTGCGCGCGCCCGCGCTCGGCGCCGTTCTCGCGGCCACCTGCGCGCACCTGGTGGCCCACTTGGCCGCGCTGCTGCTGGACCCCGCCGAGGCGGCCGTTAGGCGCCAGCCGCGCGACCAGCTGGTGCCCGAGTTCGACCGCGCGCGCCACCTGCACGTCATCGAGGATGGGCGCTGCCACCTGTGCAACGTGGACGCCTCGAGCGCGCGCACCAAGCACTGCTCCGTCTGCAACAAGTGCGTGGCCAGCTTCGACCACCACTGCAAGTGGCTGAACAACTGCGTGGGCCGGCGCAATTACCCGGCCTTCGTGGCCTGCCTCGTCTCGGCCGTCTGCCTGGCCCTGCTCGTGCTCGCGCTCTGCGCGGCCGAGCTCTCGCTCGCGCGCCTCGAGTGGCGCCAGCTGCGCCAGCTCAACCACACCGGCATGGACAACGTGACCCTGCCGCTGAGCCTGCCGCTGCCCGGCACCGGCTCCCTGCTCGTCGTCTGCGTCGTCGGCGTCCTCTCGGCCGTGGCCGCGGTGCTGCTCATCCACTTGTGCTTCTTCCATGGCTACATCGCCTGCCTGGGCGTCACCACCTACGAGTACGTGCGCAGCAAGCAGGCCGCTCGGCAGGCCGTCGCCGCCGCCGCCGCCGCCGCCGCCGCCGACGCAGCCGACGCGGTGCCGCCCGGCGGCGCGCTGGCCCGCGGCGGCTCCGAGCCCGGCGCCGAGGACCTGCGCTACCACTTCTGCCAGAGCGTCGACGCCGACGAGGCCGCGCGGCGGCGCGCCGACGGCCGCGACGTCTACTTCTGCTCGAGCCACGCCTCGAGCAGCAGCAGCGCGCGCGTTATCCAGCGCGCCGGCTCCACCACGCTGGTGCAGCGCACCAGCCTGGAGAAGGAGCGCCGCGACTTCCACCTCTACTTCTCCTACGAGTCCAAATTCAACGAAACGTCCATCGAGCTGTCGCAGACCATGAGCCACGGCGACGGCGGCGACGCCGGCGACGGCCAGCGCCGGCCGACGCAGCGGCTCGAGCCGCTGGAGCTGAAGCCCTCGACGCCCTCGCCGGTGTCCTGCTGCTTCTCCATCATGGGCCAGCCGGCCGGGCGCGCCGCCGCCGCCGCCGCCGCCGACAAGCCTCAGCCGCGCAAGCCGCGCCAGGCCGAGCAGCTGGCGGCGCGCTCCTGCGCGACCGTGCGCCGCATCCAGAGCTTCCTGCGCGCGCGGCTCAGGAAGCGCGCGCGCCAGCGGGCCATCGACTCCGAGGCGGCCGGCGGCGCGCGCCAGAACAAGGTCGAGCCGCTCGGCCCGGAGGCCGCGGGCCCGCCCGAGCCGCCGGCGCTGGCGCCGGTCAAGCTGCCGCCGCTGGCCCTGCCGCCCAGGCACTCCGCGCTCGCCGACAAGCGGGCGCTGAGGGTGAGGCGCGCGCCCCTCGGCCACAAGCGCCCGCGCTTCAAGGTGGGCCCGCACCTCGCCCAGTCGGCCCAGCTCTCGCCGATCCCCGAGTCCGAGCTGTCCAAGCCGGCCTCGCCCAAGTCGCCGCCGCTCGGCAGCAGCCGCTTCGCCTTTCCGCCGCTCACCAGCGCCTAGGCTGCCGGCCCGCTCCGACCTGCTCCCGAGTGTCCGGCTGTGCGCAATGGCCTTCTCGGCGCTCGGTTCCCCTCTGTCCCCACCACTGGCGATGCACATTTTTACGCCGTTTCTTAACGAACGTCGAGTTTGCAACTGATTGCTTTCGAGGCGTTATCAATTCATTTTCACGAATCAACGGTGCGATATGTCGATGAATCTTAGTACAATCACAATCACTCAATGAAACTCGTGTGCCAATTACACAATTGTTCGTCTACTACTTTGTTAACTTAGCTCTCGTGTCGACCACCAAGTATTTGGCAGTTGATTGTGAAACATGCAATTGAAGAAGAAAAAGCATTATTAGATAAACGAGTAAGGATTTCAAATATCACTGTAGGAGTAGGAATCGTCACTTAGTCTGTGAACAAATAAAAATATGCAGTTATCCATTATTGCTAAATTTTAGAATACACTTCAGCAGTACTATGACAATCTTTGTTTGAACGAAAAACAATGATGAATATTTATTTTTTGGTAGCAATTGTTATTTCATCAAGGGCAGAAACAGCTTCGAGAAAAGAATTGTTTATTCAATTACTCTTATACTATAAAAATACGTTTAACTAGAATTCAGATATAATGGTAACGATCATTAAAATTTATTCCAATCAATTAAAACGTATTGAAAATCATTGCGTTCTATTACAGGATATAGATTCTGATTGATAACAGATAAAACGTATAATCGCAATGTCAATTATGACGCACATATGAAAATCAAAACTTACCGTAGATAGTAGTTTTCGAGTTAAACTAAATATTTTACTAGAGTGATAGTGGAAAAGAATTAGCGGGGTTACATTTAGGCGTGTCTGTAGAATTTACGCACGATTACAACAAAACGTTACGTGTATAAGTCAGTAATGCACATTTTTTAGTACTGCAACAAAAAGCGTATTGTGCGAGTGCTCCTCTTATGATTTATAAACAATTGCAGAGTGTATATCTTGAATTTGCTAGTTAAAAAATACACAATTTAACCACTGTAAAGTGTGATTTCTTCGAGTGCATTCGAATTAATGATACAGCCGATGGCTTTTTAATCGATTAAACAAATATAAAAATACATTAACGAGATTCGTCTGCCCTTGATTTTTAATCCATAATTTTGTCAAAGATTCGTTGATCCGTCAATATCACTTGACCTAGCATCACACTGGTGTGACGCAAAACCATGCGAAAGTCATCATCAAAGGATTGTTTGGCGTGTATAAACGGAAACTGACGCTTCATCCATTTCATCGAATGTAAAGTAAACCAAGATATGCAATTGCCACAGTGCGCCTGTGCGTAATTGAAAAGTTTAGACCTCTATTTTGCATAAATAATGAAAAACGTGTATATTCGCCGAGAAACGCGAGCTTTTCTAACGAATAATTTTACTGTCCTATATTAACGATATAAAACTTGAAAGAACGAGCGATGCCCATTGTTCCGCAATGAAATAAAACAGTCCAAAAAAAAAATCGTAAGCGTCCGTGGTTATATTTTCGTTGCGCAACAAAGACTGAATAAAAAATTAATTAAAGGAATGAATAAAAGCAAGAGAGGAATTTTTAAATGTATAAAGATGTGTTGCAAAGCATTGCCGCACGTTGGTTTTTACCGTTTCCTAAAGAAAGCAGTGTAATGCATTTTTGCGTCTTTTACGTAGGCAAATGCCAACATCGCGTGGATCTCGCTGTACGTTGGAGAAGATAAGCGATTACGTTGTCGGATCGAGCGAATAGCACTACAGGCATGGGGCTATACATTTGAAGCACATATTTTTTCCATGCGATACAAGGCAAGATGCTTTAAGTACATTTTGTATCCATGCGCGCTATTTGATTATTTCATTGAATAATTCATTGGAAATAAAGCTGGAAATAAAAACTTTAATGACTACTTCATTCAATGTCTACTTTTTTCAAAGCTTCCTCCTCGTTTTTCATTTCATTTTATAATCCATTTATTCCCTACGAATGTACGTATTTTTATCGGATAATTTATTTCAATTTTCTTCTCGCCGTCCATTTTTGATATACCAGTATCGTTGTCCTCGATCCGTGTAGGCATTAAAAGAATAAAAATCTCGTCAGTTGTTAATTGATTTTCGAAGAGCAGTGATGCTCCATTGATGAGTGTCAGCTCATCCTTACGCACACATACAGGCGCGCGCGCCAAGCTTGAATTCACCAACTCCTAAGTCGGTTTGTGAAAGAAGACGCAACATTTGAACGGAAACTCTTAATACGTAAAATTTTTCAAGTCATATCCTTCATTTGGGATCGAACTGAAAGAGACCCGTTCAAATGTTAACGATCAAGGGCATAGAGAAAAGCTAAGTGATTGGTGTATAATCCGAGCACAAATACGGTCTTGTTTTGAAAGCTGTTGACGGAAAATGAAGCGAGGTTTCGATTCCTTTATTAGCTAGACTGATTGCGGGGCACAGCGATACTGGCACATTTAAAGCAGGGCAATCGGCGAACATTGAGGAGCATTAAGAGCGTTTGAGCAAAGATTTGATTGTTCGCTGCTTAAGAGCCCAACCGCCGGACAAATGTAGCAAGGCTTATCGAGAAATGAAACGCAGTTGGTTTTCTAAAGAGAAACTGGTGTTCCAGAACAGAAATGGACTCGGCGGCAGAGAGAGACGGCGGCCCGGCGCAGCCGAGCGACGAGAAGGAAGAGGCGAACCTGTGGAGAGACGTGCTGGGCTGCCCTCGTTACGTGCTGGCGCCGATGGTAGACGCCAGCGAGCTGGCCTGGAGACTGCTGAGCAGAAGGCACGGCGCGCAGCTCTGCTACACGCCGATGCTGCACTCGTCGGTGTTCTGCCGGGACGCCAAGTATCGCGCCGAGGCGCTTGCCAGCGCTCCCGAGGATCGGCCACTCATCGTCCAGGTACAGAGTTGGAGGGGTACTCTTTGAGCTCCTGGCCCCGATGGCGCCCGTAGCAACCGATCGATCGTTGCAGTTTTGCGGAAACGACCCGCGCACGCTGCTGCAGGCAGCCCAGCTGGCGGAGCCCCATTGCGACGCGGTCGACGTGAACATCGGCTGCCCGCAGGCGATCGCCAAGAGAGGCCACTACGGAGCCTTCCTACAGGACGACTGGGCCTTGCTGAGCGACATTGGTACGCGAGTCGCCGCACGCGGACAGACACGTAAGACCAATTCTCAAACGAAGCATTGTTGGCGCGACAGTGTCTACGATGAGCAGGGGCCTGCGCATAGCTGTCACGTGCAAGCTGCGGGTCTTCCCGGACGTCGGCAGGACCGTGGAGTACGCTAGGATGCTCGAGGCAGCGGGCGCGAGGCTGCTCACGGTGCACGGCCGCACGAGGGAGCAGAAGGGCCCGCTCACGGGTCTGGCCTCCTGGCAGCACATCCGCGCCGTCAAGTGAGTCGTCACCACCGCCGGCCTGCTCGGCCAACTTGCTCTCGACTGACGGCGGAGCGCTCGTTCGCAGGAGCGCGCTCGGGGTGCCCGTCATCGCCAACGGCAACGTCCAGAGCCTGCAAGACGCGGTCAGGTGTCTGCGGGAGACCGGCGCGGAGGCCGTCATGTCGGCCGAGGGCAACCTCTACAACCCGTGCATCTTCGAGGGCAGCTATCCGGCCTGCTGGGAGCCGGCCACCGAGTACCTGGACATTCTGGATCGCCATCCGGCCCCCGCCTCCTACGTCCGCGGCCACCTGTTCAAGCTGTTCCAGCACGTGTACGTAGAATCCGCTCGAGCGCTCTTTAACGCGGTCTCGCCCCGTTTCTCACGTTGCTGTCTGTCGCTGCTTTTTGAGATTAGCTTTCTGCTGCCGGACAACGCAGATGAGCGAACGATGTTGGCGCAGAACTCGACCATGGAGTCCTTTAGAACGGTGGTTGCAGCGCTCAAGGACAAGTATTTGCCCTATCACGAGGGTCGTCTGGTTTGGCGACGCCAAAACGAGGGTGCGTGCATCGCCCCCCCCCCCTTCCGTGCTTAATGCTCCACCGATTCATGCTTTTTCTCTTTTTTTTCGTAGATTACAATCTCGTGCTTCCGCCTTGGTTATGTCAGCCATACGTTCGCGATAGTCCAGAAGAGCACATCAACAAGGTGGAAGCCAAGAAATTGCAAACGGTCAGAATGGCTTCGCGCGTTTCTTTTTTTTTTTTCGTTTTTTTCAACTGTGTAATTTTCATTTCGAAATTTTTTTTTTCCAGCAGGAAACTACGACCGTGAAACGCGAGTACAAAGACGAAGAAGGAAACGAGATTTCAAGAAAACGGCTAAAAAAGTTGAGGCGAATCGCTAGACGACCAAACAGACCAGCTGTAACGGTTAAGCGTGGCTCCAATTTGTGCGACAATTGTCCTAATCCATTGGTACATCAGCAGATCATTTTCGTCACGTTGTCTTTAGGAACATTCTCAACTCAAACAATCGATTGTTTTCAGGGCTCCAAATGTGAATATCAGCTCTGTAGGCAATGCTGTCGAAATAAATGTTACACTGAAAATTTAGATTGCCCAGGCCACAGAAATTTGACGAAAACAAGACGAAAGACTGCCATCGAGTTTGCCGCACAAAGAAAAATAGACCAGACAGAAAGTTGACAAAGAATATTTTTTTACTTTTGTAAATAATATTACTTAAATGATTGATCTATTTTTAATGCTGTTTTATCTTCAATAAAAAGTTTTTAATTATTGAATCCACCGTTTAAACTTAAAAGAGTACTTTATTGTTATCACTGCAACAAATTCGCATTTTCGTTTCTTTATATTACAATATCGTATTTTACAAAGTCTTCTCGACTAATATTTTACAAATGTGTACAATTTGCGAATCTACGTCAGTTTCGCAAATTTGCATCAGCCTCGAATCATTTATTCAAGCTGACGTCGGTTGTAGAACTCTTGATATCGTTTCAACAAGATTAGTTTTTCCTTCAACTTCAGTCAATTGTGAATTTTCCTTTTTATCGGATTTTAGAAACCAGTATTTCTTACTTATAAGCATTAACGTCATTAAAATTGGCAAATGTATCAATGAAAATCGAAACAATCGTCGCGATGTCTTAGCGTCACCTTCTTTGTTGAACTCCCATGCTATAAAAAGGTAATTAATTTCAATGTAAGAAAACATCACTTAAACTCACACAAATTTCCGAATCCCTACCTAGATACAGAAAGTACGCATTCAAAGGAGTAGATGCAAGGGCGAACCACCAATGTGTCACATCTAAAACAGGTGCCAAGTACGAAAGCGCCGTGAGTACAACTGTGTAACGGAATGATGTTCGTCGGCAGAGATCAGGATTGCTGACTGCCATCATTCTGTATCCAGCTTTTGTATAATCTGGCCTCAGGTTCCACGACAGAGCATTGAAATGAGGGAATTGCCACGCGAATAATATTCCAGACATTATCCATGCACCAGGATCGGCTATACTACCAACGCAACCTGCCCATCCCATCAAGGGAGGTACTGCCCCAACTGAAATTGATATTTTTTTGCTTATCCAAGTTTTTTTTCTTTAATTTAAAAACAAATAAATTTAAAATAGTTTACCGATAGAACCGACCCACGTATTTAGAATACTAATGCGTTTCATGGGGGTGTATATTGATGTATATAAAAGGAAATTGGCACCTCCTAATATTGCTGTTAAAGTATTGACTTGTGCCAGCAACGCTATTCCCGCCATACCGGATATTGCAGCAAACGTAATAGCATGCCCTGGACTAAAAGTTAAATACATACAGTTACCAATACGATCAATGTATTTTGATATTTAAAACATTTTTACGTAAATACTCACGCTAACAAACCACGGACTAGAACTCTATTTTTGGTTCGTGCCATTTGAGCATCATAAGGAACTTCCATGGATTGATTAATAGCATTTGCAGCTGCTGAAACTAAACCAGTTCCAGCTGAACATGCCAGAAAGCTGTAGAGTTCAAATGCTCCTGGCGCAATAGCATAACCACCCATAGCAGTGATGACTACTAAAGCTAAAATGTAAATATGTATGCTTTTAAAATCATTTCAGTGACTGACTTATTGTTGATTAACAAATATGTATAACTTACAAGTTAATCTTATTTTTGACAACATAAGACAATACTTATGGAGTTTTGTTGGATTGACTTCTATCTCTCCCCATTTCCATTTATGCATAGTTCCTGCTTTATTTTTGTTATAGATAATATCTTTAGTTTCAAGATAACCATAATCTGTGTCAGGAGGAACAAGAGTTTTTGAATCTATGACGATGGAACGTAGTTTGCTTCTTTCGCTGACAGTGACACATGGAGGTTCTTTGAATTTTTCTGGTTTGGGCTTTAATTTTGGTTGTGCAACACTTGCAAAATGCTTAAATTTGAATAAAAAAACCAATAAATATACATTAAATTATCCTTCTATTACAATAAATTTTATTTTGATAAGACTCACAGTCACTGATATTAGTTTGGAACTGGATATACATATTTTATGACTAAACTTGATTGATTGTAGGGTCAAGATCATGTTAAACTACCTTGGCTGTGCAGCCTTTCACTTTCATCCTGTAATTATTTTGAAAGAATTTAGTAGAAGAAAAAATAACTGCACTATATCCTTTGTTTATATAACTTTTAATATATGCAAATTAATAACTATGGTTTATAATGACAAACCTTGCTAGTTACTGGTAAAAATCAAAATACCATTAGTATTTAAAAATAGAATATACAAAAATATAAAAACAAGTATTATTCAAATTTTAACATTTCAATACAAAACAGTAAATTTCATATACTGCTAACCAGTTGAAATGTATATATTTAGTATATCATATATCGTGTGACAATATGCGATAAAGCTGCATACCAAAATTACATCGTTCATAACGAGCAGCATATAACTCGGACGCGTCAAAATAGCAACACATGTTTCGGAGTTATTATCTATATCACGTTAAGGAAAAAAGCAGAAGCCTCAATTAATGGCTATAACCAACTTGAATCACGGGATGACACTGTATAGTCACGGGCACGTTTTGCACGCAGACAGCACACTCGCGAGGCCAATTCGACGAACCTATATTCCTGGCACAACGAAGCCCTTATAATCCGATACTTCTACACTTGGCACAGTTGTAGAGCTCCAGGAAATATGAAGAGATGATCGGTTCATCGGTATTGCATAATAAGCTGACGTATTTTAGAGGTTAACAAAAGCGAGATAAAGGGTTGGTTGATTGTTGAGGGTGCGCCTTAACTCATTGGCTATGGCTGGTGGAAAATTTGCCACTGCCATCTATGAACGGTTTTTACAAGATAAACGTCGAAACTGTGGTCGAAAACATGGCCTCTAACAAATAGGTCGTTATATACTGCAAGCACAGGAATTGCCGATGTATATTTCTACTGTGGTTTCCAATTCTGGACCATTTAAAATTTTCAGATGGAAAAATAGCTTTATCTAGTTGAAAAACTGTTTTTGTCACATTAAAAAACGTTTCCAATATTTAAAAATAATTTTTTTTGAGACGGTAACGACCTACTTGTTGGTGGCCATATTGTCACGTGATCACCAATTTCGGTTAATCTTCGTGTATTAAAAATGTTATTGTTTTGGTTATAAATTTAACAATTTTCAGAATTTGGCAATTGGTTTAACTCTTTATTTTCATTTTGCCTTGACACACGTGCAACGACTAAATATAAGCTGTAAAAACAATTTATTTAGTAATTACATCAATACTTGAAATGACACTATCGACAGATAGATATGTACGTACTATGCACATCAGCAAACGGTCTGCGCTCATTTTCCGAATCCTGTGTAACTTTCTTTGCAATTTAAATAATCATCTATAATCGTTCATAATAAATTAATTTAGAAATAATATATGAATTATTAATGAATAGAAAAAAATATTGACTAGGAGATAGAGGACAGGAGGTACAGAATAAAAACAACGATATATTTAATACGATCTATCTCATTTACTGTATATAATTAATATACACAATTACCATTTCTGTGAAAGTTCTTGATTACAGACAAAATTAGAATAGGGGGGATAGAAGGAAAATTCGATTCTAGATTTTTATTTACTATATATAAGTGTACCCTAAAATTAAAAAAAAATGTCTATAAATTTCCTACAGCAGTTTAAAAAATTGATTTAGCTTCTTTTATTTCTTTATCGACATTTCGGTGTCTTTAAAATCATGATTTTTATACTTATAAGAAAATTTATCGAAATATAATTTAAAACCTTATAGATTTCTAAGCTTATATACACTCAATGATCATCGGCATCGTCATCATCGTCTGAAATACACTTTTTACTTATTCTCTTTCTCCGACCGCCACGTCCGCCTCCTTCACTTTTCCTGCCTTTCACTTTGAACTTCATCCTAGAATTGGAATCGCCGTCTGAGCAATCCTCGTCGCGATTGTCATCGGAGCCGGTCGCCTCGGCTTCAATTTTCGCTCGCGCGTTCGAGAACACCGTTTGCAGCACAATCGAGTTCTCGTGGATCAGCGACGCTTCCTCGTTGTAGATTTGTGCGTTTTTGCATAGCTGCATGAAGTCCTTCTCTAGCTCGTCGAGCTCTGAGTACTTGCCTTCCTCAATCTTCTGTATCAATTTATTGATAGCCAGTGGTTTTTTGATGATCTCGTAATAGTCTGGAAACTCCCGACGCGACGGCAAATCCATGAATGGTTCGCTCAACGTCCTGCCGTCGGGTTCCGTGTAATTTATCACCGTAGACATTATTTTCTTCATACACCTCTTCAGCTTTGGACTTATTCCGCCCCCTTTCCTCTTTTTTACAACAGGTTCCTCATCCTCGTCGCCTCGCTTTCTCTTTTTTCTCGTTTTCTTTTTGTTTTTATCATCCTCCTCTTCTTCCTCAAACTCACATCCGTCGTCACCAATCGCTCGCATCAGCTCTTTTTCCGTCAGACTGTTTGTGTAGTCGACTTCTTTGCGCTGCCGCGAGCCTCGGCCTAGAATCTTGTCTTCCTCTTCGTCGTAGCAACACTTTTCCACCTCGTCGTCGTTCTTCACTAACCATTCCGGTAATTCGGACTCTTCGAGCAGCCGGCTTCTTCTCGTGGGTCCGTTTTTCGCCTCTTCTCTCCTCCGCTCTAAATCCAGTTTAAGGAAAGTTTGAAACTCGTCTTCGGATCTGGCGATCATTCGATTGACACTCTCGTCGTCGGGTACTTCATTCTCCTCCTCGTCATCGGCGTCGTCTTGATGCAGGATACTCTGCAGGAACTGCTGGCGTTCGGAGCCCGTCGACTTCTGGTCAAACATACCAGCCTGTATAACTTTCTCATCCATGTTCAGTTTATACCTGGCGGCGGCCAATATTCTCTCTTCCACTGAGTTGACGGTCATAAGTCGTAGCACTCGCACTTCGTTTTTCTGGCCGATGCGATGAGCTCTGTCCTGAGCTTGCAAGTCTTGGTGAGGATTCCAGTCGGAATCAAATATAATTACAGTATCCGCAGCCTGAAGATTCAGACCAAGACCGCCGGCTCGCGTCGATAGAATAAATAGGAAATACTCCGACCCAGGCTCGTTGAATCTTTTCAACAGATCGCCCCGGTCTTCGGATTTTGTTGTTCCGTCTAATCTTAAATACAGAAATCCACGCCAGTTGAGATAATCCTCCATAATAGTCATAAGCTGGGTCATCTGACAAAACAACAATACCCTATGACCAGTCGCTTTCAATTTAGGTAAGATACGATCTAACAGTTCAAATTTGCCAGAAGCTCTGTATAAAAGAGGTCCGGTGATAACACCACTACCTTGTATACCTAAGTACTCGCAATACTTCTCTTCTATATGTTGGAACATAAACGGATGATTACAAAGTTTACGAAGCTGTACTATAGTGTTCATCAAGGCCTTGGCGCCGCCTTTGCCGCGCTTGCCCTTTTCAGATCCATCAGTCAGTAGAACACCTTTACTCTGCATATGCTTATAAAGAACTTTCTGCAAGCCAGACATATCACACTTAATAATATACTCTACTTTATCTGGCAACTGAGACTCTACTTCTTTCTTCAGACGCCGTAACAAGAAGGGACGTAGAACTTTATGCAAACGTCGAATGATAAGAATAGTCTCTTCCTCGTTCAACTCGACTTTCTCGCCAGTCGTGGCGAACGGCGCGTTGAACCACTGCTCGAACGTGCTACAAGACTTAAAGATAGATGGAAGTAAAAAGTTGAGCAGCGCCCATAACTCGGGTAGTTTATTCTGCAGCGGCGTGCCCGTGAGCAACAGTCGATGAGGCGCGATATAGTGAGTGTTCAACACCTGTGTCAATTTACAATGGTGATTCTTCATCCTGTGGCCCTCATCGATTATCATGTATTTCCACTGCAGCTTCGCCAGCACACTTTTGTCTTTGATAATGTATTCGTAAGTAGTTAATAGTACATTAAACTTGGTCGCGCGCATCTGCGACTGGATGGCCCTGCGACCAGCCGGAGATCCTTTGTAAGATACCACCACCACACTCGGCGCCCATTTCTCGAACTCGAGGATCCAGTTAGACAGCGTCGACAGCGGTACGATAATGAGGAACGGGCCGTTAACCTTCTTCTTCTCCATGAGGTGCGTGACAAGTGCTATCGTTTGAATCGTTTTGCCAAGACCCATCTCGTCGGCGAGGATGCCGTTGAGACTGTTGTTAAATAACGAGACCATCCATTCGAGGCCCTTGATCTGGTACTCCTTGAGCTGCCCGTTAACCATAATACTGGCTTGCTCGGTGACGCTCTCATGTACCGTGTGAGCGATGCTATAATAGGTTTGCTCTTCGGTTTTGTACTCGTCATCTTCAACCTTGGCTTTCTGTATCGTTTTCTTGGCCTTAATGTCCTCCGATGCGTTTTTATCTTTGTTCTCGCCATTTTCGCCGCCCTCGCCTTCCTCGTCCTCGTCCTCGCTGTCCGACTCGACGGCCTCCCAGCCGGGATTCGCTTCCAGAAAAGCGCTCAGCTGACTATACAAGGGAGCGTCCTCACCGATTAGCTTTCTGCCGGTGGCGGTCTCGATAACGGTTACATGCTCGTCCTCACTGTCGATATCTTCGCCATTTTCGCCACCGCCATCCATTGACAGCCGCTTCTTTTTCTTTTTGCGCTTTTGTTCCTCGGCTTGTTTCTTCTTTTGTTCCATCTTATGCTGCTTGACCATTTCGGTAAGATTGCCGATGTACTCGTCAGTTTGCGACAGTAAGAACGCTAGACGTTTGTCCTTTTTCTGATCGATGAGCTTTCTGTAACCCTCTTCATCTTCAGCCATCAATCGGCGCATACGCTCTTTCTCTATCCTCTCTTGTTCCTTCTTCTGTTCCCTCTCGGCGTTTGCATGGTAGTTCATGATGGCCTTGTTAAGCCGTGCCAGTTTGGCTTGATTGTTTCTGTGGAACTCCTTGAGATCCTTGCCATGCTGTAGCACCGAGGTGAGGAACTCCTGGTGTTTCTGCTTGCGCTTCCTCTCGGCATCGAGTTTCTGCTGCTTCTCCAGCTTCTCCGTAGCGCGGGCTTCCCTGATTCCCTGTCGCTTAACGCGCTTGTATGACTTGAGATTAGAGGCGGTTTCGAGCGTCGTGTCCCTGCGCGTGTTCGCGACTATTTCGGCACGTAACTGTCTCTGGAAGTTCAGCATTCGCAACATCCTCAGCTCGATCTGGGCCTGAGTTCGTATATTTTCAGGCAGGTTGGGTGGCAGGTTGTTGAGCTGCTCGACACGTTGGGCAATCTTCTGAGCGACGCGGGTTTCGCGCTCGTCGAGTATCGCCAGTGGGTCGATACCAGGTGGCCTGGGTAACGTCGTCACTTTGTTTTTACCGGGTGGTCCCTGTTGCTGCTGCTGTTGCTGTTGCTGCTGCTGCTGCTGTTGCTGCGGATGGCCTTGCTGTTGCGAGGTCGATGGCTGCGGGCCACCAGGCATTCCCATTCTAGGCGGTCCGAAACCGGGCATGCCTATTGGCCCGTGTGGAGGCGGTGGACCGCCTGGTCCCATAGGACCCGCTTGACTTGGATCGACCGGGCGCACGCCCACGGCCATCATCTGTTGAGAATTAAGTGGTTGATTGCGCAACAACGACCGATACGCCATTATCTGCGCGTGAAACTGCTGCATCTGCGGTGGGCTCAACAACGAGCTGCCGGTCTCATTGCTGTTCTGCTGTCGGGCCTTCATCATAGCGACCAGCTGCACGTAGCGCGGATCCTCGTGTTGACCCCTACTCTCCATCGATTTGATGGCCTTTTGAAGCGCGTTTAGATTATCTTGCCCTTGGCCAGGCACCGGCGGTGGGCCAGGACTTGGTCCTGGTCCGGGATGTGGCCCAGGCATACCGCCAGGACCGCCAGCCATTGGGCCTTGCTGACCGGGCGGGGGCTGTCCGTTTTGAGTATTTGGACTAATGTGTCCTTGGCCGTGAGGCGGTGGCGGAACTCCCGGGCCCATGGACCCTGGCGATGACATGGGTCCGCTCATTGGCACGCCAGAACCGGGACCAGGACCTGCACCCATCAGCGGTGGCGGCCCTCCAGCACCCATCGGTCCTCCGGGTCCTCCCATCGGGCCGCTCGGTCCACCGGGTGGTCCTCCCATTGGACCTCCCGGTCCTCCCATTGGGCCACTCGGTCCACCAGCACCCATTGTACCCCCAGGAACCATAGGTATTCCAGGCCCGCTAGCACCCATTGGTCCAACTGAACCGCCTGCACTTAAGGATCCAGGACCTCCACCGCCCATCGGTCCTCCGGGGCCCATTGGTCCACCTGGTCCACCTGGGCCTCCTGGTCCTGGCGGTTGTTGATTACCTGTTGAAAATCGATTTTATTTTAGTATGGTGTTTAGTTAGCGTCGGAAAAAATCATGAAAAACTTTGTTTATTTGTTCTTTTTTTCTTTGTCACCCTTTTATAATACGGTACAATTCAACAATTTCATTATTCATTAGTTTATTAATTTTTTTATTATTTAATCTAACTGTATGAGTATCATATAAGTTACTGCAATTTTTTATATTATTACAACATTTTACTGGCATTATTCTCTCTTCACTGCAAAAATTACAAATATATTTAATATAAATTGATGATAATTTTTTTTACTGAAGAATACGATTTGTTATCAGTAGATTCTAATTTTTTTTTTTTAATTTATGACTTTTGTTATAAATGTTTATTCTATTACATATAAATTATATACAGTTACTTTATTGCACGAAGAACAATAATAGATTTATATGTTGTAAACTACGCGATGAAAATGGTAACTTTATTTGTAGTGATTAATTAATTAATTAAATTAATTATTAAATAAAAATAATTAATTAATAGGTTCATTGGTTAAATAATTAATTGATAAAAAATAATTAAGAACCTTCATATCAGCATAAGACTATAAAAGTCTACAGTAAATAGTGTTCGCGACAATTCTTTTAATAATTTTACTTTTTCAGAAATAATTTCAGAAATGAATTCCTTATTACTAGTAATATAATATGTTGTTGAAATTTTATTTTTTAATGAGTTATATTTGTATAATGTAGGCATCTAATTAAAACTATTTGAATGCAATCCAAATATCAAAATCTTTTCATGACAATTTTTTAAATGTCAACTTTACCAAAAAGTAATCATTGTTTAAAAGTTGATTAATTATATTTATTTTTTGTGAATGAAAGGAAGTAAGTATAGTGAGCAAATTCAACAATGAAATATCTTTTAAATCATCAAATTATACCTATGCTATGCCTCATATCTTGTGGATGAGGTAATCCAGGACCGGGGGAATGCGATGGAGCAACTTGACCATGTCCAATTGGCCCAGGACCCATAGGACCACCTTGTGGTGGTGAAGGCTGTTGTTGGCCAGGCATAGATCCAGGAGGTGGCCCACCTTGTCCCATACTGCTTGCACTCGCACCCACTTGCGAGGGATGAGGCTGATAATACTGAGGGACAGGCATTTGTGACTGGTGCGGTAGTGGTTGATGTGGGCCTCCAGCTCCCATTGGTCCTCCTGGCTGATGCATGCCTTGATGGGGTCCTTGGTGCATTGGTTGGTGAGGACCTTGATGTGGCCCCTGATGTGGGCCTTGATGTGGACCTTGATGTGGTCCTTGATGGGGACCTTGATGTGGACCCTGATGAGGGCCCTGATGCGGGCCTTGATGTGGACCTCCTTGGTGTGGACCTTGATGTGGACCACCTGGATGTGGTCCTTGGTGTGGACCTTGATGTGGTCCACCTTGGTGGGGCCCTTGATGTGGGCCTTGGTGAGGAGGCTGGTGATGGGGGCCTTGCCCATGTGGAGGTTGTTGCAAGTGGGGTCCTTGCTGTTGATGAGGACCTTGTCCATGTGGAGGTTGGTGTGGTCCCTGCGGGTGAGGGGGCTGCTGGTGTGGACCTTGCGAATGTGGCCCTTGTGGATGGGGAGCTTGCGAGTGAGGACCTTGTGGATGGGGAGACTGAGAATGGGATCCCTGGGGATGAGGAGATTGTGAGTGTGGGTGTGGTGACTGAGAATGCGGTCCTTGTTGATGTGACGACTGAGGGTGAGGACCTTGTGGATGTGGAGGCTGCTGATGTGGACCTTGTGGGTGTGGTGGTCCTGCCTGCTGGTGAGGTCCTTGTGGATGATGTCCTTGTGGATGTGGCGATTGCGAAAGTGGCGGTTGTTGGTGTGGCGACTGCTGCTGATGAGGAGGAACTTGATGCGAAGGGTGCTGCTGATAACTGCCTTGTTGCTGAGGCACTCCTTGCATTTGAGAAGACTGGACATTTTCATAGCCTGGTGATGGGCTATGTGGATGATGTGGTGGTGGCATCCCCATGTTTGGAGGCATTTGCTGGGGATGGGGATAATTTTGCTGAGGCTGCTGATGAGGTGGTGGTGGACCACCATAGCCTTGTTGTGGTGGTTGCCCTGCAAGAAAAAACAAGTATTGTTATCAGAATTGAAGAAAAATCAAATATGGCAAAGAATGAAGCATCCAAGTGAATCCTCAAAAGTGTAAATATTGTGTCAAGAGTGAGAGGAGCAAGTAAATTGGGCCACAACAAAGGCAGAATGTGAGCGTACAATGCAGGTATTGTTGACAAACGAAGAAAGAGAGGAAGGAATGAAAATGAAGGCAAGCGAACAGCAAAAAGTGTACTAACCAGGATGTTGTGGTGGAAACATAAGCGGCGGCGGGGTCTGTTGTGACATGGGCTGCTGCTGCGGCGGCGGACCGGAGACCTCCTGGTAGCCGGGCGCAGGGCTATGAGGATGGTTAGAAGGCGAGGGCGCCTGCTGCTGGGGCGGGCCCATCTGATTGGGCGCCTGTGGTGGTGGCATCGGCGACGGCTGCGGCGACGAGCTGGTCATGCTCGGGCCGCCGCTGCTGTTGCTAAAGTTGCCCGCTGGGGACGCGCTATTATTCGGCCGGGCGTCCTCGCGACAATTCAGATCAGCATCTCTGCAAGGAGGCGCGGCCTTGTACGGCGCTTGTCGCTCTCGAGCAGTCGCGGCTCCGACGGCTCTACTTACTTTGCTGCTACGGCTGCTCATCTATGAAACGCGGGCGCGCGCGACGAGCGAGCGAGGCTTCTTCGCTTCGAACCTCAACTCTCGCACTCACTCACTCGCGCTCGCTCTTCTAGCACTCACTCACACAGCTTTCTGGTGTGTGTGGTGCAGGCTGCTGCTGCTGCTCTGCTGCGGAGCGGCTACCTCTCGTCGTCTCGTCGCGATTTCTCAACAAACGAGGCGCGAGGGACGACTCTCAAACGTCGACGAGACGTCACCGCCGGTGACGGCCACCTTCCTCCATTCCAAGAGAGTAGCGTGCATTATTTTCCTACGCTGCTTGCGCTTGACTCGAATAGAGAGCACTGTGAGTTGGACTGCGCGTTTAGAACCACACCATCAGCCACGGCCCCGAGCACTGTCTCGCACTATTGTCCATCGAACAGCCAACGCGGCTCCGTTCGCGTTCTCTCTCTCTCTTTCTCTCTCGCGCGCGCTCGCTCGCTCGCTCGCTCGCTCTCTCTCTCTCTCTCTTGCTCACGCTCGCCGTTGTCGTCGTTCGCTCTCACCGTACCGTACCGTCGCGTACTTCTGCCGCACGCGCACTGCGATCCACAGCACACTCTGGCCCTTCGAGCAATCGACTATTTATAAAGATAATGATTGTTCGCACTAGCACGATTCCGGGCTGCAGCTGCTGGTTCGCTTTGCTTTACTTGCTTGCTGCCCGATCACTCTGACTGTGCGCTGCTGTGCTCCTGCTGGTATCTACATTTTACATAACCTTAATTCGTTGGCTGCGAAGCGCTTATCTGCCATCTTTGCCAGCACCGAGTTATCTTCAGCTCTTTTCATCTGCGGTACACACAGAAACAGAGGGCACGGCGCCGTCGGCGATCTATCTATCTGGTTATACCTCCGTCTCTTTCTCTGTCGTTTGCCCTCTCTTTCGTACACTCACAAGCTTGCTCGCCGCTGCGTCGGCGTTTATAGTCGGTAGCTTGAGAGAGCTGACTTCGACTGCTGACGATGGGCTAGCGGCGGGTAAACACTAAACACGGCGGAAACACCCACCGCATCCAGCCAACGCACAGCTCTTGACGATTACAAGTCACTTCGCGATGACGACTCACAACTGAATATACTACTCTTGTTCACTCTGCCCCACCAACGACGATGATATTTTTTCTCGGCGAATTCCAGTCCGTCGATTTTGAACTCTGCGGGAATCGTAGTTTAGATACCCATATACTCATTGCGCGTGCTCCGAGTCGAGTAGCTAAACGCAACAGCGGCTCCAGATGGTGCTGCCCTCTCCACTTACAGATTTGCCCACCCAGATTTACCTCTCCTACTCTCCACGCCTACCCCGGTAGATATCCAGTAGTCGTATATAATATATAAACCTACGTATCATTGTAGTAAATTAAATCATTTAACTATTTAATATAGTTTATTTATCTATTAGAATCGATAAATATTTAGTTGTAGATGTAAGTATATAATGGAGCACTTCATTTCTGACGTACAACAAACGAATCAAAGATTGAGAATACTTCCTCGCCAAAGAAATTTTCCGACACAAGAAATTCATCTCTTAATTTAATGTTTATGTCTATTAAATATTTATATCAATGAGATTGTTCAAATCGTCGAGAAGTCTGCATGGGATTTGTACGTTAAAATCGATAATTTCTCTGTCCACCACAACGTCCCTTCAATTAACGCCACGTCAACGCAAAGATCATTCATAATTGACACAAGAAGTTGAGAAAGTGCGCGGCTTAAGCAACATTCATATATGTTGAGATCTTTGAAGCTAAAATTTATTTTAAATAAAGTTACATAACACGTCCTGTGATTTCGCGGGTTATTTTTGTTTTGTCGACACCGTCTCGTTTGGTCATTTTCCCGCGAGTTCTCATCACTCATGCTTCTACCGGCAAGTCGCGTATTTGCGCGCATGTGCGGTATACGGTGTACACACTGGCAGAACTCGATCTGGTCTGGTCAAAAAAAACTTGGAACTTCGTAATAAACAATTTTTAGTGAAGTCTTGTAGAGGTATTTTTAAACAGCATGTATTGATGAATATACATTTTTTGTGCGTTCCGAGATTATAAAAATTTTCGATAAAACAAAAGAAAATTAACAAATTGAATTGAATATAAACATGTGCGTGATGTTTACGTTATAAGATATCGTATTTTCTCTCATTCTCGCACTGATCTCGTAAATGTGGCGAGGATATCGAGTTCAGTCTGAGTTGCAAAATATATTTTATAGCCAGTTATAGCCATTTTACTTATGCATACATATACATACATTTATATACATATATGTGCGTACGCGTGCGAGTGTGTCTATGTGTGTGCACATCAAAATATTAGTCATGTTTTAAAATTAGTTAAGCAAAATACCTTCATTGTTTAAAGTATGTCATTTTTATACATTATAGTTAATTCTGGGATGTGTATTTATTACAATTTAAATTAGAGAGTACGTAATAATGTGTTTGTATAGTGCAGGGATGTGTAGACCGCGCCATTGAAGTAACAATCGTTCGTCCCGTAGGCTATTACGCACTTTTATTTCGCTAAAATTTGTATTCACAAGTTATACGTTTTACAACTTAGAAATTTAATAAATTAGGTAAAACAATTGTGGATTCATATTCGTCTATTAAGGATAAATTTAATTGATTGTATGAAGTACCTTGAAATATTGATATATTTTTTTAACATTTCGTATGATTTGATTATTCAGTTTGCAATATTTATTATATTATTCATTTATAATATTCATAATTAAATTTATAATTAATTATTTTTCAAACCCAAGTATCTCGTTATGGCTGTACTTGCTCAAATTAATTTTGAAAAAATTAGAATCTATAATTACCAATTCTGATTATACTTTTTTTAGTCACACTGCAAAAGCTTATAATTCTAATCAATATTTCTTATCACGATCACAATATAATACCATTTGGGAATTCAAAATATTAAAATACATTGAAAACACTGAAATGTTTCCATGGACATCAATCACCATTTGCTGATGCGGATTCTTCGAAAATATCGATATTATGTTAATATACAAAATTTTTCAATTAATATTCATAATTGTAAAACAACTAAAGTCTTATTATTGTACTTATTGTAATTATTGTACAATAATTATTAATTTTTAACATGTTCAAACGTATTGCAAACGTCAATAGAATAAATAATCGATAAACACGCAATATTAATATTCCAAAGAATATTTTACAAGAAGGGAAAAGTTTATAAAATCTGCGAAATTCACAGATCGCGGTAAAAATGTATTTTTATTTTATATTTCAAAGCCAAAGCTAAAGAGAACAAAGATAGTCGATCATTCTAGATAAGTGAACGATCATCATCTACGAAAGATACCCTCTCCTCTAGCACCGAATTAAGGTTATGTAAAGCGCGGAGCACATCGTAGATATCCAAGTTAATTATCTCGACAAATACTTGATCCCGTTGACGGAGCATCCTAAGTTGAACAATAAAGAAAACTGACCACTTCATTTCTCAATAGCGATCGTTGCAAGCCACGGCATATTTTTTTTAAATAATACATATATATATATGACGTATTGCATTAACATTGTGTATGCGCACGGTAGCGGGAACGGGAAGCCGGGAAGGGAAGCGAGCGTGCCACAATGTGTGTGTGTGTGGGTGTATATGACGTCTGCCCGCCATTGATTATGAACTGAGCTGCCTGCGTTCGTATATTCCTGATATATACCAGAGATACTCTGCCTGGACAATCAATTCATGACCCGCGAAGTTCAAAATCCAAATAATTTTCAACGCATGAGCATAGATAGTATTGAATGGATTTTTTTCTGGTAAGTTGCGGGAATTCAAATTGTTGAAATAAGCCGTTGACTTAACCTCATTTGGCGTGATCGATACTCAATCGTCGAAAAGAATTTCAATTTTGAACTTCGCGGGTCGTGAATTAATATTCAAGTTTATACCTGTAGGAGCCGCTGCTGCTGTTACTATATATATGTGTTATTATATATACTATACGCATATATAATATATATATACACGTATATATAGTATATAGTCTTGTCACTCGTACAAAATGTCAGCATCTGTTAGAAGAAGCTGATCGTAAACCTATCAAATATAGCGTGTAGTGCCATGGCGACGACGAGTCCATCGCCGATGCCACCACTAACGACGACGACGTCGACGACAATGGAACAACCCCAGCTATCACCGACGGAAGGTTCCGTTCAAGGCATAGCTTCTCAGAGCCCAGCACCAACGGTTTTTCAGGATACCTCGACTCAATCGCAGCAAGGATTTTGTACTCCGCAACAGCAGCAACAACAAGTACCAGCTTTGGAAGGCAATCAACCTATACCTCATGTTGTACAGCAATATTCCCAGTCAATGTCCAATGGTATTGGGATTGTAGGACAAAATGGACAAGTTACAACTATGCCACAGCAGTCACAGCAAACTGGAAGTATAGGTTCAATACAGCCTGGGATTAATGGATCTTTAACTTCACCAGGTTTAATTTTTTAATTTCATATAAAGATAATGTTATAACTAAATCAACTTTTACATACTTGAAATTGATTTTTTTTATATTTGGCAGGCAATCAAACCCAAATAGGAGGTCTAGTTAGCTCTAATTCTATTGTTCATCAAAATAGTGCTCCTATTCAAAATAGTATGTCCAATGGACCATCACCTGGTTCGGTAAGGAGTCCAAGAATTCCAGAAAATAAATTTGTTGCTTTACAAAAAGCTATTGAGATCATGGAAGAAAAAGGGTTAAAAGATGATCATCGATATATACAGTTGCTTGCACTAAAAGCAAAGTATGCCAATCTAGTAAACGAGAAGCAATCTCTCAATCCTCAACAAATACAGCAGTTGAGAGCTCAGATAATGGCATATCGTTCATTAGCCAGGAATCAGCCTTTGACACAACAGCAGGTAATGGCTGTTCAGGGTCAAAAACCTTCAGATTCTAATCAAGGTCCTACAATTACTCCAACTATCACTGTAATTGGACCACAAAAGCCTGGTCAAGGACTTCAACTAACAGGTCAAGCACTACAGACAACTGTGAAACCTAACAAGGTTGCAACAACTGGCAAGCCTACTACCCTTGATCCAGTGATTATTTTACAAGAACGAGAAAATCGGGTTGCAGCCAGAATAGCATTAAGAATGGAGCAGCTAAATTATATGCCTACAAATATGCCAGAAGATTTGCGAGCTCAAGCTCAAATTGAGCTAGGTATGTTAAGGGTATTGAACTTTCAACGACAGCTCAGATCAGAAATATTAGCTTGCACTAGAAAGGACACTACTCTAGACACAGCTGTCAATCTGAAATCGTTTAAACGTACAAAACGACAAGGATTAAGAGAAGCCAGAGCTACTGAGAAGCTTGAAAAACAGCAAAAGTTAGAGGCTGAAAGGAAAAGGAGGCAGAAACACCAAGAGTTCATTAGCTCTATTCTGCAACATAGCAAAGATTTCAAAGAATTCCACAGAAATAATCTTGCTAAGATGGGTCGCCTGAACAAAGCTATTCTTAATCATCATGCCAATGCCGAGAGAGAACAGAAGAAGGAACAAGAAAGGATAGAAAAAGAACGTATGCGACGTCTTATGGCTGAAGATGAAGAAGGTTATAGAAAACTTATAGATCAGAAGAAAGATAAGCGATTGGCCTTACTACTTTCACAGACAGATGAGTATATCAGTAATCTAACAGAGATGGTGAAACAGCACAAAATGGAACAAAAGAAAAAGCAAGCAGAACAACAAAAGCGTAAAAAGAAGAAGAGATACCAAGATGGTGAAATGGTCGATGGAGATGAAGATATACATATTTCTGTCATTGAAATTTCCACTGGTCGTACTTTGAATGGTGAAGATGCACCTCTGTTGAGTCAGTTAAATGCCTTTTTGGAGTCTCATCCTGGCTGGGAAACAGTTGATTCTGATAGTGAATATGAAGATGATGAGGAGGAAGATGAAAAAGATGAGGACAAGAAATCAGACTCAGGTGAACCTGATGAAGAAAAGGCCAAAAGAACAATACAAAAAGCTAAAGTTGAAGATGATGAGTATAAAACAGAAGAACAAACTTACTATAGTATTGCTCATACCGTCCATGAAGTCGTCACTGAACAAGCTACCATCATGGTAAATGGTAAACTGAAAGAATACCAGATTAAAGGTTTGGAATGGATGGTTTCATTGTTTAACAACAATCTGAATGGTATTCTGGCGGATGAGATGGGTCTTGGTAAGACTATTCAGACCATAGCACTTGTAACCTATCTCATGGAAAAAAAGAAAGTCAATGGACCATTTCTCATTATCGTTCCTCTCTCAACCCTTTCAAATTGGATATTGGAGTTTGAGAAATGGGCACCTAGTGTAGTTGTAGTCTCATACAAAGGATCTCCTGCTGGAAGAAGGGCGATTCAGTCTCAAATGCGCGCTACAAAGTTCAATGTACTCTTGACTACTTACGAATACATAATCAAAGACAAAAGTGTCTTGGCAAAGTTACAATGGAAATACATGATTATTGATGAGGGTCACAGAATGAAGAATCACCATTGTAAGTTAACTCAAACATTGAACACTCATTACATCGCGCCTCATCGACTGCTGCTCACGGGTACGCCACTTCAGAACAAATTACCTGAGTTGTGGGCGCTTCTTAACTTTTTACTTCCCTCTATCTTTAAATCGTGCAGTACGTTCGAGCAGTGGTTCAATGCACCTTTCGCGACTACTGGTGAAAAAGTCGAATTGAACGAAGAAGAAACAATTCTTATTATTCGTCGTCTGCATAAAGTATTGCGTCCATTTTTGCTCAGACGTTTAAAGAAGGAAGTAGAATCGCAGCTACCCGATAAAGTGGAATATATAATTAAGTGCGATATGTCTGGCCTGCAGAAAATTCTTTACAAACACATGCAAAGCAAGGGTGTGCTGCTGACTGATGGATCAGAGAAAGGAAAACGCGGCAAGGGAGGCGCAAAAGCCTTGATGAATACCATCGTACAACTTCGTAAACTTTGCAATCATCCATTTATGTTCCAAAATATCGAAGAAAAATATTGCGAGCATTTAGGCATTCAGGGAGTTGGTCTGATAAGTGGTCCAGATTTATACAGAGCATCTGGTAAATTCGAGCTTTTGGATCGGATTTTACCGAAATTAAAAGCTACTGGTCACAGGGTACTACTCTTCTGTCAAATGACACAGCTCATGACTATAATGGAAGATTATCTAAACTGGCGTCAGTTCAAGTACTTGAGGTTAGATGGTACAACGAAAGCCGAAGATAGAGGTGATTTGTTAAAAAGATTCAACGACCCAGGTTCCGATTATTTTCTATTCATCCTGTCGACTCGCGCCGGTGGTCTTGGTTTAAATCTCCAAGCAGCCGATACCGTCATTATTTTCGATTCCGACTGGAATCCTCATCAGGATTTGCAAGCTCAAGACAGAGCCCATCGTATCGGTCAGAAGAACGAAGTGCGAGTTTTACGACTTATGACTGTCAATTCCGTCGAGGAGAGAATTTTAGCTGCTGCTCGGTATAAGTTGAACATGGACGAGAAAGTCATACAGGCTGGTATGTTTGATCAAAAGTCGACGGGATCTGAGCGACAACAGTTCCTAAAGACTATTTTGCATCAAGATGACGCTGACGATGAGGAAGAAAACGAAGTGCCAGACGACGAGACTGTCAATCGGATGATTGCCAGATCAGAACAAGAATTCGAATTGTTCCAGAAAATCGATCAAGAAAGGCGAAGAGAAGACGTGCAAAAGTTTGGCCCCAACTGTCGATCACGTTTACTCGATGAAACCGAACTACCTGACTGGTTGGTGAAGGATGACGAAGAAGTTGAAAAATGGGCTTACGAAGACGACGAGGATAAGTCTCTCTTCGGCAGAGGTTCTCGTCAACGAAAAGAAGTTGATTATACAAACAGTCTTACGGAGAAAGAGTGGCTGAAAGCTATTGGCGAGGAAGGAGTTGATCTTGAAGAGGAGGAAGAGGACGATAAAAATAGTAAGAAAAAGTCAAGAAAACGAAGAAAAAAAGGTGATGACGATGACGATTCAGGGCCTAAGAAAAGAAGAGGCACCATTGATACAAAAACGAAGAAACGCATGAAGAAAGTACTCTCGTTAGTCATCAACTATACTGATCAGGATGGTCGATTTCTCAGCGAACCGTTCATGGAACTGCCACCTCATCGAGATTTCCCCGACTATTATGAAATAATCAAAAGGCCTCTTGCGATCAATAAACTCGTGCAAAAGATTGACGAAAGTAAGTATGCGGATTTCGACGACCTTGAAAAAGATTTCATGCAACTCTGCAAAAATGCTCAAACTTACAATGAAGAAGCTTCGCTCATTTACGAAAATTCAGTTGTTTTGCAAACTGTCTTTCGAGCCGCTCGTCAGAGAATTGAGGCCGAACATCAGGCTTCAGACGAAGAGAAAGAAGCATCACAAGAAATGGTTGAGGGTGAGGAAGAACAGTCTGGTGTAAGGATGAAGATTAAGCTGAAAGGAAGAAAAAGCGAAGGTGGCAGAGGTGGTCGTAAAAAACGTATGTCCAAGAAATTCATTGACGATGACAATGAGGCGAGTTCCTCAATGCCTGTACCAGATCAATAAGTGCAAGACTACGTGCAAGCGAATGCTAAAGAAATAATTTTCTTACAAAAGACTTTAGAAAATTAATATTCGATGAACGATGCTCGAAGTGTCATGTTTTTTCTATAAGCCTTTAGAGTGTGTAAAATATTTGCGGTGAATCGATCGAGTTGGTTTCTCTTTTGAATGTATACTTATTTTGGCACGACTTTTATTTGATTTATATCACAAGCTTTGTTTCGAAGCTATAATTCTTTTTTTTCTTAAAATCTTTATCTTTATTTCACTTTACCGAATTGTCTTTATATATTTTATTTTTGAACGAATACTGCATTTGAAACCAATGTCGATAAAGATGTAATAATAAAAACTGTAAATAATTTAAAATAAAAAGATTTTTGTGGAATTGGATATTTAAAAACTATTTATTTCAAGGGTAACAATTTTTGAAACACGTATACACACATACATAACTTATATTTATTCGAAAACAGAGAATTTATTTACTGGTACAATAAGTTTGTTAAAACAATTACCTTTAAAGTAAATTTACGTAAAAATTTCCAACATAGTCTTAGCATTTTTTACGTCGGTCTATAATAGAGCGCTATTACTTTACTTCGGAAAGAAAAAAGGCAAGTGAATTAAAATGCAATTAATGTGAAGCTGATGGAAAAAATGACAAAATTCGATTTATAAATGATTGTCAAGAGAAATCAATTATAAATTAAATGAAGCTTAACGATAATTACGGTAATCGCATTTCGTTCGACGTTACGCGACGTTAAGACATTTTATATAAAGTTTTGAATTACATTTAAGAAGTTTTCTTGCGGACATGAAGAATAATGAATTTTATGACATTAAAATGTCAGTAAAGAAATAAAAAAGCAAATAAATCTTTTAAACTGATGTAGAAATTTATCTGAAGTTACTCTATCTGTCGTATCCATATTTTTTAAATTTTAGGCTGCACTTATTTGTAGTAAAAAATAAAAATCTAGAATAGAATTTTCTTTATACCTCCTTATTCTCATGTTGCCTATAATCAAGAACTAACACAGAGATATTAATTATGCTGTATCATGTAAATCGCGTAGATCATCATATTATTGAATGTATAAAACTATTGTTTCTATTGTTTCTATTTTGCATTCTTTGTATGCTATTATTTTATATTATTATATTGCAAATATTATTTTACGGTAGAAATATAGTAAATTATTATTTTATTGTTTATTAATAAATTTGAATTAACGGAATTTGATTGCACGCTACCTTTTCCATTTGTTTCGTTAACTTACTTAATTTATTATTCAAAATTGTTATTCACGCTATGAATTAATGTTTACACTTGGACACGGTCTATCATTATTAAAATTCTTTTCAGAGGAATACAATGACATTACATATGGATTATGTCGATTTTCGGATGAGCTTAAAAATGCTAATAGTTTTTATTTAAAATAGATAATCAAACAGAATTTTTAGAAAACTTGTGCTAAATTTGATTATTTGTGGTGAAGTTTTTCAAATCACAACAAAGTATTATTTTTGCATAAGTCAAAATATACATAGAGTAACAGCCACTCTCCAAAACATTGTTGAAAAAGTTACCGCCGTTTCTGGTAATTTAAGAAATTACGCAATTATTTACTTTTAAATCAATAATTTTTCAACTTAGTCTCAATTTCAAAAAATCAAACAGTAAGACAAGAAATAAGAAACTTCAATTGCCTCAAATTATCACTTATCGAAACAGTAGCTATACATATAATATAACTATTAAAGATTTACATGTTGCCTACTGAGTTAAAAACAATCGATACTACGATCGGAAATATAAAAAGAAAATTGAAAGAATGGATCAGATATAATGTTTAAATATATGCTATGTGATATATAATATTACATAAGTAATAAATTTAATAATTGTCATATTTCAATTATGAGATAGTAAAGACTTGAAAAAAAGTTATCTGCTTATATAATTAATTTTTATTTTTTTTAGTTCACAATGATATTCCAATCCCATAAACAGGAGCTTGCATACTCTGCAGATTTGGCGGATTTACTCACAATCAGGTATACCTTACACTAGAGTTTATTTTCTCCGATTGTAATTTCTATTGGATCTAATAAAAAATAAAATTCTCAAGCAAATAAAACAAAGCCAGCCCATTTATATTTCTCTATGTAATAAATAATTTAATATTTAGTAAATAAATCTAATATATAACACATATAATAATAAAGAAAAACAGTTAGAAAATAAAAAGGCTGATCTATTCTCTGCAATGAAGTATAAATTTCAATCTGAATGTTGTTCTTCAGCTTGTAGTTTATGACGAGAAATTGCGGCATAAAATAAAACAATCGTTTTGTTTTTGCTGTGATATGATAATAGATATCCTACTCGAATGTCGATTTCATATTTTGTTTGATCAGATTTTTTACTTATTTTTGCATTGATAGTCCGGGGGCTGGGTACCTTCTCGTATTAAATAAAAATATGAAGACTAAAAATTCTTTATTCTCGTGAATTCAAACCCGTATGTAAATTTTTCAAAAAAAGAATAAATATTTATTTAAAATGTAATTATTTAAAGAATATATGAAAAAATGGCTTTTCTATCCGATCAAATTTGTTTTTTAAATAATATGGCACATTTTATAAAAAAATGGTCTCGTAATTTTTTCGTAAAATGCATTTTTCAAAAGTTACAAATTTTTTTAAATCGAAAATTTGACATTGTTTACTAACTTTTGACCTATTGAATATTATTTAAAACCGAAAAAAACTATATATATAGTATTTTTTGAGATTTATATTTCAAATTCAAACTAGGTGATTTATCAATTCATTCTTGATCGTTACTTTTACGAAATAATAATTTAGACTTAGTCGCCGTCACACAAACTTAATAATAAAAATAAAATTTCTGTGTTAATTAGAATTTGTTATAATATATATCGTTGTAAGCTTTGTTTAAAAGTAACAATCTTCTGCTTTTTCCTAAAGAAATCAATTTCAATTTACCTAACAGTCTTCTCGACACTATTTCTGTAATCTTTATTTTGTTACCAAATGTGCATTTGAAACCAATGTGTAAAAATATGTGAAGTGCTCATGAAGTGGAAGATAAAATAAAATATTCATTTCAAAAGTAAACAAGTAGCATTTAATAAAGGTTAATTAGTATTAATAAAAGTAAAAACTCACCGCTAGAAGGCAAAGTTTTTCTATACACACACAAATATATGCAAGTTACGTTTATTCATGAAGCATAGAATTTATTGATTGAGCGTTAGAACAAGGTCGCCTGGACTAGAACGATTGCCTTTGGTGTTGATTTACGTAAAAATTTCCGACATTGTCTATAGCATTCTTTACTCCTGCTTGTAGAGAGCTATTATATATTTATATAATTATACATTGTCTTGTAATGCGAAATGAGAAAAATAAAAATTTCCAATTTGGAGCTGCTGAAAAAGATAGAACTCAATTTGCAACTGCAGATTAATTATCGATGACTTTCAATGGCAGATGCAATTTATTATAATTGTAATAAAATAAAATGAGTAACGACAATAATTAAATATGAGTAATCGTATTTCGTTCTACGTGTGAAAAACTCTTGGGATCACACTTCCGGCAGGCAAATGTACTTGGAAACCATTGTAAAAATAAAAATTAACAAACGTCGATCAACCAATAATCCGTGGTCCCTGCCATGGCACAATGTCTAATGTGCGCAATGCAATGCTTCTTCGCGGTTAAATTCAAACGAAGTCCGCGTCGCGTCGCTGGTATCGTTATATTAATGCCTTTGCCTTGGCTGTCGAATATTAGCCACTAGCATTTCTCGGCAGTGTGGTAGTAAGTTGCCTCGCGGCTCGTACTCTACACGCATGGCATGGCCGTACGTCGAGCAGCCAACAGGAGCATTACTAGCAGAAGCATTAATTTCATCGTCGGTCGAACAGTGAACCATTACGTCAACTCGTGACAATCAATGCTCGATAATTTCAAAGCATCAATTGGTGGTTGAAGACGCGCTTTTCCCAATCACGATTCACGAGTGTCAAGGTCACATGGATCCTTGCAAGGGTATACCAGGATAACGGACTTGATGTGGCTCAATTTAGTAGCAACCAGTGCAGTATTATGAAAGGCCACATGAGATTAAGATCTTGAGCTGTTAGTTTTCATAGAAGAAAGTTCAGCTTTGATGTGAGCAACACCTGGTTAAGATGATTGAAAACTTGATCAATGAATGGCTGGCTGACTGTGCTGAGCTCTCAACATCTGAGGTCAACACATTTGCCTATCAACTGTCGCAGGACGATGAGATTGTACAGGCTCTGTACTTACTTTTTGAGGAGCGTAGCAAATACAGCCAGGTTTACTGCTTTTTGAATTGATAAGAAAAACACTTGTAGAACACAACATGAGATTGTCAATAATTGTATAATATAATTTTTAACTTCAGTTGGTGGAGACTGTGTGCAATCAGCTATTCAATTTCTACAGATCAAGAGAAATACAACTACAACGCTTTAGTTTACAGTTCATACCTACATTAATTTACATTTATTTAAATGCTGCTGCTCATGGTGACATTAAAGTAAGCTTTATCTATAATTACATTATGACTAATATACAATATATAATAAGTTGATATGACATTCTTATTTAAACACTTCTTCTTGTAAGATTAACAATTTTTTTTGAAGTTGGTAATATTTTTAGTTTTTTTTATCACTTAGATGACTGTGATTTCATTATGTAAGAAGATTCTAGGTATAGCTTCAGTTGTACTCAAAATGTAGAGTCATATCCTTAATTATTATTCTGATGGACTAGAATTCCATTTCAACATTTTCCTTACAAACCTTATTCCTTGATATGATGATTTATAAATATTGAATCAAAAGTACCAATTCAATTTATCTATTTTTTAGAACTGCCGTACAGTGGAAACCTTATTAGTTGGTGTGTATAATTTAGAATTGGTGGACAAAGATGGAGAACCTAAAGCAGTATCTTTTCGTTTACCTTCACTTGCAATGATGTCAATATACCATGAGGTGTGTTAATCAATCAAATAAATGTACTATAATTTTCTTACATCATTTATGTATTTTTAGCCATCTAGTTTAGCACCAGCATCACTTACAGAAAATGCTGTGCGAAGGTTTGAAGAGTGTAATACAAAACTTGTCAGCTGGGGTCCTCTGAAGCATATTGAAACATTAAATGCACAGAACAGGCTAAAAGTAATGACGGCTTTATTATTTGTGTTCAATCAACATTTAAGTTTTCTAAAGAAATCAGCTCTTGAACAGCTGTGTAAAGTTGCTTCAAAGTGAGAAATTTAATAATTTTTATACAATAGTTTCTATATATTATTATTTTATTATCATACTCCATCAATTACAGACTTGTTACTCAAGGTTTCATGAAACCTGGACATCATCAACGTAGTTCTTATGGTAGCGAATCAAGTTTTGTTCCTAGACTTTTGCCTCGCATACCAGTATCAAGTCAGTTTTTACTTGAATTTCTTCATGCTATTTATTTTTCTATGTGAGTATTTTTTGCAATAACGATAAATAAAGCATCAAAATATACTATAAACATGCTTCGTTTTGTAGGTACAACAATTGTTGGTATGTTGCAATTCAAGCTGTTGAAGACATTCACAATCGAGCCTGTTATGAAACATATCCGGACGTTATGCTCGCTACGAATGCTATACGCAATGCCAGCAATGCAGGTCCAACAGGTACATCAGATAAAATAAAACACGTCGTATCGTACAATATTCGCTAAACATAATCGAATAAAAAAAATCTTTCAACATTTTCTTAAATAAGGTGCATTGATAGATATTTTTGAATTTTTGCAGGACAACCGTCTGAAGGGTCTATAGGTGTGCATGTTCCAACGTCAAGTACAACAACAATATTAAAATCAATGATCACGAACGCTTCGTTTCGAACGAAAAAGTTACCGGGTAAGTTTATTTATTTATAATTAGCATCAGGTCCGGTGAATAACTGTAGAATTTTGATCGTTATTAAAATTCTTATCAGTGTTTTTGCACATGATACTATCCACTTAAGTGGAAAGCCTCATCACTGTCATAAATATAATTTGACTTTAACTTTTCATGAACATTTTTAAAAGTATCTTATATACTTAATCAGTTTTTTGTGCATGTATAAGCTGAATGAAAACGATCATAGTTCAAGTTTTAAAAGATTAATGTGAAAATGTTTCGATTTCTATTTAGATGTGCATGTATCTAACATGTTTCATTTAAATCAAATAGTATAATTTTTAACGAATTTGAGATCAAGTGTAATAATATTTGAATCACATGAATATTGAACTTTTAAATGAAAATTCCAATCGACGAAATGAGTAAGTAACAGGCATTTTCGTAAAAACCATGAAACAAGTCTATTATGAAATCACAGACGACCTGGACGAGTTATTGTTTGAGAGCAGTGAAACAAAAAGCGACACAAACGTAACGACCTCAGCCACCACGCCAGCTCAACGAACACCAGTTAGCAGTGTGAGACGTCGCGCTTGGTTGTGGAAAAATCCGATGCACAACTCTTTCGACGACACCGATATTGCCATCGCCGATCGTCACCAAGTACCCGCGATAGTCGTTCAGCCATCTTCGTCGGACAACTCTAGACGTCCAAGCGTAGCGAGCAGTCAAAGTTCACCAAACCGATCGTCGCCAAAACGAGGAAGAAACAAAAAGGACAACGCGGCCGGTAAAATGAGAAGAGACTCGTTGAAGGACAAATCAAGCGGCGAGAGCGCAGCGCAGAAATTGTACAGAGTGTTGGAAGAGCAAGCACTTGGGGAAGCTGTTGGACGCTTGGGAGTGGGAATCTCGAAGAGCAAGCAGCCAATCAATCTGTGTAATCCGACAGATGGATCATCGTCTAGTAGTGGATTTCAACATTAGCTTATTTTCTTTTCCGATCGTTTATATGTAGCAAAGAAGATTAGTTTGTCAAGAGTAGTTGCATTCGAGAGATAAAAATAGTGAGGTGAGCAAAAAATATAAAGAGAGAGAGAGAGAGAGAGCAAGCGAAAAAAAGCACTGCAGTTATTGGAGCATCTTATTTTTGTGAGCTTTCCACGCCAGAGAAGGAGAATTTTTTCTTAAGAGCACTCGGACACTTATAATATATATAAAAAAATCAGCGAGTTTTAGTGCATCGTCCCACGCTGTGTAGTTATTCTGGCGATACACTATAATTTGAAAATATCTTTTACGCTTTTTTTATGTACTTAATGTATGAGTGAATTCCTTTTGTATATATGTAATCCTCAACCATGCTATATATTGAATTATTGGATTATCGTAGTAATATGTTAGATTTAAGTATTCAAAATATTCAATACTCACGTATGATTAGTGTAAATGTTTGTTCACTTTGTTATATCGTTGTTTTCTTCATAAATTTGTCTAATAATTTCATAATTTCATAATTTTCTTTATAAATGTAATATGTTTCATGCTAATTAATAGATATCTGTATCTTCAAATTTGGTTTATCGTAAATTATCGATTTTTTTCAGATGATATTCCAATCCAACAAGAGGACCAGCAACAGCAACAGCCAAACGATAAGAGTAGTGTTAGCAAAATTGAGAAAAGCGAGAAGAGCGCCAGTAAAGTCGAAAAAAATGAAAAGGCAACAAGAGTAGAAAAGAATCTTAAATTGGAGTAAACAAAAATTATATCCGTCTATCAGGTAATATTAAAATTTTAACTTTCACTTTCATATATAATGATAAGTTCTGAATTTCAACCATTTCTTCCTGGTTTTTTTTCTAGATGTCTGCATTATGCTACAGAAAAATAAACTTGTAAGACAAAAATTTATCATTTTAACTTACAAACTGAGGAATATTTAACACACGCCGTATGAAATTTTATGAAACTTATTTTGCATCAAAAGTTCATATAGATTTTTATCCAGTACGCATTTTTGGGCTCCGTTATTTATAATCATAAATTTTTACTCTTATTTTATATTAATAAGATAAAATAATGTACTTAGAAGTTTAAACATTTATCGGATCAGATTGACAAATTTTTAAGAGAACGAATATATACATTTTTTGAAGTCATCCGACTTGTTTTGGTATCAATCTATATTCTTATTAATAAGAAGTTATGAACAAAAAATAAATATCATAAAATAATATTGATCATTTACATGTTGACCAATGTTTATGAATTAAAAAAATTTTTTTAATACATAACGTTTTATATAATGAATTATTTAGTTCTAATAGAAAAGCTCAGTATTGATTAATAATTCAGAATTTACATGAAATTTTCAAGAAAAATGTGGTGCAACTGGTGTCTCTTGTAAAATATGTGAGTGCATATACTAAATAACTTTCATCGATTAATTGAAGTGTTTTTAAGTGCTATATTCAAATATTTTAGCAGAAAATAATAGTCTGTTAGGAGCATTATTTTTCTTCTTGCGAGAAAAAATGCGGTTAGGGCACGAGTTAAAATAAATAATTAATTGGTATTTAAAAAAAACAGAGCTACTGAAACAATTATTGTTTCATTAAAAAGAAAAATCCAATATATAGATCGCATATAAATTTATTGAAAACAGTCCTCTGTGATATAATTTTTCTCTATAATTCGTATACGATATATGAACACTTGGTTTAGCAGCCATTAGTGCTTCCATCAATTTCATTTTGTTTATTGTTTAGCACTTAAATTCATTGGCTAACCCTTGTGCAGCTTTCTCAGCATAACGATGTTCTGTAAGCAACGATTTGTTCCATTTGTAAATGTAAGATAAATTTTATTCTTGTGGAATTATTTTCATTACTTTTTAATATATTATTTTACTTGTACATTCATAAAGGACAAAATTATTTGTTCTATATTAAAGGACATTAGATAAAAAGAAGTCAGATTGTCAATCTGTTCTAGTTTCCAAACTGTTCAGATGGAAACAATATACTGTGTTGCTCTGGCATCAATATAATGCAGAATAATTTCGTTGTAGAAATGAAATACATTAATACACATCGACATGACCGTGCATCACGCGCAAACTCCAGCACACGTCGTTATATATAGTCGTATAACAGCGCTTTAACGTACGTTCTGAATCTTCGCTCGTCGATCTAGAAAAACACATAGCAGCTACACGCGTGCACACGGACATGCATATACAAACCAACGCGGCGTCGTTCTCGTACATCTCTTTTTCTACCCGCCGAGAAATTGTTCCCACGTGAGGCGAGCGCGTGATAATTAGATTAGTTCGTTTACACTGTCACCGATACGGATTACGTACGTTCTGTCGGATGACGACTCTTCATAATTAATGCAGATATATATACATCCTGGCGTGCTCTCGTGCAGTCGGCCTGTTTACGAGGCGAAACTTTTAGGGCGCGGCGTTGACTTTGAGTGAGCTTATATTGCCCAGGAATGCTAGTTTATTTATTAGGGTGCCTCTTTTACTGTTCGCGCCTTAAAGCTGCGGCTTTCTTTTATTGCTACGAATTGTTATGTTTCATTTCATTTTCTGTTTTTTTTTCAAATGAAAAATACGGTATTATTTTTTTTCAATTTCGCGAGTTACATTAATGGAAAACTTTCGTTGATGTTGTTCATAACGTAACTTTAAAGACTTAGTATTATTCAATTTTTACATTTCACTCAACGACGAAATAAAACTTTGAAGCAATTTTCCAAACAAAAAAGATATAAAACATATTTAATATTATTATTAATAATTATCTCGTGAATGTTGTGCTTCGAAGAGGAATATCGACGATACGACTGTTAAGTATATATACTCGTTGCAAAAATTTACCGGCGAATGATATCAGAATCGTTGTCGAGAGAAATTGTTATGAGCAGATCATTTATTAATCATACAAATATTACAAACATAAATATGAAAAAACGTGATTTGTTTTCCACGAAAAAAATTTTAAGCGATCTCAATATTATATTAATATTTCGAATTTCATATACTTTACGATGGTGATACTAATTAATGAAAACTTATCAAGGATGTACTCCGATTTTTACAACAGTTAGCTCTTAGATTGGGAAACATTTCTTACAATTTCCCAAACGAAAAGAGTTAGTTATCTGTCTTGGATTTTGATGGAAGTTTTGATTTTGGAATTTCACCATCCAATTAATAACACAAAAATAATTAAAATTGCTATTATATTTGTTAAAATTCAACTATAACTTAAAAACGACTGATCAGATTGACTATGTAATAAAAAAGTAATGACAAGAAAAATGACAAAAAATGCCTTTCTGCAGTCAAGTGTCATGTAATAATAATCACAGGCAAAGGTTTCTCTGCTTTAGTTGTGTGTATTATTATACTTTTGATACAAATGAGCAAACTAAAAGTGCTGGTTTGGAGTAAATGAGATAACTATTTCGTTACGAAAAAAGAAAACTTACTAGAAAACTGTACAAATTTGTTATAAAGGCGAAGAAAATCGCAGCTTGTTACAGAGATATAGTATACTGAAATGTATTGTCAATCGAGCGAATTTAAAAAAGGAAGTACGGCGTATCGCAATATGGTTGGAGACTCGCGAAAATCGTCTCACAAACGCGGCGCGTCTTAGTTCAACTCAACTCAACTAAATGTGTTCTCTTTCTTCTCTAAGAAAAATAAGTATAAAAAACAATTTTTCGAAGACAAGCCTTGTGATTACTTCAGATTTACTGAAAGCGAAAAATCGTGGAACGATAAATTATTGTTCTCAGACAATTATACTGTAAAACGTCAAGTTATATCATTAATGAGAAGAATATAAATAGTGTACACATCTTCGAGTATGCATTATGTAATATAAAATCATGTATAAATGATGTTAGTCTCTAATGCGCTAAGCAATAAAAATAAAAAATTATTGAAAATCATTTTTTATACTTATTCAAATTCAATGATCAACTGCACCATGTATGCATAATAAAAATACTTATTTTGACTAATAGTATAGCATAGGTGTGTGTGTAGTAATAGTAGTAGTAGTAGTAGTATCAGTTACGATGCTTTGAATTTCATGGTTGTTTTGGAATGCAAGAGTATTTTTAATGTGTATTCTATGATTGTCTTAATTATTATCTAAATTTTATTAATCCGTTACGGGATTTGACAATTTTTGCAAAATTTAATTAGAGGGTAATAGCACATAATTGAGTATGTAAGTCATGAAATCTGGAGAGCTTGTTTAATATTAGTTAAATACAAAATCGGAAAAATATTACCTGTAGTTGTCTTGCATTACCATTTCCGACAAATGTTGGCTCGTTGTTAAAGGTACATAGATGCAAGAAGGTAGAGTCTTTACATCGTATTTTTCGTTTAGGCAGCTGTCTTTTAAAAGATTTGTGTTGCAATGTGGTCTATACCAGATGAAATGAATTGACATCAAAATATACATAAGGACACTACGAGGGCTGTTTGAAAAGTTTCCGACCTCAACCTGAAGATGACAACACTTCGGGTTGAAGACCTAATAAAAATTTCAGTCATTTTGGACGCTTAGGTTTTTTATTTAATAATCGTTTAAGTGAGACGTTGTGAAGATTTTTCTGAACATGAAAAAAATTGAGTATCTAGCTAGCATTAAATATTTGTTTTTGAAAGACAATACACCTACGCCAATCAGAGAAGAGTTAGACACTATTTACGTAGATTCTACTCTATCATTTATGACCGTAAAATTTTGGACAGCAGAGTTCAAACGTGGACGTATCAGCTTGATTGATGATGAACGTTCAGGGTGGCCAAAAACTGTGACAGCCAGCAATAACATCGAAAAAGTTCACCAAATGGTACTAAACGATTTTCGAATTAAGGTTAGAGAGATAGAGGAAGTAATTGGAATAAAAGAACACATTTGTCATATATCGATTGAAGAATTGGGTATGCGTAAACTATTCGCACGTTGGGTGCCGCGTTTGCTCACTTTGGATCAAAAACGCATTCGGATGAACATTTTCAAGGCCTTTAAGCAAAAAGAGTCGGATTTTTTGCGTCAACTCATAACTGTAGATGAAACCTGGATTCACCACTATACTTCTGGAACGAAATAACAGTTAAAACAATGGATTGTAAAGAGTGAACCTGCTCCAGAAAAGCAAAGACGGTTTCGTCGACCGGGAAAGTGACGGCGACTGTTTTTTGGGATAGTCATGGAATTCTGTTGATTGATTGCCCCTAAAGAGGTAAAACAATAACAGGAGAATATTACGCATTATTGCTTGATAAGGTAAACACTGAAATTACAAGAAAGCAACCGCATTTGAAGAAAAAGAAAGTGTTTTTTCATCAAGACAACACACCTGCTTACACTTTGGTAAAAGTCATGGCTATAATTCACGAATTGCGCTTCGAATTGGTTGACCATCCACCGTATTCACCAAATCTGGCCCCTAGTGACTTTTTCCTGTTTCCTAATCTTAAAATTTCACTTGCAGAAAAGAGAATTTTTATCGGGCGAGGAGGCTATCGCATACGTAAACGCCTATTTTGAGGAGAAAGACGATAACTGTTATTTGAACGGGTTAAAGAAGTTAGAGCATCGCTGGAATAAGTATATCAACTTAAAAGGAGACTATGTTAAAAAATAAAAATGATTTTAGAGTAAAATTTTTGATGTCTTGTTTCTTAGTTAGGTCGGAAACTTTTCAGACAACCCTCGTAACGTCGCTTTCCATTTGATATATCATAATCCATCAACGTGTACCGTCGGTTTATCGCGCTTTCAATAAATATAGACTGCCCCAAGTTCAAGGCAGTTTAGCAGCTGTCGATCAATCTTTCAATCTGGCCAAGCCTTATAATCATTTCGGGGCTCTAGAAATACGAGTTGCCAAATAAAATAGCCAATCCGTTCAAGAACAACCGTTTAGAAACGTATTGCGATTTTTTAAGTATCAATGCAATAACACTGCATGTTTGTTTCGCGAAATTATCAATGAAGTTTCAATAGAGTCAAAAAATTATTCGCAGACCTATTCGGCTGGAGACGTGTAGAACCTTTCTTACAATCATCATCTACACTGCATTCATCAAATTTGTTTTCATACGATATCCTGAAACTCAGTAATTTTTTCGAGATCCTTGATAATACTGACTTTAAATTATCACGTAGCTGCACTGAACTATTCGTATTTTTAAAAGACTGAATTTGTATAGAATAAAATACACTCATTTTTCAAAAAATCATCTAGTTATTTTTTAAATCTACAATACACCAGAACATTTGGTGTTAAATTCAGTTACTACAAAAAAAGAAAGTGCCTGTATACCTATCAGGATAGAAATTAGCATGATACCGAAAGAGTAAGAAAGAAAGAGCGAAACAAACGTTGAAGTCAGCACGACTACAGCGAACATGCGTTCAGTTCATATTGATGGTGGTGATACTAGTCAGTCACGTGACGCGTTCGACGTACCACCACCACTACCACTTTCAACTCGTCAAGCAGCGGCGGCGGCGAAAGAGAGACGGAGGCGGCAAACTGGTCGAGGAGCGGCTCAGTCGCCGTCAGTACACACTGAACGTAGTTGCCGTGAGTGTCGGTGTGGTTTTCTCTCCTCGTTCGGCTCATACATTTTTTCATTGCGTGCTGTGTATACAGCGTACTTACACGTACGAACGCCACGATATCGACGAGAGTCATACAGCGGCAACTCTCGTCGACCATCGTCCATCGGCGTGGCTGTTCATCTAGGCAAGAAGGAAAATATATACGTTGGATCAAAGGAAAGAAAGGATTCTATCCGAGTCCGTGCGCGAGAGGAAGAAAGGAAGGCGCGTGCGTGGGTGGATCACCTTTACCGGAGGAGAGCAGTGTCGAGTCGTCGCGCGTACGTGTGTGTGCGTGTGCCTATAGTGTATATTACCTGGCAAGAGTGTGAGTGCGTGCAGCCGCAGGAGAGAGAAGGTAAATGAAATCTCGCGCGAGCGGAGAGGTGAGAAAGAAGTAAGAAAGGGAGAAACGACGACGACGGAGACGACGATGCTTGAGAGAGGAGTCAGCAGTAGTGTGTAAAAGCGCTCGTTAACCACACGAGAAATACGTGATATACAACGCTGGAATAATGTTGACGTCGAGGGTTTCACTGTTGTGGCTGCTGCTCAGTTTCTCGGCGCTTACACGAGGGTTCAACCTCGAGCCGAGGATACCTGTTATAAAGAGGGGAGCGAGTGGTAGCTACTTCGGCTTCTCCATTGCCGAACACCAAGAGGACCGCGGAGATGAGAACCCAAAATACGTTAGCTGGTTGGTTCTTATTTGCTTTTCTTAGATTTCGCTTGTTCTGGTATTCGCCGCAGTCACCCTGGAATTCTCGTGCGCGAGCACACACACACACACGTGTAATATAATATTTCACTTTGGCATCGAGGCAAGCGTTACTTGCACTTGTGTCAGCAGCGCCGAGGCAATTTTAGCACGATTATGCACTACGCGCTTACTCGTGCGCGACGTTGACGAATACACCGTTATTTTTAACGCTTTATTGATTCGAAAAGGTCGTTAGACTTAAGCTGAAGAATTATTATTCGCGAGAAAAAGAGGCTTACAGTTCGGGCGGCTATATTGAAAAATGAACACATTCATCAGCGATTGATGAGTAATGTTCGATGTGCAATATCGCTGAGCCTTGTCGTTAATTGATCGCCGGCCGTAGATTCTGCGATCCGTTAATTAACGTCCTCGTAAAGATTGTAGTTAATAATCGAACGCGTGTACAGCTCAATTCCCCCCCACCCTCTCCCTTCAGAGACGTTTATGTACGAACGTTGTCCGGTAACCGACCGAAAAAATGTCTCCACGGGATTAAAACCGCGCCGCATCTTCGTGGAAACAAAACAGAACGAAAATTCGATATCGCGAACAATGGCGCGACGACGCGCGGATGGCTAAAAATACGGATGATGTAGAAGTGGAGAATATTCGGCAATTTATTCATTCGACGAGCTTTATGACCGAAATACTAATGAGCGAGGAGCATCGTGGCAATTGGAATTTTTTGCTTTTCTGGCTGTTGCGACATACTTCGCCGCTCCAATTTCTAAAAGCCGTGAATCGCTTTATTTCTTTTTTGTCGCAGTCAGTCGAATTCCGCGCGAGAGCGCGACAGTATATAGACGTCATATTTTTTCTCCTCTTGTTTGTATAACATACGACTAGAGGTACATGCTAACCTAGAGATATTTTATTACATGCCTCCTTTCTCGAGGGAGAGAATTCCTTGCGCCAGCGCCGATAGCGAGATTTACTTCTCAAATACAGATGTTTCATGCGGTCGCCGTCGCTTGATTTTTTCGGGTTGACTTTTATGGCAATTTATTTGGTGTGTGGCACGTTAAAGCTTTTCTTGTCTAATGTTTTTAACGGAATTTCTCGTCGGGGAATACCGGCAACTCTGCATTGGGGGGATTTAACGACTGTTTTCGTATAAATTGTTTCTCTATGGAATTCCTTTTTTTTTTTATTGATTGTATGCGTGGGATAAAATTTCTTTTTTTCTTAGGCAATGTATTTCAAGTGAAAACATTAAAATAAACAGTTTATAAATAATGAATTTTGATGGCAAATTTGTTCAATCATAACTCATTATTTTTGTCTTCGTGATTAAATTATCTATGATGTCATATTTGGCACACTCACCTCCACGTATACTGAATGTAACGAATCAACTTACTGGCCTACATCCAACTTTGGTTATCTGTAGACGAGCCCGTGAGAAACGTATTTCGGGTTGATCTCGCGGAGAGAAATTTACGAATGGAAGCTGTTGTTACAGCCTTGCGGAAAACAACAGCGCAACCGCGCGATTACGAAATCGGCGTGTCGGTCATTCGTTACTCAAACATCTCTGCGTAATTTACAAAGTCTTATCTGATAATAAAGGCGAGGACCGCTGCAAACGACGCCGCCGCGGGAAAGTGCAGATTTCGATGAGGAAATTTGGCGCGCGGGCAGGCAGCTGCGACGCCTGAATCATTGCCGCTCTATTTTTACAATGAGCGCGCGCTCTATATTTATAAGCGTCATCGTCATCCTCGCCCGCGGAAATGGATCGCGACGAGAGAAGTGCAGCGCGCCCGTCAACGTGAACGGGCGCGATACGTTATCCTCTCGCGGGCCGATGACTCACGATGATGCTCTCGCGCATCGGGAACTTTTGCCGCGCGCGGCGCGCCTTTATAAATAAAACGGCCTCTGCTAATGTGATCTTACGTCTGTTTCTCGCGCGGGGGCTCTGCGATCCTTCTCCCTTTTATCTCGACGGGCTCTCTCTGGTTTTCATCCGCGGAGCGCTGGTCGATCGATCGCCGGCAATTACCAAATGTCCTTGCTAAGTCGTCGTTGCGCATCGGTGGTTGGCAATCGACTTTGGCCCGCTTAATCTTCGCTTTCTTATTCATCTTCTCCTCCCGCCTCTTCTCCAGTGAGCGAGTCTAAATTTGGAGTGTATATCGCTTCTTGCAGGAAGTTAAAAAAAGAAAGCTCAAAAGCGCGCGTGTATCTTATCAGAGCGTGAACCACGTGGAATCTACCGCGACCTCGAATAAATCAATTGACGCGGCGTGCAAGGCGGAAATGTAATTTTCATTAGAAAACACGGAACAGAGGAGTAGCTCGACCCGTCGCCTCGCGCTTCATGAATTGCTAACGCTGCGCTTGGTGTCGCTCGAGCACGATGAACGCGCGTCGAAATGAAATCGCCGTGGAACGTTAGTTGGCGAGCTGACGAGAGCGGCGTCTCGTTGCAGGATGCTGGTGGGCGCGCCGCTGGATCAGAACCGCCAGCCGGGCACCAATCATTCGGGCGCCTTGTGGATGTGCCCGATGACGAGCGACGAGCACGACTGCGAGCAGCTTATCACCGACGGCCGCTTCAGTGAGTATTCATCGGTAATCTCGACCACCGACGTCGCGGCTTTTTCTTTATCAGGGAGATAAGGAGTATGTAAAAAAATATATATATATAGTCTGTGGTGAGGCGTAGTGAAAGCTACCTATTGGCGAATTGACGCTGCCGGCTCTCTCGCGGAATTGAATTCATTGAGCCGCGGCTTCGCCGCGCGGGGCAGTTTCAGCTCGATGCCGTGAGAGAGCACGCGCGGCATTCATTCGACGATACGCGTAATTTACAGTAATTTTTTCCCTCGCGGGCTTCCTTCGCTAAGGTTTATCTACTCTTTCGTTCGTGGGTTATTTCTCTGCCTCTCGATCTCTACTTAATTAATTTTTTTCTTGGCGGATACTGGATTACGACGGCCAGCTAGCTCGACGTCGCTTGTTTTTCATCCGAAGTACGCGTAATTTTAGAAATGATTCTTTACACGCGGGAGATATGCAGAATTTCGTCCGTTCATTGAAAAAGAAAGAAAAAAAAAAACAAGTATCCGACTCGAGCTATCTCTCGTCGACTTTATAACATTTCTGTAACAAAAAAAAATGTATTTTAGTTGCGTAGAAAAAGGAACGATGATAATGAATTTAAAAAGAATACGAGATAAACGACGACCACTCACAAAGACAACTGACTGCATAGGAATGATGCACACATTTAAAATTTTCTTTTGTCCCTTCTCTCCCTAAAACATACATATACATTAAACACACAATACAACTTTATTAATATGCCATCTTCAAAATTGTAAAATGATGTACGAACTCACTGAGAAAACTGTTCATTGTTTATGGCGTGGGTGAAGGCGAGAGCAGTCAGTACGAGTCAAGTAAGTGAACAACTACCAGCAACGGAATTAAGCGAATGTTTAAATAAGAGTTTTCATATCTTTCTTTTTATTTCTTGCTTACATCTCTTGACATCTATCAAATCATTATTGTTTTTTACATCTCCCCCAATCTTCCTATATATTTCTTCACTCGAACGAAAACATCTACACCGAACGCAGAGACAGAGAGTGAGAGCACTCTCTGTGCAAAGCATGAGCTGCAAAAAAAAAAAAAAAAAAACTAATCTCTGAGCTTGAGTGTGCATTGAAAAAGAAGCGAGCATGATTTGCCGACTACTAATACGAATCGCGCGTTTTATCTCTGCTCGTGTGTGCGCCAGCGAGTGTTTTATGTGCCGCCGCCGCCGCTTGATTCGATTTGATCGCGGCACAGCCAAGCAAAACGCCGCCGTCGCACATCGATTCTAACCAATCTAGCTGTACTGCCAGTTGAGTAACGAGCTTGTGAGAGCTTTGATGTTGTCTAACGATTGTCATAACAGCTTCGTCGCAACACTTTTCTTTTTTTTTTATCTTCTTTTGATTGATTTTCATTAACCCGTTAGCTTTGTTCTTTTCGCATTAGTTTGTTTATTAACTTATCGTGCGAACGACTCTTAAATCGAGCGTTTCGCATGAAGAAAACGACGCGGTTTATCGCGCAGCGGCTGAATTGATGGGGCGACAAACGCGCCTCAACGATTTCCGAGCGATGGCCGTTTTTCACTGACGAGAGGGGCGGGATAGAAGAAAAGAAAAAAAAAAACGCACACGGCTAATAGAGAAAATGAGCTAATGGGACGATCGGCGCGGTCCCCTATTAACGCTGGCATTGGCAGGCCGCCCAGCCGTGGCGAGAGCGGCAGGAGCGAACGATCCGAAGCCTGTGGCGCGGTAAGACGCTCCCGGCAGTCCCGAAGCGAGCGCTCGATTCAAGAGTCGTCGGCCGCGCGAGCAAGCAATAACGCTCGCATCGGTTGGTCGAACTAACCGGACTAACAAACGAAGATAGGAGCGGCGAGCGCGACGCCTGGATGTGTGGCGAGTCGCGGGATGAATCGAGAATTCGCCTTTCGCTTCGCTCTCTGGTCCCACAGCCGGAAGAGCTATTCCCGACTCGCGGGCGCGGGCACGCTGGTCGCGGCTTTGGCGCCGGCTCGACCGTTGAGCCGATCACTCGCGGCTGGGGCAACGATCGAACCGGGGCAGCGCACGCTTTGCCGGGAACGCGTTGCTCCGGGCGAGTCGCTGCCCCGCGAAACGAGAAAAAGGGACGAGCTGGAAAGAGCCGAAGCCCCGACAGCGGGAACGCGGGGAAAGAGGAGCGCGCGGTGCTAATGCGAGTGTGCGCGCTGTCCCTGCAGCCATGGACAACGACACGCTGACGAAGCCGAGCAGCAACGAGATCGTGGACGGCCAGTGGCTGGGCGTAACGGTGCGCAGCGCCGGAGTCGGCGGCAAAGTCATGGTGAGACGGCGCGAGCCCACGCGGCGGCGCTCCCGAGCGCACTAACCGAGCGACGCCTGCCGCAGGTCTGCGCCCACCGCTACATCGTCAAGAACAAGGACTCGCAGTGGGGCCAGGGCCAGTGCTACATCTTCAGCCAAGACCTCAAGTTCCAGGAGATGAAGAAGCCCTGCTCGGGCAAGCCGACCGCGAGGGCGCACGAGCAGTACGGCTACTGCCAGGCGGGCACCTCTGGGGCGCTCGAGCCGTCGGGCGACTACGCGCTCATCGGCACGCCGGGCCCGCACACCTGGCGCGGCACGCTCTACGTCACCAGCGTCTCCGACGCCTTCTTCTCCAAGGACACCGTGGTCTACAGCTCGCCCATGCAGGACGAGTCGCCCGTCTCCAAGTACAGCTATCTCGGTGAGTGGCCCACGGGGGGACGATCCGCCTGCGGGACGCTCGCCGACCTTCCGCTCGCTTCGAATTCAAGGCATGTCCGTGACGGTGGGCGACTTCTTCAAGAGCGGCATGGCGTACGGCGCCGGCGCGCCGCGCTCCAACGGCACCGGCCAGGTCATCCTGTTCGCCCGGCACCTGCAGAGGCCCGAGATGGAGGTGAAGCTGGTCCTCAACGGCGAGCAGTTCGCCTCGAGCTTTGGCTACGAGCTGGCGTCCGCCGACGTGAACGGCGACAGGTACGCGCGCGCGCTCTCGTCCCCGCGATGCGGCCCGCGTAATCGGAGCTGGCGCTCGGTTCGCAGGCAGGCCGACCTGATCGTGGCCGCGCCCTTCTACTACGGCAGACAGGAGGGCGGCGCGGTCTACGTGTACACGAAGCTGTGCGAGAACCCGCGCGACGCCGCCCACTGCAACAGACCGACCAAGCTCGTCGGTCGCGAGGAATCGAGGTACGTGTGCCTGCCCCCCTTTCGCCGGTCGCCCCTCGCGAGCGACTCCGCTCACGCGCCTTTGGCCCTTGCAGATTCGGCTTCGCCCTGACCAACCTCAGGGACATCAACAACGACGGCTACGAGGACGTGGCCATCGGCGCGCCCTACGAGGGCATGGGCGCGGTCTACATCTATCTGGGCTCGAAGAGCGGCCTCATAAGCACGCCGTCGCAGGTAAGCCGCGACGCGACGCCGCGATCGGCCGATCGACTGATCGCGCCTGCCCCGCGTGTCGCCAGGTCGTGCACTCGGAGAGCACACCGCAGCCGTTGAGGACCTTCGGCTACTCGCTGAGCGGCGGCATCGACATGGACCTCAACGGCTATCCCGATCTGATGGTGGGCGCGTACGAGGACGACGCGGTCGCTTTGCTGCGAGCCAGAAGGATCATCGACATCGTCACCTTCGTCAGGTTCCCCAGGAAAGGCGGCGGTTATCAGGATAAAAACGAGCCGATCGATCCGAATCGCGCCGGCTGTCCCGAGGATCCCAATTCCAACCACACATGGTTAGCGAGATTCCCGTAATGAGCTTTGCGAGGCTAACGGTTACGCGGTTACAAATCTCGTTTCACTCTGCGCGCAGTTTCGCTTTCGAAGCCTGCTGCAAGGTAGCCAACAACGTCAAGGAGGATCACATAAGGTCGCTGCGACTGGCGTCGTACGTCGAGGCCGAGACTTATTCCGGCAATAAGAAGTTCTCGCGAGTGTGGTTCGCCAGCGGGAACAATCGGCCGCACTTCGTCAGCAGCATCGCCACCCTGGACGCGCGAAGTCCGATGCATTGCCAAAGAGAGATTCTTTATTTGAAAGTGCGTGCCTCGTGAATGATTACGATCGAGCCAGTGTGCATACAATTTCGCTCGCTCACGCTCTCTCTCTCTCTCTCGCGATTGCAGGAAAACACGCACGACATTCAGTCGCCAATCAAGTTCCGGCTGAATTACACCTTGATTCAGGACGAGCCAAAAATGCCAGTCAAAGGTGCGCCGCTGCCGGACATCAACAATTATCCGATTTTAAATCAACAAGAGGCTGCTCGTATCTTCGAGGCTGCCTTCCAAAAGGACTGTGGAAGCAATGACGTTTGTGAAAGCGATTTGAGATTATCAGCTAAGTTAAACTTACAACGTGAGTAGCGATCGACGGCGTTTATTTGACATGACTAATTGTCTTCGAATACACGACCAAGTAGTTGCGATAAGAAACCCAACTATATGTGCCGCGCGAAAATTAGTTTGAGCGCGGATTCAATGCGCTTTCAATAAATTGCAGCCTCGCCGACACAAAGGAACTACTACGAGTTGCTCCTGGGAGAAAGCGAGGAGTTGGCGGTAGATTTGAACGTAACTAACGTGGGTGAATCCGCCTACGAAGCGCAATTATACCTCTTCCATTCACCTAGTCTCAGCTACGTTGGTACTAAGCAAAATGATTCCGCAATTTGTACTATACACAACAGTTCCGTTATAGTCTGTGCTATCGGTAATCCATTCAAGAACAACAAGTCCGTGTCCATTCAAGTGAGATTCGATCCAAAATATTTGGAAGACGACGAAGGCAAGATTGGATTTACTGCCTTTGTCAACTCCACCTCGAAGGAAATCAGTGTCAAAAAACCGATACGCTTGCAAGCTACAGTCTTGAGACGAGCGGAGATGTCTATTAAAGGGTTCGTAATTTAATCTATTTTATATATCTTCGTTCCTGACTAAGAAAACTTCTAAAAAATCAACTAAATCTTTTTATTTCTCTTTGCACTAGGAGTGCCAAAGTTGCGTGGTCCACTTACGGTGGTCCGATTATCGGTGAATCTGCGGTTAAAAAGTTGGTCGATGTAGGTCCTAAAGTAGTTCACGTTTATCAAGTATTCAATGACGGTCCATGGAAAGTCAACTCTTTGGACGTCGTTATATCGTGGCCGTACGAAGTCGCCAATGACAAGCCCCACGGAAAATGGTTGCTATATTTAGAAGAAACGCCAATGATGCAGGGTAAATCGATCGTTTTATCAGTTATAATCGTACATCAAACAACAAAGAATTTCTAATAATCGGAGCAAATTTATCTTTTTTAAGATGGTACCGAATGTCAAGTGCCACAGGGTTATGTCAATCCGCTAAATCTACTAGGTAGTTTAGGAATGGAAGATATTGATCCATTATTTCCAGCCAAGCCAAGCTCATCTATTGAATCTAATCAAACAAATCATATGAGGAGGAGACGAGATACCGAGAAAGTTGTCACAACCAAAATTATAATCGATAAAGATGGCCACAAAAAAGCCGTCGTTTCAATGGTAAATTTGACAGAGCTTATTTTTTTATCCGTCATTCTAACGACAACTTTGTTCTTAATTCAAAATTGTTTTTACTTTGCAGAACTGTCGAGCAGGCACAGCGAAGTGTTTTAAAATGACATGTTCTATTCGCAACCTTCAAAAGAAGGAAGCAGCTACTATCATAATTAAAGCAAGGTGTGTTTATAAAAGTGAAATTCATTCACTTGATTTTTAAATTTTCAACAAATTTATAAAATAAAAATATTACGTAGATTGTGGAACTCAACATTGGCGGAAGATTATCCGAAGGTTGACAGAGTAAATATCGGTTCGAGCGCTGAAATTATTATTCCTTCGACTGTCGTCATACAGCAGACTAATTTAACAGATGATCTTGCAGAGGTAAATAAATTTTATATTGTCATGCAATAGAATGAAAGTTATTATATTGTGTTTTTTCAGGCTATCACGATAGTCAGTCCAGATTCACTTGATAAACAAGAACCCGAGAGAGTACCTATTTGGATAATAATTGTAGCCGCGGTAGCTGGTCTACTACTCCTAATTTTTCTTACATTGATCTTGTGGAAACTTGGTTTCTTCAATCGAAGAAGGCCCGATCACACGTTATCCGGTAATTTACAAAAGCATCGTGATGAAAATCCCGAAAATGAGGCTCTGGTCAAACACTCCACAAATATACACTGACATTTGGCACGAATTATATTCAAGACAGCTGAGTTGATGTTTCGTTTGTGATAAATTATGATCACTTTTGTATCACCGAAATACCGTACAAAAGTTTTCATTAAACGCCCATCAACATTTAATCAACTGTTTGATTAAACTCGATGCTCAAAAAAACAATGTCTCGAAAATTAGAACTTTGTAAAAATTCTTCCCATGGATGCGGGTATAAATCATAATATACTCAGACACTGGTGACTAAAACAGCAATTTATGGTACTTAAAATCTCATGCGGAGATCTATGCATCCAATATACGAAATGCTAATAGATGGGAATTATAATTGATACGGATGAGGGTCGTTTCGTGTGACTCTTAAAGAGATGCCAATTAAGACGTGGCGTTGTCACGACGTCCACGCTGTACTATAGTACAAAAGGTTAAAAAGCTATTAACCGTGGAAATAAATACACACGCACGAAAAGAGAAAGACAACACGACATTCGTGAATGCTTTCTTCAAACGATTGCACACACTATATTAACCGTCATGTATGAGATGTGATATTTATTTTTTATCACTTATTTTCGTCGTTATTTTTTTTCGAAACAACGATCGTTCTTAAATTTTTAATTACCGTATGAATGTATTTTTTTAAAACTTCTTTACATTTCACTATATCCTTTTTAACTTTCATTATTTTACGTAATCTGTACATTTTTAACGGGTGTTTGTTACTTTTAAAATATTTTGTTATCAAATTAATAATTATTGGTTTTTTTACACAAAGAGAAACTAAACTCATTCACGCGTATAATAGTAAAATGACTATTATGTATAGTGCTAATACATTGATTTGCATTGTAAGACTGATAAGCGTTCAATCAACTTAATGCAGACATTTTAATGTCTTCATGAAAGTCTGTGCAATATACGGTTTTTCAGAAGATTTTTTAAATAAGGACGATTAAGTCAATAAATTTAAAAATGTCAGTAAATTATTGACGAAAAAATAAGTGAAATGTAAAGAATTCCCGTCAGGAATTGACCAAACTTTCAGCTGTCTCCGTCACGCTTTTTATAAATGAGACAGTCAGTTTGCAAAAACTTCATATAAGTCATTATATAAAGTTCTTTGATTAGGATTTGAAGTGAGTGGAATTGTTAGTTACACCAAGCAGTAGCCAACCCTCTGTATATGCTGTAATTTATAAAACTAACGTAGTTTAAGTGATATTTAATGTCATTTTAATTTTATTACAAACAAATAAGCGTATTATATACTACTATTCCAAGTCGCGTTCTCTCAACGAAAACTCGTACAAATGGCAGCATTACTTTGTTTTTATTATTAAAAAAATTCTTTTTTTTCTGTTTTTTTGTTAGATCGTGCGAAAAATAAAGAGTGCTTATTATGCGTATACCCTCGATATCAAGTGATAAATTATTATAATTATTTTTTAATAGACAATAATAGTCGACAATTTCTAGGCACTTGATATGTATGCATTTACAAAAAGCATAAAAAACTTATTAGAATACCTCTTCAGGTATGCTTAGCGAAACGATTGCAGTACTTAAAACGATGTGTCAAAAAGAAGATATCTTCAAAATAATAAAATAAAATAAAATGCAACTAATGTGGAATATTGTTAACTCTTCAGAAATATCGAATTTATGTACTGTTATAAGCGTTTAAAGTCATATATTTTTACTTTCTATCGAAACATTCCCAATCGCAGCTTCCAAAATGCTTTACTAGATTTTTTTAATCCCTTGATGTTTCGTTTATTAAATTTGGCTATTTTTTTTCTACGACAATATTAACGCAGTCTTTTAACGACGAGTGCTCACTGCCTCAAAAAATGTACTCTGTCAAGTGGCACATCAACAACTCGACATAAGGTACTCCTGAAAGGTGCTACCTTTTATGCAAATGAAACTTATGTATATTATTATCATTATTATTCTTTAAAAATCAATAAAAAATAAATTTTTTTCTACGAAATTATTTGTTCAAATCTTCTTTCAAAACATTTTCATCACAGTTGATCAGACTCAAGTTTTGCATATTGTCTTCTAAGATATTGGCAATCGAGAATTATAAACCTACAACAAAGATCAGCTTATTATCTACATAAAATATTTCAAGTAATGACTAGAACTGTAATAAAATGCTGCTGTACCTATATAACAATTTCACTAATGGAACAGTGGAAGCATGCCACAAGGAATGTGCATCAAAGATCCATACAATAGGAGGAAAGTCAGCGATTTCTAATAAAGTGACTGATACTGTTAACACAGTGAACCAGCCAGCTAAATGCACATGAGGTAGGCTTTTGTGGTTTTTGTACCACCAGATCATTGTCAACAAAAAAGTGAAAAAACCTGAAAAGATTATTAAATTAGATACAATTGACTTCCTTACTTCATTTTATTTTTGATTAATTCTACTCACCAATTATTATATTGAACTTCATATTGAAGCCATAGTCTATTTTGCCAGACCAAAGATGATTTAAATGAGTGTACAATGTTGCTAAATAAATAGCAGTCACTACTATGAAAACTTTGCTTTTCACTTCATCCTTACACGATATCCTAAAATATCAATATTAACACATTAGATTTGAAGAGAATTATTCATTCTTTTATTGATTTAGAAATACCTTAACAATAGGCAATATAACAAGGTTAATACAATTACAAATGCGCAAGAATAGTCCATAACTTCTGTAAAATCTTTATCTCGTGTGTGAAATATAGCTGACCAAAACCAACCATGTAAACAGATCTGTAATGTATGAATATCATAAATAAAAAAATGGATTTAGTTGCTACCATATTCTCTAAGCAAAACTTACAACTGAGAACCAGGTCCACACAAAAAACATTGGTGAAATGGAACTAACATCTCTTCTAAATTGGAGATAGTAAGTAGCATGAGCATAGAAGTTTAAAATAGAAAATAACACCGATGCAGGCTCTTGTATTCCAAAAATACGAATAAATGGCCACTATTGCAAAATATTTAAAAAATAATTATTTTCATACGAACAAATTAGAAATGTATTAAGAAATATTTACTTTTCCATAAAATTGTGGCACTTGAAGTCCTTTAGACGTGAAAAAATTGACAGTTTCCCACATGCAATGATAACTACAGTCTTCTTTACAAGTCCAAAAAAGTAGCTTTAAAACTATACTAGGAGATTTTTTAAAATCTACGGCTGTGAAATGATAAAATAATAAGTAAATTTTGCTGGTACATATCCCTTTGCAAGATAGGTAGGTTAGCTAGATTTTTACCATTTTTACAGTTGCCGACTCGACAATTATTGACACAATTATTGTAAAAATGGGATCGGTCACCTATCGACGACCTTGCTACTGAGAGAAATTGTAAAAATGTCAGAATAATAAACCATGATTTTGACATTTTCAAAACAAAATAGAGAGCAGACGAAATCTAAAGGTGCTAGAAGACGCGCCATACTGTTTTTTTAAGTATATACGCTTGCACCGCATACACGCTGCACGATCACTAAACTGAAAAAAATGTAATTTTGAACTTTGCAACTTGCGAATTAATATTGAATGATAAGTGAGTATATATTTTTTATGGTATAATTCAGGTTTAATTGTGAATATTAATCCAATGTCTTGTTTTTCAAATATTTATTGCATAATTGTCTGCCTCACACAAAAACGTTTCATAGTAAATATTACGCACACTTAATACTGAAAATAAATCGTGATATTTCTAAAAACTGAAAAAAGTTCTGTTTGTACTAGTCCAAGCACGTTCACATTATATACAAGGTATTTTCGTTAAACATCATTATTATCAATAAGTAAAAATTCCCGTGCATATCATTTCAATATGAGCATTATTCTACATTGAAAAAACATTCTTTTTTAACAATGACATTCCAACGTTATATACACTTTAAAATTAATGAGGCAAAGAAAAGTTATATCGCTTCTCTCGATTCACAGAAGAGAGCTTCGTACAAATAAACGTAAAAAATCATCATTTTCGTTTGCTTTTTACAGCCACGGATGCCAGGACGGATCCATGCGACAGAGATTATCATGGCTGTTAGCCGCCGTCACCAGGGTGCTGACTTTGCTGTCTGTACCGTCAAAGTGAGCCAAGGAATTCAGTCTTGTTACTATAGTGTTGACAGCACGTGTCACCATTGATATTAGTAACTCAGCCTTTATCTCGGTAGATCCCTCCGATACATTCCTCGAATCCTCATGTCGTTTGCTATGATCGGCGATTACTTCGTCACGAAGAATGGCTCGCAATATTGTGTGAATCTTGAATGACGGCTGGACTAAGCAGCGTGCTATGGCGATTGCACTTGCTGTCAGTGGTCCAGACACACCTAAAGCGCAACATAACAGTTTTATAATGATAATTCATTCATCAATTCATGTCGAATGAAAGACATTTTTTAATCTTTCACCTGTAGAAGTAAGGAATTCAAAAATATTAGGAGTCAGTCTGAAGGGAACTGGGCGATTGGCATCTAACTCTCCGGTTGTATCGTCAACGTCAAACTTGAAGTAAGCAATGTTGATCAAACCCGAATCTTGATGAACATACATCATATCTGGGTTCAATCTTGTCAGATGTAGCACGTATTCAGCAAAGCAGGCCAAAGATAGTTGCAAGGTAAACTGTCGAATCAGGATATTTATTAGCCATTTAAAAAATGCAAAAGAAAGCCGTTTTTCTAGAATTGGCATACCATTTTCCTGAACGTCCAGTAATCGGTTGCTCCTGGATAAGTTTTGACGGCCCAGTCTTTTAGCAAAGTTCTCGGTACCATACTGGACTGTACTTCCGTCAGAATATCCCTGAGCACCTGATGACTAGCTTGTGAACCTCTTGCTTGAACCGTTGCTAATCTTTCGTAATATCTGGCTATTGGAGCATCGTGCTCAATTCCTAATTTAGCACATCCTTGTTTGTAGATGTCTAACAATGATATTGAAGCTGGATTGTCTTCTACTAAACGCATTTGAGGTGAAACAGCTACAACTCGCGGTATGGTGAAATGTAAGAATCGTCGAGACGTTTCTTTTCGCTTTGTGAGGTAGTGATTGAGAAAGCGGAGTAGTTGGAGTACTCGTTCTTCACGTCTTGCATCGCCCAATCCTGCATCATTAACAACAAGGTAGGGATAAATACGACCGTTGTGGCCACGAATTCTTAAGCGACGAGCTGCTGTGTTGTGCCGCTGAACTACTTCTACTCGCGGCATGAATCGCGCGATTTTCACATAGTAATGGGAATGCTAAAAAATAATACCATACAATTTATTCAAAGAAATGAAGAGAATATTTTGCATAATTCTTTTGAGATTTAGAAGGTTGGCGTTTACCTTTGGTAAAAGAAATTCACCGGGCAGTTCCACTTCGGCAGTTTTCAAAGTAAAGTTGCTGAGGAAACGACACTTTTCTTCAATCAAGAATGATCTGCAAAAATTGATTATAATATAAACATAAAGCAAATTATTATTAGGTATTGTAATTGAAAAATTCACTTTGGCAGTTGTTTAGTTTTTCCTTCCAGTATTTTGATCCATTTCTTGAATTTGTTGATTAAGTTATGTAAAAGTCGCGCTCCTGGCGTACTGAAGTCAAAGTCACTAATAAACTTGGTTTTCATTTTTTGGAAATCAGGATCTTGAACTGTAGCTTGGGCTCTACGTGCTAGCGATTCATTGCCCGCAGATCCAAAGGTGTTTGTTATATTTTGCGAAGAAGAAATATTTTCTGTAAAACACACATAGATTTGTTATTTAAATATTAAGAATGAGAATGTTCGAAAATTTGAAATAATAATTACCAAAAGTTGAAACTAGTTTTTTGACAAAGTTGAGCGTATGCGGTGTGATCGTAGCTTCACTGACAGCCATGCGATTTTCAAAGGCTATTGCGTAACATTTGGCCAGACCCTGCCGTAACTGTCTTAATATTTCTTCATACCACGTTTCCCGGAACCAGACCAGCTAATTTTTACAAAATCAGAAAGTGAATTAAGAACATTTCTTATTATTAGATCTTATTTTAAAAATAATTTTTTACCTGATCAACAATACCCTCTAAACTCGAGAGTATCGTAGGGTGTATTTCTCTCTGAATATGCATGATCTTGGAACACATCCACATAGGAAGAGTAGCCTTTGTCTTTTCTTGCTGTTGTTGATTTACTTGCTGATGGATCGGTTGAGATTGCTGGCCCAGTGTTTGTTGACTAGTTGGATTTGGAAGTTGATGCATCGATAATCTTTGTAGTTGAGTGTCTAGCCCTCTAGTCGCTGTAACAAAAAGAATTAATTGTTTAATAAAAATTCTTTGATTGAATTATAAAATAAAAAATAACTTTTGATAAGATGTACTTATCAAACTCACCTAGTTCGCTACTCTTGAATTTCTCTCTCTGCTCGATCTTCAGGGTTAAGTACAATGTTCGAATTGAGAAATACACCGCCTGAGGAAACATTCTGCCGACTTGACTGAGCAAGTTCAGTATAACATTGCCCTCATATCTAACAAGACACATCATTAACTGAGGAATCCAAGGTAACCATTGTATGGGTGGTACTCCGACCGCATATTTATCAATCACATCTAAGAGTGAAGACTTTTCGTCATCATAGGTCAATAGCCATAAAACTTTCGCCAAGTATTTTCTCGACTTGCTCTCATTTTGATGTCTACAAGAATGCAGGAAGCATGTGATTGCTGAGGCACCCATGGTAATTTGTCTTGGATCTCGCGTGAAAATGCCCTCGAGATAATCACCCCAAAGAGCCCATGCTTTGACGAGAGTATCATGCAATTGCACAGCTGCTGAGAATGCCTTGTTTGCCTCCTCAGATCTTCCAATCTGTGCAAGTAACATTCCCTTCAAAGCATAGAATTCGGCGGTCATTTCCTTGGTGAAGTATTTCAAATTCGTAGATTCAATTACTTCAAGACCTTCCTGTAATTCATTTTTGCCAGAGACAGAAGCCATTTGCAAGTAGCACTTAACTTGCTGCCTAATCTTTTGGAAACAATCGACAATTGGCACACTTGGAATAGTGTAAATCCTCGACAATGAATCGAGACATACGCCACTGAGGCCATGTTTCCTAGCAATTTTACCGAAATGAATTATAGCTTGGGCTGAAGCATGAACACCGAGCATAGAGTGATTTGGTGTATTCTGTTCACCTTGTCCCTCATAATGGGACGATATGAAAGTATAATGATGTTGGCGCCAAGTAAAAATATCCGACCAGTGACTTAAGTCATCTGCGATTACAGGAAGCCTGTTGCGCCAAGTCTTCACGATGGCTTTCATGTCGTGCAATGATGAGCTACGACCATGCAATAGGCCTTGGTGAATTTGCATCGCCTCCTGAAGTTCCATTATCTGTTGGGCTGCTTGTAACAGTGGTAAGTGAATGTGGCTGACGATATGTGGAAGGCGGCGCCATTCGCGCATGCATAGTCCAGAGGCTGTGAAAGAAACGAACAAAATATGTGAAACATCGGTCATACTATTTTGAATCGGTCTTATTATTATAAAAATAAAAATAATTAAATGTACCTAGTTCTACGTAACGTTCAACAGCACTGAGATGTTGCTCTTCGGTATGACAGATGGCCAGGAAACCTCTGTACAAATTCACTTTCCACATCATCTCTTTGGGACAATGCTGCTCGATCTGTGCCAGAGCTTCTTTCATCTGTGTCCAATTAGGAATCCTCCAGGAGCTTTCTAAAATAAGGAATGGATTCTTCTCTGACTTCTTATTGCCATATTCCAGAAGCAAGTCCCATTGGTTGAGCTCTTTCGCACATCTTATCCAGTGTTGTTCCCACAGCAAGGCTTCCCTTTGCATTTTGAATGGAGCTGGAGTGGATACGTAGTCTTGCTTGTACCTTGTCATGGCTGAATCGTAAGCAGCTTGCGCTTGCTCGAAGAAACCTTGCTGCTCTAGAGCAATCGCTTGTACTGTTTCCTTGTAGTGCGCGTGCTTCTGCCACAATCCCGACCACATGTCTTCTTCACAGAGCAGCGAGTACATATCCGATAGAGAGTCTAGGACTTCAGTATGTAGGCTGTTGTCTGGCTCGAAGTCGTAACAGTCAGTGTCACGCTTCGTTTTCGACTGATTGTTGCCATTCTCGAAAGCCATCTGCTCGAGACTCAGTGTTATCCTATGCCACAAATTGTGTGATTTTCCCAAGTACTTCATGATCGAAGGCCTCATGGGTACAGATGGATTGCAATGGGATAAGGCTTCCAGGAAAGTGGCTATCGCGCTTGGATGGCAGTCCTTTTGTATAACGTGATTACCGCTGCAGAGGAATGGAACAATCTCGGCAATTGTAACGGCTTGCTGGTGTTCGTCCAAAATACTCCAAAGTCGTGGAAATATATCGAGCCAAACCCTCTCTGCGAGGTTAGTGTCCATGTGGCAGAGTTGGGCTGCGGCGTGAAGCAGCTGCTCGGTTTTGATTTGTTTGCAGTTCTCAAGGAATTCGGCTTGATTAGCTATTAGCTGTGTGAAAGTCGTTTGCTTGTTACCTGTGACTTCTTCAGGGGTTGTTACGGGATCGATGTTCGACAAGTCTATGTCCATAATTTCATCTTTGATTTCACCTGTTTCCATCATTTCTTGTGGTTCTTCCTTAATCAATGAGTACATGAGAAAACTCTTTTGTTCCTCGCTATCTACTTGGTTTATCAATGAATTGATGCTTGGCAACAATATATCTTGATTGGACATTTGTACCTGAGCGGTGGAATTAGCCGTAACAATCACTAATTCGATGCACTGTTTAATCCAGTAGTGTGGACCCATTGCATCCCAGCTCTGACTGCATATGATGTAGAGTAGTCTATCGTGAAGTCGGCGTCGCATGGAACCGTCGAATACCTCAAAGAATTTTGCTCTGATGTGAGGCTGTATACAACGGAGTCCGCTGAGGAATGCCGACTCGAGTTTCGCAGTCAATTCCGTCGATTTAAGCGTTTCATCTCTGTAAATATAGTTGACAAGCTCGAGAAACTGTCCATTCAACTCTAGATCATCAGGGAAACGCTTCTCCACGTATTGCATCATCTTCACCATCAGAATTGTTTTTTCTCTCATGCTTGGCGCTTGATTCGCCAACACAGGATTTTTATTCTTCATCCACTCCTCGAGCATCTTCGTTATTGCTTTCATCACCTTGATGTCTTGCGTTTTCTCTATCAGTCCCACTAAAATTGACCCGATGAACGATTTCCTCATTTCGACACCCATTACGGCGACTCTGTTCTTAACTAGATCTAGACTCATTATCAACAGTTCACTGCCAACTTGATTGTTCTCCGCTTGCGTTGGATGCAAATGGTCTTTAGCCATACGAAGCAGTACGCGCATGAACGATGAAATCATGCGGTCGATGTAGCTCTGATTGTTGGTACAAGCAGCTTTCAGCATCATTAAAGTACCGAACAAAGAGCTCGGTTGAGCGGTAGCGGTTTTTTCATAAAGACTTAGACCATCGGTGATGAATTTGCCAACCGTTGCATATAGCATTTCCAGTTCATCGTGCTTCGAAGAAATTGTCGAGTTTGTTGGTTCAGTTGGGAAAATTGTCATGAGTCGAGATAATAGGCCATGCACAAGTCTGAAAATATATTTTATACAAATCTTTCATATAATTTTGCAAAGATAAAAATGTAAATATAAATTACATGCCTGATAACTTTAGTATTGGTGTTTGCAATGCAAGCTCCCAAGCCACGTTGCAGAGGTTTGAAGCTCAAAAGAATCTGCTCTTTCTTCATGACGGTTAGCAAAAAGGTAAGGAGTTCCAAAGCAGTGCAAATATTTCCGAAATTTGGCTGGGTTGTTTCCACGCTAGCGAACACCTTGTCCAACCATCCAAGCTTCAAATCACACGATTGCGGCCACACGTCAGGTTTCAACGCCATTTTCAACAAAGCCACGCATCTCCTCGACAGTTGTTCTCCAGGATTACCCTGAGTAGTTGTGGCATCGTTCACTTGGCAAGCAAGTCTCAGTAAGAAGTTAAGTATCGCATCAGCGTGTGCACGTTCAATAGGCTTGGTCGCTCCTGGTTCTAACTTGGGTATTATAGGCGCACCTGAAGAAGCTACTGATGTGGCAGCAGCTCCCTGAGCAAGTCCAGCCTGACTAGCCAGACGTTTAGCCTCGGGTTCATCCCCGCTGGGGCGTTTCAAACCACTACTTGCTAAAGCCGTGGTGATCGGATCTGTGTTTTCGGACTCATCTTTGATACGCTGCAGCTCCCACTTAATGATAACCTCTGCCAGTTCGACCGCGAGTCGACGATGATCGATCGTCGCGGTGGGACTAAAACCGAGTCGTTGGATTGAATTGACCATATGGTTAAGAAGATGATGACGCACTGGATAGTAGACTTTGTAGTGTCGGACTACTAGTTGGAGGATGTGAAATAGTTGTTGCATTGAGTGACCTTCCTCCACAATAATTTTCTTCGTCCAATGAGTGAGCATCTTGAACCCATCTTCCATACGCACAGGCATAGCAGGTGTTATTATTTCTAGTGCTTGACGTACAACGTTACGCGCTTCGACTGCATGAGCTTTTAATAAACTATGGAATACCTGTGCGTATAACGTCATTTCTTAGCAATATTTCAATAAAATGAAAAAGCGAAATAAAATTACATACCTGCAAAACTATTTTTTTGTGGATCGCAAACTTAGCAATGACATGACTTAGCAAAAGATGACCGTGATATCTAGTAACGGGGTCAACGCAATTTTTCCCCAGTAAGCAAGGCCAAGCAAACGTCATGAGGCTCCGTAGTTTACTGCTTTGCCGTTTGTTCAAACTGTCGTGAATGTATTGAGGTGCCATTTCCACGAACAGACACGAGCATTGCAACAGAGCGATTCTCACGCAATCGATCGATGTTAGTGGATTTTTTGGATCGATGATTTTGGTAATAAAAACAGACACAATATTGTCCGGACTGTCTTGATGTGGTAAAGGAATACCAATTAACTTTATGTCTTCGCCTTTCTCAAAACTCACAGCTAAACACGGAATAAGAATAAGTTGAACTATTTTAGCTTTGAGTTCTGGTGTCATATTTGTTGGAAAGTGCTCAACAAATCTGTAAAGTACAATTTAAGAATAAATGAGTGTTCGTTATTACTAAATGTCGCGAATGATGAAATGACAAAAATGGTAATTTTATTAAATGACCTGTAGAACGCGTTTCTCTTCCACTCAACTGTGTACTCTTGTGCGACTGTATGCTCCAAAAAATCTCTTAAGAATTGAAAGTCGGGGACGTATCTGCCACAAGTTGCTCTTAGCAATTGGAACAGCAAATCAATATCATTAGGGTGATGACAGAAGTAGTGCAACAGAATCTTCACTATGAGTTTCGGTTCCTTCCAGTGGCAGAAGTCAATGCTGTCGACTTTCTTATGAAGCATATGATAATCGTCATTGCACCAAATTTGCCGAAGCGCCGTCACAAGTTGAGTTTGGCTGGACAACCACTGATCATCGAATTTGATCAATACTGAGACTATCCTGATAGCTTGATGCTGCAACTCACTCTTTTCATTATGGCTTAGTGCCGAGTTGATTTGCGAGTGAGCTAGCAGCATTGTGATTATGCGTGCAGTACTCTTTTGTAAAACATCTCTGAAGGGCTTGCCTTCTTTGTGTTTTATTAAGTACTCGAGGTACCGACTCCACTGTTGTTCCTTCACGTTATTGTCATTTAAGAATAAATTCAAAGTCTCGGTTGGATATCTACAAGTACAAGCAAAATATTTCGAATGGTAATCAAACAAATGTTCATGCCATTTTTCTAATCGACACTCACCTTAACAAAAATTTCATTAACGGTATTCTGAATGGACTGGATGCTTCAACAAGCAAGGCTTTTTCCGTTTGTAAAACCAGTCGGCACAATACATCAATGAACTTAGGCGTAGCTGCTGGAATCTGATGGAATATTCCAATGATCGTAGCAATCTTTTGCTCATTTTCTCCTGTCTTTGAAACTCCTTTGTGTGCATTGATTTGATTCTCTAACAGCTTTTTCAGATGTTGTAGCAACTGTTCACACAGAGTTATACTGAATGTCCCTGGGAACAATTGTGTCAAATAGGACAAACGTTTGACGTGATTAAGGCTTAGAGATCGATGATCTCCTAAATTTAAAAGCAACGGCCGCATAATCGCATGTACGGCCTCCATGTCAATAGGGAATCCGGCTATGAACTTTTGCATGCACTCAAAGGCAGTCTCTTGTAATTCCGTGTTAGGCTTTTCGAGAGCAGCGTACAACTTTTCGAAAATAATTTGGCGTTTGTCGATCATATAGTGACATGCAGCCAGAGCTCTCAACGCAGATTTTCGGATAGGTATGAGATTAGACACAGATTTATAACACGGAAGACGGTTCAGAGTAATATCCTCAGCTTCGTTCAACATCAAAAGCTCCTCGAAGAAAACTTTGTGCTCGACAATCTTGAGGTCGATAGTGAACAATCGAGGATTCAAAGTCGTGCAAAATGTGTTGCCGTCCATCAATCCTATTTGCGCATTAGCAGGCTGATGTCTCAATAAATGTTTCTTAGGTGGAATCATGTCTGCTAATACCTCCTTATGAGGTTCCATTACTTCGGTCAGAGACTTATTTTGCATCTCGGCTAGTAGTCTTAACGATGACATAGCTTCTTCTCTGACAATGGTATGCGGAGACGTTACCTGTCTAACTAATTCATGAGTGACATCATGCAAGGCTTTATTTTGTGCCTCTATTAAATCGACATTGCCTGGCTCTTGGATTCCCGGGTTCACGCAAACTCGAAGCATTTTCTCGAGATTTGTCTTGGCCATGTCTATGGCACCATTCGATACCTCGCCCGTCAAGTCCATCATCACAAAAATTAAAGCTCTAAGGAATACGAACATATGGTTCAATACCCACTTCGTGGACATGCGCTCGAACAAAAACTTGATGGCCATGCATCCACCAAGCTTGGAATACCACGCACGCTCGTAACACAACGAGCACATCCTCTCGGCAAGATATTCCATCAGAGGTAGCTGACATGCTCGCTCCTTGGAGCCGAGAATATTGGTGGATGTTTCGAGAATGAGCACGAGAGCAAGGTTACCTGGTTTACAAAGTTCTTTCTCCTCGTGGCCCATGATTACGGTCAGTGCATCGATAAGAACTAAAGGATCTTGGCCTTGAGGGCGATTTGGCCTATTTGTAAGACAGAACGGACCAGCTTGCTCAGCGATTGCTACCATCGTGTAATGACGGACGATACTGAACATCGTTCCAAGAACAGACTGTCGAAGTTCCTTGATTGCAGCTGCCACGAACAAGCCCGTAAGTGCGGTCTGTTGAACATTTCGTGCTACGCTGTCGAGACATTTGGGATGAGGCCCTTGTTGATGAGGAATCGTGCCTTCCTTGAACGACGGATGAGAAAAGAATTTGTACAGAGTGGCTTTGTCATCGTCTAGCCGAAGAGAGGCGGCGAGATAGCAATGAATGACTTCCCAACATTGCTTGCGGTAAAAAGGATCTGTGGTGTTTGATTTAAGAGCACAGAAGGCTGTATCGATGACCCTTTCTACAGGGACATCTATACCTTTTGTTGGCTCTTGGAAGAACGCTACGATCGCTGGTGAACTGGTTTCGCGATCGTTGTACTCTAATTTTTGTGGTTCGATCATCATTTTACGATTTCCACCACCGAACTTCCCGAGAACCCGGAATGCTACGTGAGCAACCTAAAAAAAATTTACGAGTGATTTTGCTAATCAAAGAGAACAAATATGTAAAAAATCTAAATATGTATTTACCTGATCTGTAGGATTGCGTAGCGTTCTCCAAAGTGCCTGCATTAAATCTGCTCTGACGGGCTGTATATGTTCATATAAGAAATCCGGCTGCAAATTGTCAACGCACAGCTCCAGTGTTCTTAAACCTTGGCTAACCAATGTATGGCTACCATTTAATGCTGATACCAGTGGATCCATCAGCATAGGGAGATATGGAAGCAAAGAGCTCAATCTAACTGGTACAGTTAGACAAAGTTCTACGAATAAATCTTTCATGTGTTGCTTGTGTAGCCCAGATTGTAATCTATTTAAACCTTCCAAGAGATTAGGTAAAAGTGGCAGGAACTCTTGGTACAATAGGTCGTGCGAACCTCCACCGATCGATCTAAATAACGCTCTCAATAACAAAAAATAGTTGTACGGTTCTTTTGCCGACATAGCTAACTCCATTGATCTGTTGACTATTTGATGGAGATGTGGACGTAACATATGTTCATTTTCTGCCGGAAATAGAGAAACACTACCAAACACCAACTTGAACAACCTCAAGTAAAGATTACTCCGGTCGACATTTGAACCCATGTCATCCATTCTTTCTAGGAGATATTCAACAAGAACCGTCGCGAAAATCGGCGAAGTTGTCGGGTTAGCCAAAAACGAGTTACCGACAATCTGCAGTGCAGCATTCTTGAAAATTCTTTCAACCATATAGTCAATTGTAGTGGAAAATATCTCTTGAAAGGTTTGAGGATTCATCATTGAAAAAACGCCACTGAAGTGCTCGAGTACTTCTTTTTCTTCTTTACTTCTCACTGTTTGTGGTTGTACTGGTCTGCCTGGTTGAGATAGTGCACCTATCGCCGGCGGACCTATTGTATAAATATCTAAGGCTTGCAATGCCCATTTGACAAGACGTATAAAGACAAGTGTTTCCTTGGGCTGAAACTGTTTAGACTGGACGTCACCGGTTTTACAGTTGGCGCAACCCCATGTAATCGTCTTCACACCACAAACAAGTGTCTTAACGAGACTTCTATAGTCAACGACATTACAATTCTGACTTTGTTGTGAAGGAAATCCAAATTTCGACTTTATGGGTTCTTTACTATTGTCTTCTTGCATGTCAACAATGTTGGACTTCGTGTCTTCAGCGTTAGCCGGCTTCTGCTCAGTGGCTGTTACAGCGGGAAGTAGTTTTGCCTTATTCAATAGAATAGGCATCTGCAATTTTGTGATAGTCTTGAATTTGAGCACGAAAACTTCGAGCATACGCATGAGAAGCTCGCGACCTTGGTTGCTATTGTCCGCGTCGGAACGTTGTCGAATACACTCGACTAGATTCAACAGTAACTTACAAGACATTGTTTGAATAGAAGTAGGTAGACTTTGATCGTGAACATTTTTGCTGTAAGAAAATCAAGGTTTACTATCGTATCCATCATCAGCAATTGAATTTTTTAAGCTTTCGACAATTTACCTGAATAAATGCACAGCTCTAGCTAGATCGACCAAAGGCAATAGCTGTCTAACGTGATGTACCAGATCGGCCAGAGTGGAGTAAGCCAACGGTCTCAACGATTCGTAAGTCGTCCAACCATGTCCCAGTAGCACTTCTTCGTCAAACAATCTTTCCATATGTGGCACGAATTTGGTCCTCAGTTCGGTGGCCAAAATATGCCTTGCGGCAATGAGTAATTCTTTCCTTAGATTGGCTACCTCCATTGGACACAGCGTCAATAGTCCCAGCATACCTTTGACCATCATACTATTGTGCTGCGCCACGACATCCATGTAAATGCGGATGATGTAGGCGAGGAACGACAAAGTCTTGATTTGTGCACCCATAAAGTCAACGAAGACCTCCTTATTGAAACCTGGAGAGGCGCGTTGTTGCGGACTTGGTTGGAGTGTTATTGTTGTCATAATCAGCGGTATGAAGTCCGCAACATCTTGGTGCACGTTTTGCTTGTAAATCTGATACATAAGCACCACGATTATCGGCAACTCTTGCAGAACCTTCAACGACAGCACAGCTTTCGGAATGAGATTGTACTGGAAAAAAAAGAGATCCCATGTTTTTGCGTTACGACTCTCTATTTAGCGAAGAAACGAATTCCGTCACCGAAGTTATGTTTACACTTACTGTAAGTTCAGAGCCATCAATCTGTTTATCAATTTGAATCGGCGTGACAGTGAAGGTCTCTTTTAACAATGCTTCGACATTTATGTCCGACAAGTCTTTGACCCTGATCGCTGGCCGAGGCTCAAAGATCTTTGGCAAATTCTTGGGCAGTTCACTGTATATTGATTTGACGAATTGTAGAAAGTTTTGAATCTACAAGAGGAAAAACAATCCAAATAGACATCGAATCTCAAAAGTAAAATGTATGTTGTACGAACCTCCGGATTGAAAGTCGGCCGATACTGCTTATGAAGCTCGATGATAATCCTCAAGCATACCAAAATATTCTCCTCGTTCTCCGTCTCAAGCAATTTGAGCATCAAGCTGAGTATCTGCTTGACGTAAGGCCTCAAGTGATCATTGGTTGGTAGCCTGTGGATCATCTCGAGAATCAGTTTCCTGACTAGTTGGATGTTGTACTCGGAGATGAACAGCGGCTCGCCTTCTTGCAGTATCTTCAGGAAATTCTTCATCATGTGATCGAGGAAGCTCGGATATTGAGGCGAACTAAGGATGACCTGGAATCAATGGGAAGTCGAGCGAATCGATAGTGGCGTACAACAGGTGTGTTTAGCCTCTCGGCCCCGCGCGACGCACGCGAACACACACGCACCTCGAAATTTTCCGACATCTCCTGTGCCGCTTTGAGCTTCGTCTCGTCCTTGGCGTTCGGATCAGCCAGCAAGGTGACGTGCGATCGATAGGTGTTCATTTGAATGGCTGGATCTATCGGTGCCATTGCGTTTGATTATGGACTCCGCCCTGTAGTCGAAAGCGATGGATGCAACTGCTGAAATGAGAAAGCATATCGCTGTAATCTGCTTTGACCCACATGGAGTATAATCAATCTGCGAGTAAAGTCTCTTTAGTGAGGGGGGTGTGGGCGATAAACAAGGCCATGGCAACCGAGCTTTCGAGTTACGTCCTAGCTCTCCGTGACGAGAGTCAGTGTCAGTTGAGTGTCTGCACGCGACTCCAGTCCAGGGCGACGTGCGCCTCTCGAAAGACCTTTACCTGCGATTCGACGCGGCTACGATTTCAAATTGAAAAACAAGTGCGTCGCGAACGAGAGCGACAGACTGGACGCGTGGAACAATTAATGTATCCGGCGTGGAGGGAGGAGTGATCAAGTCTTGATCGCGCGATGCGCACCAAATCGCGGCGTTGTTAACGTCCGCATTGCGCTCGAAAGCTTGGCACGATGGACGAGAAGACGATCGACCGAATTTTCGCGGGCTCGCTGGAGCAGCTGCCCGCGGTCAGCTCCAAGATCGTCCGGATTTTCACTAGCTCGACATTCACGGGTACGTCGCTGCCTCGTGCTTTCGTTCGCACGTTCGACACTAGTAATACATCTTTCGTGTGCTGCAGACACAACGATGGAGAGGAATACTCTGATGGCGCAATGCTACCCGAGGTTGAAGGACTACTGTCGAGAGAAACACGGTTTGGAGTTTCAGGTGAGCACGCGAATATTCGGATTATTCCTTTGCTGTCTATTTCGAAAGGCCCGAGAATTGCACGTAGCGCCGTAACCGACGCGCGTTCCGACATTCGCGGCGCTGACCTTGAAAGTGAATCGTGGGCGAGAGTAATCGATCTGGTACCGAGCCGCCAGCGCCTCAGTGCGGTACCAGGCGGCACGCGCTGCTCGTGCCGAGCCTGGCCTGTCGCGGGGGGGGGGGGGGGGGGGGACGACAACGACTACGACGACGACGACGACGACTGTAGGTCACTGTGCGCGTGACAGGTGGTGGACATGAGATGGGGCGTGCGCGACGAGGCGACCGACGACCACATGACCACCGAGCTGTGCATGCGAGAGATCGAGAACTGCCAGCGACTGTCTATGGGGCCGAATTTCGTGGTGAGTAGAGCGAGCGCCGTCGCCGGCCGGCTGGCGGCCTCCGCTGAAGCCGTCGATCGTTCCGGTGGGGCAGGTATTCCTCGGCCAGAAGTACGGCTACAGGCCGATACCGACCTACGTGCTGAGCTCGGAGTTGGAAATGCTGAGAAGCGAGCTGGACGTCCAGGGCTGCGACGTGAGCGTGCTCGACCAGTGGTACAAGAAGGACAGCAACGCCGTGCCGCCCACCAGTATTCTTCAGCCGATATCTTCCATCCTGAAGAACTTCAACAACAAGGTGAGACGAGCACTGCGGCTGGTATTCGCTCTGCGCTGACCCGCGGCCGAGCTTCTCTCGTTGCAGAGGATACCGAAGCTGCAGCAGGAGGACCAGGCGATCTGGTGGGACACGATGGTCAAGATGCAGAAGCTCTTCCGCAAGGGCGCGCAGGCTCTGTTCAACAGCGGCAAGTTCGACAAGGACACGATGCACAATTACTTCATGTCCGGTAACGACAGCTCTCGCGCGCGATCGCTCGACGCTGCTCTTTCTCACTGGTCTGTGCTTCTCGTTGCTCTTTCTCGGCGGCGCGCAGTGACCGAGCGCGAGGTGATCAACGGCATCCTCAACGTGAAGAACACCAAGAACCACTGTCTCGCCTACATACGCATAATCAACAACATCAACCTGCAGAACCTGCGCAAGGCCAGCTTGTACCTGGACATCCTGAACAGGAGCTTGGACAACGAGGCCTCCAAGCTGCTGTCGGACCTGCGCGACACGAGGGTGCCCAACAAGATCGAGGACTCCAACTTCCAGAAGTGAGCGCAAGTGCGAGAGGGGGCGTCGGCGCCGAGTCTAACGGAAGCGAACGGTGCGTATGCAGGTACGTGATCGAGTGGATAGGCCGCGAGGGCTTGGATCCGGAGACGCACGGCGAGTACCTGCAGGAGTTCGTGACGCATTTCTACCGCAACATCGTTAAGTTGGTCGATCGAGCGATGAAGAAGGAGGACAGCTCGGCGCAGGGCCAGATAATCACGGAGATCCTGCAGCATCTGCACGCCTGCAACAACTCCGTGAAGGTAGGGGGAGGGGGGGACGGCGGCTGCCGGTCGGCCGAGCGACCCGCCACGCGAGCAACGCTTTGCTTGTAGGTCTTCTTCGGCCGAGAGGACAACCTGGTGCGCATCCGGCGCTACATGCTCGACAGCGGCGACAAGCCGCTGGTACTGTACGGCGAGGGCGGCTGCGGTAAGACGTCCCTGCTGGCCAAAAGCGCCGGACTGTCGAACCCGCGGGCCGCGAGGAAGGACAAGGACGCCGCCGCGGAGGAGGCCTGCTGGTTCGAGGGCAAGAGGCCCATCAGCGTGATCAAGTTCCTGGGCACCACGCCCGACAGCAGCGCGCTCACGCCCACCCTCGTCTCCATCTGCCAGCAGGTCGGGGGAGCCGACGCGTCTCGCGAGCGCGAGGGAGAGGCTCGCGTCGACGCCCGCTCTCACGTCGCCCGCTCTGCCCGCAGATCTCGTACAATTACATGCTACCGTTCGACGACATCCCCGACGACCTGGTGCCTCTGACGGCCCACTTCAAGCACCTGCTCACGCTGGCCACGGCGGAGCAGCCGATCTTGCTGTTCCTCGACAGCGTGGACCAGCTGACGGGCACCCAAGGCAACAAGCTGTCCTGGCTGCCCACGCGCCTGCCGGCCCACGTCAAGATGATCCTGTCGTGCGCAGCCGAGCAGTCCAATCCCGTGATCTCGCGCGACTACCACTTGCTCAGACGGATGATCGACCACGAGGACTGCTTCATCGAGGTGACGGCTCTCGGCGAGGACCTGGCCATGGAGATCGTCAAGTACGTAGGCGAGAGCCGGCGAACGAGATCGATCGATAGACTCGCGTGTGTCGCGTCGACTCGACAGGAAGTGGATGCACAAGGCGCACCGCGACCTCAACAACTATCAGTGGCGTCTGGTCGCCAACGCCATTTCCAAGTGCTCGCTACCGATCTTCGTGAAGCTCGTCTACGCGGAAATCTGCCGCTGGCGCAGCTACACGAAGCCGGCCGACACCCACCTGGCCAACACAGTCATGGACAGCATCATGATGCTGTTCGAGAGGATCGAGAAGCAGCACGGCAAGATTCTCGTGTTCCACGCGCTGGCCTACATCACCGCGGCCAAGTCCGGGCTGTCCGAATCCGAGCTCGAGGATCTGATCTCGCTCGACGACAAGGTGCTCGACGACGTCTACCAGTACCACTTGCCGCCCGTCCGGCGCATTCCGCCGCTGCTCTGGACGAGGATCAGGAACGACCTGCCCAACTACCTGAGCGAGAGAGAGGCCGACGGGGTGAGCGTGCTCAACTGGTACCACAGGCAGTTCAGAGACGCGGCCAAGGAGAGGTACTTCAAGAACTTGAACTTGGCCACCTATTTCCACTCGATGATCGCGGATTACTACCTTGGCATTTGGGGCGGCGGCACGCCCAAGCCTTTCAAGTTCACCGAGATACAGAGGCACAGGTACGCGACGCGTCTGTGGGCCGATTTGACGATCGAGTAGGTTCACAGCCGACGCCTCGAACGCGCAGGTTCAATCTACAGGACAAGGAGGGCGTGGCCGATCGCAAAGTACCGGAACAGCCGCTGGCCTTTTACTCGAAGGAGGGGAGCATCACCAGATACAACTTGCGAAAGGTATAGGGCTGCTCGGCGACGAGCGCCCGCGCGCGAGCCCCAGTCAAACGCCACCGACCGCTTTCAGTTCGGCGAGCTTCCCTACCACTTGGTGCGGGCACGCCGCTTCAACGACCTCTTCGAGAGCGTGCTCTTCAACTACGAGTGGCTGCACGCCAAGCTCAGCTCCTGCCCTCTGCAGGCGGTCCTGTCCGACTTTGAGGACGCGTGTCTCAACATCGACGATCAGAATCTGGTCAGGTATGCGCCGCGCCACGCCAGCCCCTGTGACCGGCCGCCAAATTGCCCCCTCCCCGCAGGGAGCTGATGCTGGTGGCGGACGCGCTGAGGCTCGGCGGCGCGATCCTCGGCAATCATCCCGACATGCTCGCGCCGCAGCTGGTCGGCCGACTGCTGCCGGAGATCGGCAACAACGTCAACGTCCGCATGCTGCTGCGCGCCTGCGACGCCGACGGCGCCAAGGACTGCGCCCTCCTGCCGCTCTATCACTGTCTGCACACGCCCGGGGGACCCCTCAAGTACTCCCTGGAGGGACACCAGTTCGCGGTGTTCGGATTTTGCCTGACCTCGGATTACCGCTACGTCGTGTCGATATCGAACAAGTTCATCACTTGGGACTTGAGCACCAGCGACATGACGAGGGACGTGAGTCCTGGCATCGAGGGCATAATGCAGCAATTGGTGATGAGTCCGGACAACAGATACGCTGCTGCTTATACGAATAACAACCAGGTGAAGACTTCGTTTTCTCTGTGTTCTTTATTTACAGCGATCGAGTTTTTGGGACTTTTGCTTTGCGTTAGTCGGTGGTTTTGAACACGTTGACGAGCGAATTCGTCATCATCGACAACCCCTTACCGGAAGAGGCGAAAGTCTGCGGCGTCTACCTCATGAATCAGTTTGCTTTTATCTACGGTAAGACCGGCTGGTGTCGATTCGATTTGCGAGGCAACTTGCTGAGCAATCACACTAGTCCGGAAGATACGAATCAGTGGTCCATATTGGGTAAGTAACACAATGTCGAATGTACCATTCGAGCGTCGTTGAGGAAAAATCTCCCGCAGAATTGGAATATACAACGCTGGACGACTACAGAATAATATTTTGGACGAATCATCTGGACGACCCGATGATGCTGCTGCATACTTATCGGAAGAAAATGTTTCTGGAACCGTTTCACTTTCACAGGTAGGCCGAATTATTCTTGGGCGTGGCGAACTTCAAAACTGATCCTGCGTCTATGCGCTTCAGTGCAATGGCAATGACCAAGGACAAGCAAACTCTGTACACTTGCACAACGACAGACGTATACAAAGTAACCAAATACACGATCAGCGAAGGTTCAACGCAGTGGGACGAAGTCTTGGAACTTCCGCGAACGTACAACGACGATCTCGAGTACATGTTGCAACTGAAGCTTAACAAGGAGGAGGACACATTGCTAGCCACAACGGGTAATGGTTTTGTTGTTTGGTTCTTGCTGAGCCAAACTGAGCCAATTGTGTTAATGCTTCCAAATGGAGTTCGAAACATAAGTACGAAAATGATGTGCTCAAACTCGATTATGATAGACGGCACAAAGAAATACGCAGTAGCCGGTGTCAGGTATGGCTTTTCGAATTTTTCACAAAGAGTAATTATTATCCAGTACTGATTGTCTTATGCAGGAAAAATTTGTACGTATGGAGCTTGGATAAGCCAGAGTTAGTCAAGATTTTAGATGCTCATTTTGCAAGAATCATTCAATTAGAAGCTTTAACTATTGGTAACTGGAACAGTGTTATTACATCTAGCATAGACAGAAGTGTCAAGGTGTGGAATATTAATAATATTTTCGAGCAAGTTCATGTTATCGATAGGCATGAGCTCCAAATTGATTCGCTAAGGTAACTTTACAAAATAGTCAATACAAAGTAGTTCGTCGAAAGGAATTCTTAAGTGTTGTAATTCAAGTTTGGCAGAGAATTGTAATCTCGCTGTAACTGTAACAAGAGGATGCGTTGGAGTGTGGGACATACAAGCTGGCAAGTTAATTTCAAAATTGGCAGACAGTCCCTTGGGTGCCATTGTCACTCATGCTTGTATAACTCACGATGGGAGGTAAATATTTTCTAATTGTTAAACAATCTTCTCAATTAATGAAAAAGTAAATAATAATTTAATTTTAGGTATATTATTTCAACTGAGTCAGGAAATGTATTAATTTGGAATCGTATCACAGAACAAGTTTTATTCAAAGATGAGCAAGCAGATGTTAGACAATTAATGCTTATTCAAGATGGTTCAAGATTTGCTACAGTATCTAGACCAAATAATTCTCCCGGTATTGAATCAATAAAAACTACTGCTACATTTATAATGAGAAGCATACCTGGTAATTAAAAAAAATTTAGTCAAAGTTAATTTGCTTTTTATTAACAATCATAAAAATAATCTTCATTGGTTTCAAGATGGTACCACATTATTTATTTTTGAATACCCTGTAAGGAGTAATACTGGTATTCCATTTAGAGAAGTTGTTATAACTTGCGATGGGAATCATCTTGTTGTACCAGCTGCAGAGAAAGGAAGTCGAGATTGCATAATGGTTTACAATGCAAAAACTGGAGTTAATATTAGTAAAATACCTATTAAATTACCAGGATTCAAGGTGAATCCAATAAAATATTATTGTATTCTACATCAAAAATAATAACAATAAACTTCAAATTATCTACTCCAATTACCCAATTTTATAGGATATTATTGCCATTGTACCAATGCCAAACAAAGCATCATGGGTTGGCATCATTGGCTCTGACAGAGGTAGTGTTTTAGATATAACTAAAAAGAAAATCATTCGTTCCATTCCAAAATGGAGTGGCAATATAAGTAAAGATGGAAAATACACCTTGTATGCTCCTAGCAGGTAATTTAATTAAAGCCAATTCAAACGCTGATAAAATGAAATATTATATAATCTTTGTTTGTTATAAAGAGGTGGATTAGAACTCATTGAATTGAAAAAAGGAACTACTATAAAGACCTATATACCAAAAGTAGCAGAAGGTGTTTTCACAATTATTTCAATGTTTAATAGAACAGATGAATATGTTTTGTATTACCATAGTGGTCGTAAGACCATTAGAGTATTCAGGTATGTATTTCAAATAATATAAACTTAGTATTAAATCAGTATATAACTGCCTAATCCATTATTGATATAAGATCATCAGATTGTCAAATGATAGCCAACTACAGAGTACAGGCTGAACTAAGTGCTATTGACAGTACCTATGATGGACGTGGAATAGTTTTAGGAACAGTTGATGGCTGTGTATCAGTACTAGCAATAGCAGATCCTCATAAACCAGAAATAAAAGAGTATCTTGCCAACCTCCCTTCACGGGATGAGAAGGTTTGCTTAATGTTATTTTTTACCTAATAAATATTAAATGTATATACTAAAATAGAATGAAATCAAAATAAAATTCAGGAATTGGTAGAATAGGAAGGAAAAAACATTTGTGCTACGAGCTGATTGATATAATGTTATTGCTGCTATTTACATAGGACTCGCACATGTTCTGAATTTATAATTGCAGTAGATGAAATACGTTAATGAATTGAAAACACATTCAGCGAGCGAACTAAACTTTAATTTAAAAAATATGTCATTTATATTAATAATTACTTTAAAAAAACTTTTCTAATACAAACCTTGTTATTGGTTATGCCTCGGCGTGGTAGACGCCGACTCAGTAACTTCTATAGCATGTTTCCCGACGATACTTTTATTGCTATTCTTAGCATCTTCATTTATTTAAATTTTGATCATGATGCGATTAACGATGAACACATTTTGCTTTGAAAAATTAAACTGCAGTTCCAACTTGCGCGAAAACTAACGAAGCATTAGCAAGCAAAAGTATGTTTCGACTTTCTCGATCGCTCATCGCTTATCTACAATGGCTTAATAGAATAGATCGCATTATCTTATCCTTAAACCTATATTCAATGAATATACGTGGGAGCGCTTCAATGACTTAAAACTATTGTAGCATTATACTTCCATAAGCCAAATCATAAATAATAACTGCACGTTTACAAAAAGATATTATTATTGTTAATAATAACCAGATAAAAAGGAGATAATCTAAATAACTTTATCTTACTAATCGAAAGTTCAATGAACATTCGATTGTCATGGTATTTGTGATAGAAAATAGTTAAATTATATCAAGGTATTTGCGCAATGCATTACGCAAATAATAATGTTTGATTAACGGTCAATACACGTGATTTTCTTTGTAGGACCTGCAAAAATTGAAAAAAATTGTAACCTTCAAGACATCTCGATTAGTTATACGCCCAATCAGCGTCAGATACTTTTAATATGCGCGAACTTTTAAAAATTAATTTCATTGCGAGCACGTGTTCTTAAAATGACCGACATGATGTAATAATTGACGATATAATTAATCTGGAAAGTGTCATTAAGTGTCTGTAAAGTTATAACTGATTTAGTTTCCAAGATAAATATTTTCTATGTATATTTCTTGTGTCAATTGATCATAAATACAACTGGTTTTGTAATTATTTCTTTATATTTGCAGTGGAAAAAGCGAATGGAAAAGCAAAAAGCAGCGATCAAGTTCAAGGCAGCAGTTCGTATAACTCGAGTGACACATGACCTGACAAATCTTGTACGTTCTGAAAATTCATCAAACGTGAGCAGTGATGTTGTAGAAGAGCGATTCGGGGAAAGTGACATATAATTTGCAAAATCAAAGAAATTGATGTATTGATTAATTGAATAAATTCAATTTGATAAAGAAAGGTTGTTCTATAAATAATTGAGGCAATAAATAAAATGTTTGATCGAGGTTTATGGAATTTATATTACATTTATTCTGTCTTTTTTTATGTAGTTGTTTTTTCATTAAATCTCTTTCTCACATAATTCTTCTGCTTCATTCATTCAAAGTGTTACGAGGCACGGAGCGTATCCACGTTAATCGGTAAAAGGTGGCACATTTGTGTTGTGTATGCGTCTTAGATTCTTGCATATAAAGAATAAAAAAAAGAAACTTCGACGAATGTTGCTCAGCAAACACGTGCGAGAGCCCTGTCGTTGGCCGAAATGGGTGTATGTAAATCTTGCCTGTAGATACTCTTGCGATTCTGCCGACGCGGGGGCATGACATGATGTTTACTATAAATACAAACACTCTCGACGAAATAATGAATATGCCTCGTGCCCGACAACACCCATACACTCTGATGGTGTACCAATTTTTCCTCCATTCTTTTAATCTCTCTTTCACCATTTAATTAGCTATGCTCATTTGCGCATCCATATTGTTTTTTTCTCTATCAAATTTGGTAAACGAAGCGATTCGACGAACAGCTCTCACGCGAAGCTTCGCCAAGTCATTCAGGCAGATGATGGTTTGATAACAGCTCTTCTTCACTCATAATTGATGTTTTTATTTAATTCGTACCACGCAATGTATATTTCATTTTTCCCAATTTTACCTGAATGATCTTTAAACAACTACTATACGCATTTTTTCGTAACAATGTACAACTAAAACTATCAAACACACCTGCTTCAGCACTCATACACGTATGATCGTATATCGCCGACTTGTCGAAAACCTTCAATTGATCTATTTCCGTTTTGAAGTCAAGCTCTCTCTTTTTGTCTCGCTCTCTTTGAATAGTTAAAAATTATCGTATGATTCTTGAAGTTCTCGTATTGCATAATGATGTGTCTCCGGTAAATAGATCATTCATCATGCGAAATCTACTATACAATCAAAATGCAACATAGAATAAATCACGATTCTTCGTAGGCTCATAATTATGGCTCGTTTTTTAATCCTTGTTTTCATTTTTTTTGTAGACTTGCAATTCATATTTTCTTGTTTGATCTTCAATTTATTTGCCCCTATGTTTTCTTTCCCATGTTTTTCCCGTATGTATATTGTTATTACACCGCAAAAAGTCTGTCGGCTTTTTTCTTTCTACGGCGCACCTTTCATTTTCTATTGCGTGCTGTTGCCTTTTTGTGTTTGCTGCTGAGATGGTGATCCCTGCTCTTTCTGCTGCAGTTCAGCGGTTGCTTGATCTCGCATATGTTTCTCCACCTAAAAGCACAAGTAATTAATGTAGTATGCATTGATGTTATCTATAACTATATTGGGACAAATATATTAGCTGTTGCAAAACACTTCAAGACTTATCAATTGCATAAGAAAGAAATTTGTTTGATTTTCAGACGATACCAAAGCTAGGTAAAAAAATCACTGACTAACCACTTTTTTAACGTGATTGTATGCTTTGTCATCGGAATTGCCCTGAACATTTTCAATTTTATATGGTGGTATAATGGTGACTTTATCCCAAACCACAATATTAGGTCCACTCCATGTGATTTCCTGAATAGTCTTGGCAATGGCAATAAAGAGTTTTTGTCCCTCTGGTGACACTCCGGCCTGCAGAGCCTTGACCATCCTCTTTTTCTCTTCGATCTGGTTACGTACCCTGGTATTTAGCCTTTGTAGATTGAGACTCTGTGGTGGTTCGCTAGTTGGACTCACTTCTTTCTTTACCTGAACATCTGATACCAATGACAAATTGACTATGTGTACATCGTTTAAGGACGCTCTGCCACACGACGCTGGACATTCTGTTTTTCATTATTAACGAGCCTAGTTAAGAAAAATATCGTTGCCAAATGTTCGCAAGCTAAAACTAACAGAGAGAAAAAAAACGAAAAGAGCAGACTGGAGAGCATGCAGGTCATGGGAGAAAGGAATGTAGAGTACTAACGCTCGTCCAGGATATCGTCAGTCGAGCGATACCGAAAGATTTATCCGAATACTTGCAGACTTTGAAGTGGAACAGGGTAGAAAACATTTGGGAAGGATTTATTTACATCGGGTGTCTAGTGGTAGTTATGGGGCCTGCAGCGCGTAAAGTATGTACACCAAAGAGCAAACACTCGAGATTGCGATCAAATTTTTTTCAAAAGGATACTCAGGATAAGCATCTTCGTCTGCTGATCGAATGCTAACACTTCGCCTTCAATCTCCTTGTTATGACAGGTTTTACATGCCACCGTACTCCCAATGCTGAAGTAATCGCTGACGCCGGCCATTTTTCACTACAGACAGTACTGCACACTTTCCGTCTTCCAACATCACCAAACTCCAACGACATCAAATCCAAACGCAAAAGGTGCGGTTTCACGTAGCGACTAGTTACCGGAGATGGTAAAACAGGATAATATTTTATTGATTTTATGCTTGACGCTGTCGTTGCATAAAATTGCCCCTTTAGGTCTCGTCTCCATTTTAACATATTGTAACCACTTTTAAATATCACACGATCAGCTCCAAAACTATGTAGGTGACCGATTTGCCTTGGAAATCGGTGTATCAATATTATTTATATTAGTAATGAACTTCAGATCAATTTTTCGACATTATAATGAGTAGATCAAGTTATTAAATATAAAAAAATGTGGATGAAAATTTTTCAAAAATGCATATCTTTGCAATTGTTAAATTTAGGAAATAGTTAAATTGATATCAATTTATTTAAATACACTTAAAACGACAAATTATTATATAAAATAACGATATGTAACAATTCTTTTTTATTAGTTATAATATATTAAAGAAGTTATTAGCTGTTGTATTATGAACAAGTGGCTATAACACAAAAAGTGTTTTTTTAATTTTCAAGATTCTTTTTCCGTTAGATTCTTTGTCCTGATTTCCATGAAATTGATAGAGTAGAGTGGACAGTATATATCAATATATCGCAGATATTGCGAGGGCTCCGCCTATGTGGTGCTAGCCTTTACTAAGCCGAACCGCCCTTTCCGGCCGAATAACCCTTTTAGATACCTGTCTAATTTAATGGACAATGTCAAATGGTACTTATAACATGATAAATCCAATGAAAATCAGAATGGGTTTCAAATATTGTAATAATGTCTTCAACAAACATTAAAAGATTAGCGGCAAATTCAAAGTGCTATCGAAACGTAGATGTGAGGATTTTCATTCAATTTTTTCGCAGAGGCTTCATTCATTATGCTTTTCGCATGCGAGAAGGTGTGAGTGTAAGCAAGTCGGGATTGGTAAAGCCACAGTAGTAATTTCATCTCGTTTGCTCTCACCTGTCCTCGTGTGAGCTTAAGCTTATATGTTGAATCCAGCTATAACTGGATCGTATTATAAAGTATTAGAAAGGATCACTTGAAAAATAATTCGATATTGATTAAATAAAAATTAATTTCTATTACGCGCGAACGTACACTAGATGATTAATTGCAGACAAAATTAGTAATAGCTTATAAAATTATGTAACTATAAAAATTGATTTCACCCTGACAGTGTCCTGTTTAGTATGGTGATTATTAAAAACAAACTAAAGTTGAAATTCAAATTCTGTTCTCAAGTATGCGACATTAGCCAGTGACGTCACAACTTGTCAGCAGTTAGCGATTGCGGATTGAACATTTAACTCTTGTACACAAAAACTTAACCTGTTTGACGACTACTGTCATACATGAACTTCTTGAGTCATTGTCTATCTAATTGTTTTTAGTATATACTCAAATTCTTTGATTGATTTGTTTAAATTTTCAGTAGAAAACACGGAAATGGTAATTGCTTGATATATGTGAAATGTGTAGTGACAAATGAATTTTTCATTCTTTTATCTTAAATGACAAAGTTTTTTTCTATTTTAGTTTGGTTTCAATGTTTTTCCCGAGATCCCTCGGCCCTTCAACACACAATACAAATGTTTCTCTGTGTCGATGTTTCCTGGCAATGAGCGTGAGGATGTTGAACGGGGTGGCAAAAGTAAGTGTCACAGCTATCTATACACTCTTTTATCTTTTACAGTTCTGGTATTACATAATTTTTTCATTGCAGTTATCATGCCCCCATCTGCACTTGATACTTTGACAAGATTAAACATTGTCTATCCTATGTTGTTTAAACTAAGTAATAAGAAAACTAATAGAATAACACACTGTGGTGTGTTAGAGTTTGTTGCTGATGAAGGAAAAGTGTACCTGCCTTACTGGATGGTGAGTAATATGAAAAGAAAATTCAATCATGGTATTCAAACGTTTGGTGTCTCGGCATTGTAACTTTTTCCAGATGCACAATTTACTTTTGCAAGAAGGGGATTTGATTAATATAGAATGTGTCTCACTGCCAGTAGCCAGGTATGCTCGTTTCCAACCACAATCAGAAGATTTCTTAGATATTACAAATCCTAAGGCTGTGTTAGAAAATGGTCTCAGAAGTTTTGCTTGTCTGACAACTGGTGATATTATAGCGATCAGATACAATGCACGTATTTATGAAATGTGTGTCTTGGAAACAAAACCTGGCTCAGCTGTTAGTATTATTGAATGCGATATGAATGTTGAGTTTGCACCACCTGTTGGATATAAAGAGCCCGAAAAGCCTGTTACCAATGAAGAAAATGTTGTTAACCCAGTTGATTTGATGCCAGAGCCTACTGGGTTTGTTGCTTTTAAAGGTCAAGGTAACAGATTGGATGGAAAGAAAAAGAAAGAGTCAGTTCACACTGAAGCTCCATTGGATAAACCAGTTTATATTAGAGGAATACCAGATTATAATCACAAAATAGGGACATTGAAATTTTTACGTCATGTGAAGCCAGTCAATAACGAGGTAATTCATTGATTTTACCTTCCTAAAAGTAATTCATTGATTTCACTTTGTATTTTGCCAACATAATTTTTTATAATATTTATTTTCAGCAAGCAAAAGATCAAGATGAATTCAAGGCTTTTACTGGGGAAGGATTCTCATTGAGAAAAACGAAAAAGTGATAAAAGCCATATATACAAGACTTTGATTATTTTTATTATAAAAAAAAGTTAATTTACAAAACGTTGTACACAGCACAATGCACGCTTATAACGAATATCGTGTATTGTGTTACTGGTGCATAAAAAGATAAAAAAATGTGTTTTTATAGTGTAAATATAAATATATGCCTAAGTATAAAAAGTCGTCTTAAGTATAAGATGCTAAGATACCAAGCGGCATCATAATTATAAATGGATAAATGATTCTAAATCTAAAGTATCAACTAGAATATCACTGAAAGCTATCAAGTAGTAGGTTGCATTAAGAATTAATCGACTAATGGTCCCCAAAAGTGTTTACTGGGCTTTGTTTGGTCGTCAGTGAGGAAAAAATCTCGACCTAGTTTGACAAACTCTTTCATGCTGAGCTTTCCATCTTCGTTGATGTCGATATAAGTGAAAGTAACGACTGCATCCTAAATAAGTAGACAAATATAATTAGCTTTCTTTTAGTGTTCGTTTGATAAAAGTTTTGCTCTAGCGATTAAAAAAAATGTAGCTTACGTCGTTTTCCATTCCTAAACATTTGAAGAAGAGTTTAAATTCTTCGACCGAAATTTCTCCACTGTTGTCTTTGTCTACCGCCTGTAAAAAAAAAAAGAAAAATATTTTAATAAAGCATATTTTAATTTCTAAAATTTCTACTCACTTTGAATAAGAACGGCAGGAACGAGTGAACTTTTTTTCTCAGAGATTTGTCCTCGAGAACGTGGTGCATTTCTGTGAGATACTTCTCAACGTCAATGAGATTGTACTTGTCAATTGCACCCCACTGTTCTTCCCACATTTGCTGAAAATAAAAGATAAAACCAATGTAATCGAGTTTCTTTTGTTACTTGTTAAAGAAAAAAAATTCACGTAAATGTATATTATTTCGAAAATCCGGTGGCATCGATTGAAACGTACCGAAAAGAAGTATCGCCAAACTTCAAGGGAATCGCTAAAAAGAGATCTGGCAGTGTTTTCGTTCCCGTAGCAAAATATTGTCACAAAAATTTACATTGAAATCGATCGGCAATGCGTCAACCAGATCATCGTATGCAATGATTCAACTTCCAGAATAAATAAACGCGAAAGTGAACAAAACAACCGATGACTTACTCTTAATACAGCCTGAAACTCTTCTTTTTGCTGGACAGTTAGATGTCCCAGTTTGGCGAATCTCTCGCCGAGTAGCTTGAAATCATCGTAACTAAGCCATCCGTCCTTGTTAACATCCAAGTGACTATGTAGCGTCCTCATCTTCCGTCTCCAGAAGTGTGAGCGAGCCTGCACGCCGATCAAAAGGAAAGAAATTGTTTTCCATCATTCACTTCGTTTATTAGGTCAAGGATTAACTCGAGTGTGCATGTACACAATATTGAGAGCGATAAATTTTCAAATCGGAGAAACTACTCGGGAGTCGATAACCTTCACTCGCACCGTTTTTTTGCTCTCACTAGCACGACCATACCTCTCACTCTCTGTTTGTCTCTCTCTCTTTTTCGATAGACTGTTGTAATACATGGTAAAGTGCGAACGAGATAAAAACACGCGACTTGTTATGACATTATCCGCAGCCGAAAATATTCCACGCGTGCTTCGCAATTAGCTATGCACTGGCAAAAAATTTTCGACTAAGTTAATAATGATTCATCGATTGACTCGACTCATTTGCAAATTTTCCATAAATACCATCAATAATATTCGAGCAGACAATCGGCTCGAATACTCTCTTGTGGCGTGAATTTTTTCAAAGCATTGAATCGATTAGCATTGAACTCTGAATTGACCCTTTTTCGACAGGCAATAAATAAAGGTAACGTCGTCGAAACAATACTTGTTTGACGATCGATCGGTGGAGTGAATAAAATTACATTTATTATTGCCGAAAATGTAGGCTCTCTCGCTCTCTCTCTAAATTTAATCTTCAAAATGACTCGAGCCTGTTATTCGTCTGCTTATTCGAATAGGCGTCTGAGTGGTACGAGCGTATTTATCGTGCGATGAAAAAAAAGGCGGACGAATAACAATAATAACCCAAACGGCTCTTCTCTTCAAGTGCGACGAACTGTGAAAGGAAAAATCACGAATGAGCACCTGCGCCGAACGTTCGGCCGCGAGAGCATAAGAATTAGGAGGTAAGTGGTCGTCACAAATATCACGAATCACTTACCCTAGCAGATTCGCGATTCCTTGGGCCATCGTCGTCGCTGTCGCTGCCGCTGCCGCTGTCGCTCTCGTGATCACTCTTCTCCTCGTCCAGCGCGGCCGCTTTGGACGCTTGAGCGTGATGAACTTTACGGGTACCGCTACTCATCTGACGCATGGCGTTGTATTGCCGGACCTGTCACAGAGGCCAAAGCAAATAAGTCAGTTTGTTGCTTTTGTCCACGGATAGCAGATTTCGAGCGCGAGGTTTTTCCGTCGGTTTCGCTTGTTCACTCGCATCATGGCACAGTTCGCAATGGTGCGCACTGCAGGCCTTTGCCGCAGAATGGAAATTTATGCCGAGGAAGTTCGTTATACATTCCAGCGCCCCGTCGTTTGCCGAGAAGTGCAAAAAAACAGTGCCAAATATTGCGCAGAGCAGACGATAGTTGTTTCAAGCCTTCGCGATACTTCCGATGATGGATTTGCAGAAGGTGCGACGAATTGTCAAGTGTTTAGTTTTCAAGCCCTCGAGAAGCAGATAGGCGTTATAAGAGTTATTAAGAGAAAGAGAGCGATCGGCTGTTATATACTATCACAGAGAAAACGCGCAAATGTGAAAAAGCTCTGGAACCGTCGACGCTCGATTGCGCGTGCGTTTCATTTTCGCCTACGTGATTTGGCAACTGCGTTTCTCTCTCTTTCTCTCTCTCTTTCTCGATGCACCGGCTTTTTAGCACATCCGTTGGTCGACTTATCCTTTTCGCGAGGCGAAAAAAAACGAAAGACATTGTATCCACCTCGACACGAGAGCGACATTCTCTTTATCCATTGGTCGAGAGCGAACACGAAAATACAGGAAGCCATACCGAGTAGGAAAAAAGTTTGTTCAAACTGGTTTTATCAAGAGGCGCATTAGCATTATGTAACGATCCGAAAGTGTTGGTTCTCTCCACGGTCCAAAACAGAAACAAAACCGGCGCGAGGAAAAAAGAGAAAGATGAAAGCGCGTCCGTTACCAGGCGCTCGGGGAAGGGCTTCCGCCCGAGGCCGAGAGGCCGTCCTATGCGCCGTACACTTTCCCATTTTTTTTGCGCAAAAACCTATATCGACAGCTGTAACGCGCTTTCGCGTACGGGCTGGCTTCGATGCAAGTAGAAAAAAAAAACAACGGAAGGAAAAGCACGCGGAAATTTACGACTCGTCGTGCGATCTCCAACGCTATCGATGTCATTGGCCGCCTGGCACGTGTGTGATGATTATGGTTGTTTACTTAAGGGCATCCCGCGATTAAGTATGGGTTTTGTACATCGGCTTTTGAGATTCCTTTGTTACCTTCGGTGCGAAGACGTGAATGGCGTCCTGCGAAATGGCTGCGTCGTTCTCCAGAAAGCCACTGCAGACGGCCGGCACTAACTTCCTCTCCATCAGGTTCTTACCAAGGAAGGCCTGGCGAAGGCCCATCCTCATCAGCACCGTTGCCATTCTGACTACTCCTCTTCCAAGTTCGACGAGTTTGGTTTTCGGACAATTTCGGAGCACCAATTTCGATCGCAGACGCAAAAATCAACGAATTGAAGTTTCGCTGGGTCGTCGATTGAAAAACAAATCAAGCTAGATTCGCGAGTTGCTGCCTGTCGAGTCTGTCGTGGAACACTGTAGCTGGTCGCACGTCCCCCTTTCCGTATAAAAAGCGGCGCCGGTCTCTCCCACCAACCTGGTTGCCACCATAAAGCCGCCCTTTCTCGCGATTTCCCCACCGTCGGTGCGATCGCTGGCGCGCGCGTGTGCCGACGCCGCACGGGACGTGCAGTTTCTCAGACACGACTCACTTATCCGTTGCAACCGCGGATCGGCCTTTGTTGTGACGCAGCGCGATAATGCGACGCACAGCGTGAGTTCGGCACGACAGAGCCATGCAGCCCATCGGCTGGCCATCATGGGGCAGCGGATACCGCCGTCGGCGCGCTCCCGACGCGTCCTACGCTTTTGCAATGATATATCTAGTTACGGACGCTTGGCAGTTCATAAACTCGGTGTTTTCACGTGCTCGTGACAACAGATGACGATAAGAATTTGGCACACTCGCAAATCAGACGCGTAAGTCGACGGGGAGAAAGGGGCGGTCAAACGATAACAGTATCGAGGTGAACAATGTTGTTTTTCACGAGACAGTGTTCGCGAGTGTGCGCCTCGGCACGTAACGAGGCAGTGCGCGCAACCTCGCGTTCTTTATTCATCTCTGTGCGCTGATTGACGATCGCTCAGCATCAGAGTCACACAGGTGGAAGCGATCTATTTTTAACATCCGTTTCTAATCGCTCGGCGCGACAACACTCGAAAGGACTGCCGAGGGCGACCCAACGCGAAACGCACCTTGGTGCACCTGACACTTATCGGCAGTCAGCTGATATGCACGATAATATTTACATTGTAACTGCAACTGTCTATTCGTTGTTCTGATATTATCGATGATCGTATAATTGCGACGTATTTTTAATGAAGCCACGACACCAATATCAATGACAATTGATAAAAGTATTGACTTTTTTGCCAGCGTATGAAAATATAAGAAGAAGCTTGAGATTATAATTTGGTAAACCGAGGCGTTAAATAATAAACAATTATGCAAGCAAAGAAGACGACCGACTACGACCCAGTCAACAGTAAAATATACGATAAGCACGCGCGCGCTATACTACACAGATAATGACGCGCTCGAGAAATCGAGCATACTTAAAATCTCGTCCAACAGACATTGTATCGAAAAATAAAGTTAGATGCACGTGCAAGATAGTCATTTCAGCCCCGTGTGCACGTTTGCGCCCGACTAAAGTCAGGCTGAAGAGCTATCAAATTTTACTATTATAGAACACTCTTGATAAGAGACTACTAACAAAGCAACCGCATCTACAACACACTAATTTTTATAAAACTTTCTTACTTTGCCAAGTATTCTTATGGATCTTTCTGCATTTTAAGGTTTTATCTCGTAAGATCTTTGAAGCATCTTAGCCAATATTATTCAAAAATCAAGTCCCAGATTAAAATAACTATTGGAGATCTAACGCAATCTAAGGATATGCAACGCATTGATATCAGATTTTTTTTTTTTTTTAATATCCAAATATCCCTATCCATTCAATTGTCATCGCAATTTTTGATCTATTACGATTTTCATTTTTTTTAAATGCTTGCAAATAAATTTAAGACTGAATTACGCGTATTTTTACTTTTTAAAAAGAATAATTCCCGAGGTTTCACTGAAATTGCGGTCACCCACATCTGCCGGTCTTTTTGTCAGTTAACGTAAATCTTTAGCGTTTTACGTGAGTTAGATGGAACGATAACTACATTGTAAATTATCCAAAGGATAGAAACATGACCTACACATGCTTGATTCAAGCATTTATATTTCCTGATTATATATTACAAAAAAAAAGAATTGTTGATGAAACACTAATCTTGTTCCAAAAAGTTTAGATATCAATTAAAAAATTCTCAATTCAAAATAAATTAAATGTAAATAATAAATAATTAATTACTTTTTAAATTGATTAAAATGATGCTACTTGAAAAAAATGGATTTATTGCTGGAAATAAATATATTTTAATTGTAAAATTAATCAATATTTTTTAGAAATATTTGGTGCAGTCAGTTCAATGAAAATCTTTTGGAGAGTAACCAAACCTGTATTTTTAGAATACACTATTTTCAACTGATTGAACTGTAATTAAAATATGAAAATAACAAATTAAAAAATCTCAGTGCTATCAATTAATCAATTATCAAATTTCAAGTAGTAAATATAAATTACTGTAATAATTCCATTTTTTACACCAAGACGTGAAGCATCAATTTAAAAAACAAAGAAATAATAAAATCAAATTATACAGATAATTCAAATGATCAAAGCCAAAACATGGTTTTTATGGCCAAAACATGATTTACAATCATTCAACAATAATGAGTATTCTTACTTGAAAAGGAAAATATTTGTTTAATAAAAACAAAATCAGAAAAATTATATTACAAATTATAGTAACTTATTAAAAAAAATTATTATACAAACATTGAAGAAACAGAGGATTTCAATAACGATGTCAGGACTATTATTAAGAATTTATTTTATTATAAGCAAACCTTAACTTAGATTTTCAGAGCATACTTTCTTGGTGGATACACCGACTTTTTTCTGATTTCTTTGAGGGTTTTGCGGCTAGCTTGGAAAGGAGTAAGCTTCCTTCGAATGGCTCTGGTCTTCTTCGGCCTCAGATCTAAAGGCTTGTATTTTTTGTTTTTATACAGAAGGCGCAGATTCTCCTTCTGTTTCTGGTGCATAACAATGTACACACGTGCGATAGCCTTGCGGACAACACGACTGTAATGATAAATAGCTGGTTAGTTACTTGTGTTTGGAGTTATATCAACTTTAGTATTTACATCTTGGAAAGCTTGGAAGCAGCTCCTCCTGTGACCTTCGCAACCCTCAAGTTAGTAAGCTCAGTTTTGAGCTCCTCCAGCTGCTTGAGCAGCTCCTTCTTGTCTTTTGTCCTCAAATCCGCGCATTTGACTTTACCCTGTAACATAGTTATTGTGTCAGCGTGACATAACCAAAAAAACCAATGATTAAAACTTGTTTTTTAACACTGATAAATCACTTGTTATAACTTTGCATTACAATACTTAAGAAGAATAACCTTAATAATTAGAAATCAAAAGTAAAAAAACAAAAAATCCAAGAGCTGTAGTGGTTAACCGGCATATGTTTTGTGTATGTTTATAACCAAATATCGACAATTGCCACATAACTTGCTACACATATACAAAGATTAACCACTAATATTTTGTTTTTATCTGTTTATTTAACGACTTTTTCGCGGATGACAAGAATAAAATTGGATTTTGTAAGATATTGTAACTAACCATTTTGCTAGATTTAGGGAAGAAAAAAAGAAAGAAGCAGGAGCGACAATAGTATATACTGTTCTCGATTTTTCGTCTCAAGCAGAGGAAATTTGTACCGACGAACGATCATTTCATATGATAGTATATTTGACTTGAGCATTCTTGAAGCGGTACTGTTTGAAAATGTCGTATTTGCAATTTATTAAGTTCATTTATTGAAAACGTAAGAAGTGTAATGTTTATTTATAAACAGCAATATTTTGTTAAACTATAAACAGCAGTATTTTGTTTAATTGGTAAGTCTCGCAAGTGCCTTGAAAATCTGTTATTAATAATTCAAAAACCCATGAAAGTTTATACTATTTCGAAAAGTTTAAATTCATATAACGTGTACATTTCTACGCCGAAGATTTATTCTCTACTTTTATCAATTTTAAAATAGGAGAAGGATGCCGTGTCTGACACGAATTTTTTCCTATTCTTTTAAAAGTATTCATTTATAAAACGCCATATATATAACTTTGTATAGCACTCGCTTGGTCAACGATATTTGTGAAGCTTGTGAGTCGTTTCTTTTTCGGTGGCGATTGGTGTGTGCGCGTAAAGCGGGAAATCGCACTATAGTCGGCGAAAGCGAACGAAAACAGACGAAAAAGAAAGAAACGAAAGCAACAGAGAAATGTGTATTTTGCAGAGCACGACGCGACCGGAAGCGAAGCTTGCAAGAGGAGAGCGGCAGCTACGTCGGTGATAAAAAAGCGCTATCTAAAATCGAAAAGTACGGCAGTAGGCTTAACAAATACCTTAACAAAAACTTTATCATCAACGAGCTTCCCATTCAGAGCTTCGATGAGCTGAATTTCTTTCAGTATAACCGAACAGCCAATCGTTTTCCATTTCTTCTTTTTTACATATATTTTCTTGGCTAATTTACTCTCGTCATCATTGATGATTGTCACTCTATCGCACAAGTCTTGTGTCTGTACAACGCGCTTTATTTACTGAGTTTTGCCTTAATATATTTATTTATACAAGCGATCGATCTACATACAAAAAAAATGTTAGCAAACGAAGTGTATATACGCACACGCAGTGCTATATATATTGATACGATCGATCGAGACGGTTGCATATCGCGCGAGAAGCGAACATGCATATATATTTTTCCAACGTTGTTTGGACGCTTGTGTGGCGTAGTATGTGACCATGTGTAGTGTGTAAGCAAATATTATAAGATATATGTTTATAACTGTTGGCGAACATACAAAAAAAGATGACATAATTATAACATATCGATCGCGAGCGAGCGAGACTGAAACGCGATTACTTCTTTGTTAAATGATACTCTCTTGTAAATGTGATTTTGTTTACTATTTGTCATATTCTGTTTTCCACAATAGTATTATATGCAAAATATTGCATGACTTTTACGGCCAAAACATGACTTACAATCATTCAACAATAATGAGTAATCTTACTTGAAAAGGAAAATATTTGTTTATTGTCAAAGACAAAATCAAAAAAATTATATTACAAATTATAATAACTTATTAAAAAAAGTTATTTTACAACCATTGATGAAACAGAGGATTTCAATAACGATGTCAGAACTATTATTAAGAATTTATTTTATTATATGCAAACCTTAACTTAGATTTTCAGAGCATACTTTCTTGGTGGATACACCGACTTTTTTCTGATTTCTTTGAGGGTTTTGCGGCTAGCTTGGAAAGGAGTAAGCTTCCTTCGAATGGCTCTGGTCTTCTTCGGCCTCAGATCTAAAGGCTTGTATTTTTTGTTTTTATACAGAAGGCGCAGATTCTCCTTCTGTTTCTGGTGCATAACAATGTACACACGTGCGATAGCCTTGCGGACAACACGACTGTAATGATAAATAGCTGGTTAGTTACTTGTGTTTGGAGTTATATCAACTTTAGTATTTACATCTTGGAAAGCTTGGAAGCAGCTCCTCCTGTGACCTTCGCAACCCTCAAGTTAGTAAGCTCAGTTTTGAGCTCCTCCAGCTGCTTGAGCAGCTCCTTCTTGTCTTTTGTCCTCAAATCCGCGCATTTGACTTTACCCTGTAACATAGTTATTGTGTCAGCGTGACATAACCAAAAAAACCAATGATTAAAACTTGTTTTTTAACACTGATAAATCACTTGTTATAACTTTGCATTACAATACTTAAGAAGAATAACCTTAATAATTAGAAATCAAAAGTAAAAAAACAAAAAATCCAAGAGCTGTAGTGGTTAACCGGCATATGTTTTGTGTATGTTTATAACCAAATATCGACAATTGCCACATAACTTGCTACACATATACAAAGATTAACCACTAATATTTTGTTTTTATCTGTTTATTTAACGACTTTTTCGCGGATGACAAGAATAAAATTGGATTTTGTAAGATATTGTAACTAACCATTTTGCCAGATTTAAGATAGAAAAAAAAGGAGTAGAAACGACAATGGCGTGTTTTCGAGCAACGGAAATTTGTACCGACGAACGATCATCTCATGCGATAGAATTGAACTTGACTTACATATTCTTAAAGCACTACTATTTGAAAATGCCGTACATGCAATTTATAAAAAGTTTATTTATTAAAAGCGTAGGCAGTGTAATGTTTATTCATAAACAGCAATTGGTAAGTCTTGCAATTGCCTTGAAAATCTGTTATTAATAATTAAAAACCCATGAAAACTTGTACTATTTCGAAAAGTTTAAATTCATATAAGATGTGCGTTTCTACGCCGAAGATTTATTCTCCACTTTTATCAATTTTAAAAAAGGAGACTGCGTATGACACGAATTTTTTCCTGTTCTTTTAAAAGTATTCATTTACAAAATGCTACATATATGACACAATTAATCTCTATAGCTGTTACTAGTTAAATGAAACAATTAAAAAACATGAACGATGCATTTGCATAAATATGTTTCTACAACCAATTAAAGTACAGATTAATTTTACATCATCTTCGTTTTTTTTTTATGAAAATAACAGTTTGAGAATATTTAAAGTTGGTGAATTATTGATCTATATTCTCGAGCGATTGCAACAAAAGATTATCATGGTCCTCCCACATCCATTTTCAATTTAAATATGACTGGACTGAATAGCGACAGGGTTACGATAGATCACAAAATAATAGTATTATCATTTTTATTATATGCTATATATTGCTATGAATATAATAAATTTTCCAGAGAACATATCATTTTTCACTATGTATTTGACGATATAAACCAGATTCTGTAATCGTTTTTTGAGTATTCAACATTTTTATTAAATAGTATTATTATGGTAATGTTAGATATTTACAGTGTTATGATTGCTCATGAATTAATTATCATTAACTTGATTAATTTTTTTGCAAAATAATCAATACATCAATAAAATATTTATAAGTTTTTTTATGTATTTTGCAATATTATAACATCAAAAGTTTTTAATTATTTTCCTATATTACATATTTTATAGCTGTAGTAAATTCAATTATTAATTTCAACACTAAAATTGTTTACAATTAAGATAATGGAAGAAAAAACAATATCAAAGTAGAAATCGATCACTTTAATAAAATAGGACATATATACAGCTATAAAATCATTAGCCGATTAAAGCTATCAAATTTCTACCGTGTTAGATACGCCTTTTCAGCATATACATATAAACAGCGCGGGCTAGGACATCGAAACGAGTGTTAAAAAACTCGGGACTTGAGTAACCAAAGCGGCACTGGCACTAACGACAAGACAAGCTGTAGTGTAGCTGTAGAATAGCAGTTTTATAAGGCAAATGACAATGCCACCTGGTGGTTGGGCCATGCAACTAAACCGTCGGTTACCTAGTGGCTAGTACTGTAATAGTACCCCATCCCATAAGCCGTAAGACCTGACCTTCTATATAAGCGTCTACATTCGTTGCTGTGAGCAACAGCAAATGGGTCGCTCTCCGGACGATGGTGTCAGTACTGTCAGTAGTGTCAGTACTAGGCAGTAATAACAGGGGATTGCAGCTGCCGCCGTGACATCGTGAGCCTAGTTTTTTTGATATTCTATCAGGTTCTATGCAGTATAAAGACTGAAAATCGAGAGCGTGTCCTTCATCGATCCCTTTTTATCGGTGATCATGTGAATAGTCGTCGTGCAGCTGCGCCTTACACACATATACACACACTGGCTGAAAGTAGTCTCGAAACTCAAGCTGACATCTTCGGATAGTCTGCAGCGCACTCGCCGAAGACGACAATGTGAAGGTGGAGCAGGGATATTCGGCGGCTGTCAACAATTACCATTCTGGTGACCACGACATATATACAAAGCATGCAGTTGTTCCGCCTCTTTCACACACACTTCTATACTTTTGCATTTTATGGGCCTTTTTGTTATTTTGTTTGCGTGCGCTGCACCGAACACGGATCCGCGTTGTTCCGGATGGGATGGGCGTTATTGTAGTACTGAAATTGTAAATCACGACAACTGATGCTTTTGTATGTCGTTACACTCACTCTTCTGTGCAGCTCCTACCTATGTATGCATGTATACGTGAAATACAGTAGTTAAAGACAGTTTAAGTGCTTTTTTTACTGTGTCGTTGGATCATGAGGTGGGTTTTAATCACTCTGCCTCTATTATTTAATCCGTGACGAAGAAAAAAATGAAAAAATATCTCCAAGGCATTGTTAATTATGTAATTAAGAGAGTGTTGGAATAGTATGCCATAGTGTTTTGCTTTTCTGCTTGTGTTTCCACGTCTGCTTTCCTTATCTACTTACTCGTTGTTAACCAGTTGACAACAGCAGTAGTATTGCTGTTTTATACTTTTTTTGTGTTTATTTCAGGCTCCGTAATGGAGGATAGTGTGAGTGTCAAATCTACAGAATCAGTGGCGACTAGTGATGAATATGAATTTGTAAGTGAAAAAGAAACAATCAAACAGTCACAGTCATTGTTTGAGTCACCTATGCTTAAAATTGCAAATAATGGTAATTTAGAAGATCTTCAAAATAATTTACATGAGGTATATTTTTAGCTATCTATTGAACAACTTCAAATATTGCATAGTTGCAAGAACTTTTGTAAAGAACTTGTTGTAGGTTTTAACAGAAGAATCTAAAAGGGATGAAAATATGGAATTGAAAATAGTTACAAGTGATATCTCAAACATTCAAAGAACAAAAACAATTGGTCAAAGCAAATTTTATGATATTACTCCTAGTATAGTCACACCAGAAAAACAAGATGAAATGAAGCCGGAAGATTATTTTGAGGAAGGTAGTAATCTTAGGGATTCAAAGTTTCTGCAAGTCCATTGAAGTGAAATCATAACCTTGTACATTTTATTGCAGAATTAAATATTTTATCAGATGTGCAAAAGGAGTATACTAAATTCGATGCAGTCACTTATCTTGGAGCAGCTAAGATAGATGCTCCCAAATCAGAAGCTGAAATTCAAAGAAACATGAAAATACTTCATGAAAATAATTCTGTACCAATGAAAGCATCTTTGTCTGTTCCAAGCTGTTCTCAAGGAAGTGTCATGTAAGCATTCGACAGCAGTAATTTGTTTTTAACATCAAATGATGATAATATATGTACAATTTTATTTTTTTAGTCTGTACGATTCAGCAACTCAGCAGCCTATAAAAAGTTATGAAGTCCAACGTATTCTCTTTTATGCTAGAGGGGAAGCTACTGGGCCTTGTGCAGCTTGTTTTGCTTTTACATGGTCTCATGGGGACACACAGGAATCAGCAATATTTCAATGTCATGTTTTCCGATGTGATATACCAGAGGCTGTAAGTCAAAAGAACAAAACAATTACAGAATATTTTTCAAAGTCTATAAATGAATCTTAACATTATAATCATTATAGGTAAGACAAGTGTCATCTTGTTTTGCTAAAGCCTTTCAAAGGTTTCCCAGATCAATGACTAATTCATTGACAGGCAATGACTATAATAATGGTTTCAATCCTAGCAGTGATAAAACTAATGCAAGAGTATTCATTTTTGAAGTTACTATGGAAATCAAAGAGGAGGATGGAAAGGGTGCCTACAATACCGTTCCCAAAGACAGAAATTGTTTTAAGTTACGTAGTAATGTTGCAAAGCAAGTGTATTTAAGCATACAACAAGTTAAAGAAGGTGGTATCACTTTGGAGATAGAGAGGTGCTTTGGTGTTTTAGTCAGTCCTGGTCGTAATGTTAAGCACAGTGATATGAGATTATTAGAAATGGTTTGTCATTATCTTGAATATTGAATATTTTTAATTAATATTTCTTCAAATAATACCCATTCAAAACAAATTTTTATTATTTTAGCAAATAAATTCTTCACCGTACGTATCGGATAAGCAAGTTTATAGTGTCAGTGGACGTTGGGATCCTGCAGATCCAGCTTTAGAAACTTTGAACATTGAAACACCACGAGAAGGAAAAATTTTTATGACAGTAGCTGTAGATTTAGTTATTCGTGGTATAAGAGAACCTGTGAGATTTGTTATCGAGACTTCCGCTAAAGTTTTCCCCCAAAACGAAAGATTCTGGTATTTAAATAAGAAAAATCTAGTACAACAATTCTTTCTACATTCAAAAGAGGTATTCTATATAAACAAGTTATTTGTAAGTTTAGATAAACCAATTATGTTTTTTCTTTAGATTTTTTCAAATGAAGGAAATGAAATTCATTACGAGGTTCAAAATATTGAAACGTCAGGCGAAATTGACAGAAATAGATTAAATTTAGCATTAAATTTGGCTTCATTAATCAGATCACCATCTTTAACAAGCATTGATACACTCACTCCTAAAGAAGATTTCGATTCTGGTAATTTATCAGGTATAATTTTAATTTTACTGATTTAAAAGTAAATACTTTGTTAAAAAAAATATTTAAATTATTTATCGTTATAGATGGAGACGAACCAATGCTCAGTGGAACCGGTGAAGTATCTAAGGACTGTTCAGCGGACGAGCTTGCAAGCTGGGCCGAAGTTCTAGACAGCTGGCAAGTAAACGAGCAGCGACCAAAACTTTTAGTTAAACTAGTGAGACAAGGTATTCCGGAGGCTCTTAGAGGCGAAGTATGGCAGAGACTGAGCAATTGTGATAACTCACAAGAAATGATGGATCGATATCGGATGCTAATTACTAAAGTACTGATCTTTATATTTGAACTTGTTAATTATTTTAATCATTAGCGTAGTAAGCAATGTTTTCAATGGCATGATTTAATGAAATAGGAAAGCAGTTGCGAAAGCGTGATTTTACGCGACATCAATAGGACATTTCCTGCGCATGATTTCTTCAAAGAGACGGGTGGCTTAGGTCAAGACTCTCTATATAGGATAAGCAAAGCATACGCGGTTTATGATGAAGAAGTCGGTTATTGTCAGGGTCTTAGCTTCCTAGTCGCAAGTTTGCTGTTACACGTAAGTGACGATACTTCGATACGATTCATTGAAAAATTTACTGAATTGTAAAATGTAATGTTTAATAAATTAGATGCCCGAGGAGCAAGCATTTTGTGTTCTGGTCAAATTAATGTACGATTACGGCTTACGAGACTTGTATAAAGACAGATTTGATAATCTTCATATGAGATTTTACCAGTTGAATCGTTTCATAGAGGTAAGAGTTTTCGGTTTAATTGAAGAGTATTCTATTTAATTCATTTCTCTTTTTTATTGGCCATTATTTATTATAAATATTTGTTTTTATTTTAGGATCAATTGCCCGAACTCTACAAGCATTTCTGTGATCGCGGCATAGAAACGCACATGTTTGCCGCACAATGGTTTCTCACGTTATTTACCGCGAGATTTCCGCTCTATCTTGTTTTTCACATACTAGATGTCTTTTTACTGCAAGGACTTGATACCTTATTCCAAGTCGCCCTCGGTCTCCTAACGGTAATTAAAAAATCTACTTGCTTATATCTCCCAGAGAACTCTTCGAAATTGTTTAATGTTCAAATGTATTTTAGTTTTGCAAAAAAGAGCTGTTGCAGTTAGACTTCGAAAGCACCTTAAAATACTTCCGCGTACACTTGCCCAAACGATGCCGCAACGAAGAAGTCTCCCGCTACATTATGAAACTTGCCTGCTCGATAACGTTAAAAAAATTAAAGAAGTACGAAGCCGAGTTCATGACTTTGAAAGGTAACTTTGTTTTCTACGTTTAGCTTTGCGTTTTTTGATATTGTAGCAAGGAATTGAGTTATTCAAAGTACCTTCATAACATCCTTGAACTGTTTACAATTCCTCGATTAGTACATTATTACTCTTGATTCAACGAATTTTTTGTCTCGGAAATGCACTTTTTTTCTATCTCACTCGCATTGCGTACCTTACTAATATGATTCAACCGTTTTCGTTGGTTTCCTACAATCAGTCATTGACGAGCGTTCATTACTGCGGTCGTACATATTTCCATATACTTCTGATCCTTTTTGCTTTTTAATTAAACCTTTAGGCACAATCTATTTTCGAATAATTAACATTTTAAAGGTTTATTATTTTGATAAATAATCTCATATCTCATCTGGTGCGCACTGTTCCGCATGATAAAATTTATCAAGCTATCCAAGATACTGATGTTATTATGTGTTTCAGTAGCTTAAATTGTATAATTTTAATCGTAGTCTTAATTTTTTTGTTGATAAGTGTAGTTGTTGCAAAATCCAAAAATGATACCTCACATTCCATAATTGGTGTATAATTTGTTTTCCATTATATTGGGTTCTCATTGGTGTGACGACTGTAATGCTCAGATAGGTGTCTGTGTTTGGTGTACTTACGCTAGTTGCTTGTGTACGTTCACATCCTTAGAGAAAAAAATGTCTTTAACTGAACTTCACGGCAGTCGAGATAAAAGAAATATTAGCGCGAAGTATTTCCAACAAAGACATTTTTTCACACCACTAATACCCTTTAATCCGTTCCCATCCGCAAAACTTATGTACTATATGTTTTTGTAAAAGAACGAAGAAGAAAAGGTAAAGTTGAGAATCTAGAGTAGTGCATGGTACGTGCTCACGAAGCAAGTGCAATATAACTTTGTATAGCACTCGCTTGGTCAACGATATTTGTGAAGCTTGTGAGTCGTTTCTTTTTCGGTGGCGATTGGTGTGTGCGCGTAAAGCGGGAAATCGCGCTACTCGGCGAAAGCGAGCGAAGACAGACGAAAAAGAAAGAAACGAAAGCAACAGAGAAATGTGTATTTTGCAGAGCACGACGCGGCCGGAAGCGAAGCTTGCAAGAGGAGAGCGGCAGCTACGTCGGCGTTAAAAAAGCGCTTAGCCAAAATCGAAAAGTACGGCAGTAGGCTTAACAAATACCTTAACCAAAACTTCAGCATCAACGAGCTTCCCTTTCAGAGCTTCGATGAGCTGAATTTCTTTCAGTAACCGAACAGCCAATTGTTATCCACTTCTTCTTATTTACATATATTTGCTTGGCTAATTTGCTCTCTCGTTCTCATTGATGATTGTCTCTCTATCGCACAAAAGTCTTGTGTGTGTACAACGCGCTTTATTTACTGATAGTTTTTCCTTTAATATATTTATTTATACAAGCGATCAATCTACATACAAAAAAAATGTTAGCAAACGAAGTATATATACGCACACGCAGTGCTATATATATATTGATACGATCGATCGAGAAGGTTGCATATCGCGCGAGAAGCGAGCATGCATATATATTTTTCCAATGCTTTTTTGGACACTTGTGTGGCGTAGTATGTGACCATGTTGTATAGTGTGCAGGCAAATATTATAATATGACATACGTTTATATCTGTTGGCGAGCGCACAAAAAAAGATGACACGAAGAGTTATAACATATCGATCGCGAGCGAGCGAGAGTTAAACGCGATGACTTCTTTGTTACACGATACTTTCTCTCTCTCTCTTTCTCTTGTAAATGTGGTTTTGTCTTGTATTTGCTTTATTCATTGTTTTTCACAACAGTATTACGTTAAAAAAGTTATTTCATTAATTTTTTTTATGATCTGTTGATAATAAACGAGACCACTCCTCTTGAATGCCATAGTTTTTCATTTCGTTTCCTTTTCTCCACGTCCTCTTCGTTTTCGTTCTCTCTCGTCCCATCCCACATTGAATGCTTTTGGGGAGTAACTTGTTTAAAGCCTCTAATTTTTTGTTCATTTGGTTTGGTGTCGCTACAACTCACAACAGCTTTTCTCTATCTCTCTGTCTCTGTCTCTGTCTCTCTCTCTCTCTCTCTCTCTCACTCTCTGCGTAGTCTACTAACTATATTAGCGATGTGATGTTTTTGCTGAAATTCACTTATAAACATTGTATTGGCTCTTGAAACTTGGCTATTTTCAGACTATTTTTGAAAAATGACGTTGTTTCTGTAATGTCGAACGAAGAAAGGTTAGGTTGCAACATAAATCAACTCTGTGACAATAAAGATACGAACATTCTGTCGATCGAAGCGGAAAGAAAATACTGTGTTTCGCAAAACAAAAAAGACCGTGAGCAGCATAATTGTCATGAGTACGCAGGCATTTCGGCGACGCTGAGATCATACGTGACAAAGAACGGCTTTGATAGGTCGTTACGATGCACGCTTTATCGAAGGGGGAAAAAAAGAGGAGAGACCGCGGGCAGCGGGCCATCTGTTCGATAGAAGCATCGTTCGCGCGGTTGGCTCTCGAGCGCCAGCTCGTTGGCACGCCGCGAGTCGCGACCGAAAGCGCACAGGTGATCTTGGCAGCGCGCGCGGGAGTAGTGCGGGGGAGCCAATGATCGGTCAGTAGCGCGCAAGGCGACTCAGCAGACGGTAGCGACGGTACGCATCCGACGCCATGGCCAAACGTTTGTTGCACAGTAAGGAAGCACGTGGTCTCTCGCTCGCTCTCGCTTGCGCCCCGTAGCGAGCCCGAGCGAGCGCGCCAGTGTTGTGTCGCGGTCACTCGTCATCATGTTGTCTGTTGATTTTTTGGCGCATCACCGTCTCGCGCTGACAACGTGCAGAGGCGCAAGAGAACGCCGACGAGTACAGTAACGAGGTGGAGCAGTTGAGGCTAACGGCGTCACGCGCCGAGGAGGAAAAGCAGCGCCTGGAGGCGGAGCTGGTGCAGGTGAAGGAGATGCTGCAGAGAGAGGTCGGCAGGGCCGACACAGAGAGCAGGCGCAACGCCATCATCATCGCCGAGTACAAGCAGGTAACGCGCGTTATGCAATCGCGCGCCGTCGGTTCGGCTGGCCGACCGGTTACCAACAAGCCACCTCGCTGGCGTTCGTCGGCCCTCTGGGGCTGCGCTTTCGCCGCGTTGCGCCCGTCGAACAAGAGGCCACGGCCGCGACGAGAGAAGGCGACATTCCAGCGCGAGAGATAACAGTGTCGAAAACGAGGAACAATGCGCGCCCGCTAACGTCGCTTCTCGTTATCCCGTTCGGTTTGAACTTGGCTCGTTCGAGCGGACACGCTAATGGCAGATTTCCGCATAGCCGTTAACACCTGCGCCAAGTTTATAACTGTCGGCGAGCAATGCCACCGCTCTCTTTAAATGCCGATTGTCAATTTTCGTACGCGTGCATGCATCAACTGCTTCTCGCCTGCCGCAGATCTGCCAGCGCCTCGAGGATGACTACAACACTGCCAAGTCGTCGCTCAGCGACCTACGCGTAAGATTGACTATTTTCACGCAAGTCTGCGCCTCGTATCAGATAAGCGCTAATCGACTTTTCTTTTGCCGCGCGCACAGACAAAAATCGCCAAGTGCGACAAGTGTTCCAAGTTCACATTGGATTCTCCGGCGAGCACGCCGATCAACCCGTTGGAAGCTCGAGTCGATCCGATACTCAGTCGGGCACAGGAGCGCGTGCGAGAACTGGAGCTGGAGTTGGCGCAAACCAAGCTGGCGCACGTCGAGGCCGAGTGCAGGAATCAGGTGATTATTGCCGATCGCTATCCTTGCTTTGTGTATAGGTGGGATCGTTGAGTGAAAACTTGCGAGAATCGCGCGATTGGCCAATCGCGCCTATCGCCGTTTTATCTGTTCGCCTAGGGAATCGGCGTTTATAGATGTGGCTATTGTCGAAACTACCGCCAGCTTTCACGTGATCGGTTGATCTACGATTTGGGCGTGTTTTATAAAAGTTGAAACGGAGATAGATGCCAGCTCTGTGTCGTTCAATCTTTTGTACGATATCGTATCAAGAGCTGTCGAATGCAAAATTAGCAACAAAAACAAACTTGTCAAATCATTTAAAAGCAAAGCGTCGTTACCTGATACAAAACGTGTATTTTGCAGGACCTTACCCACCAATTGCACGCGACAGCTTCCGAACTACAAGCAGCGCGCAACAGTTGGCCGTGGCTGTCGAAGACATTGTCGAGCATCAAAGAGGCAGCAAACAAACGCGAGGTGATAGGCGGCACCGCGGTTTCGGGGATCCTTCGCCGCGACAGTGCACCGGCGGCTGGCGAGGTGCGCCATGTTCACTCGCACAGTCGCGACAATTTCAAGGAGGTCGTTTGATACCAAGACATCACCGATCTACGTCACACACTAATCAGCGGCTTGGCACTGTTGCGCCAACCCTTCTGACCCTCGAGATACGACGTATACTTAATCAGGACGCGATCTACGACGTTTCGTTGAATGGCTTTTTTTTATTACCATTAGCCTCACTCACCCAATTATCTTTGTTTTTCTTTTTTACATTTTTTGATAATGACATGGGTTCGAGTTTATCGTACTGTTGTCACTTCTGCACTGCAGCATATATCTGTGCTGATGTGTAGCTGAGTTCGTTAGATTATTACTTTTACAGAGATTACAACATCGCTACCTATCATTTGGCAGCTGTAGTGTGTCATAAATTCCATTGTTTTATTGTCGGGAATCAAATACTTTGCTCTATACAAGAGCTAATAAAATGTATTCGTAAATGAGATTAGCCATGTACACTGTAAGACATTTTTTAATCTCGAGCTTTATACTTTTTTAACGACTTTCATTTTGGATTTTGCATCAGATTACATTTTTTATAAACAACTAATTGTTACCTTAATATGTGAAAACAAGAAACTGACAAAATTATTTTGTGATGCGCTGCAGAATCATTTTGTAAAGCGGTGGTATTATTTTCAAAATTTTTGTCCCAGTGCACCAATTGGATAAGAATTTTTAAACAATAATGTATTACATTTAATTTCATTGAAAAAAATACAAAAATGTTGCGGTCACGAACGTTGGAAAATGAAGAATTAAAACGACTGTAAGGTGTGAAATTCATAAGCAATCGGTGAAGTTCGTCCAGTAATCATTCCTATAAAGTTGCGTATAATAAAAGTGAGTAATTACGATTGCTTATTGAATGTTGACATTCCAAAAATATAGTACCGAGAAATGCGTATGAGTAACTATTTTTAATGTAGTAATTGAGATTGGCGTGAAAAAAATTATTATTAATCAACATTATCGAAGCCTTTACAATTTCAATGTTTTTGATAAAAAATTATTTCGACCATTTTATAAATTCGTAACATTCAGTTTACAAAAGAAATTCCAAAAATGTAATTTAGACTTAATGTTACTTAATGAAATGTATTTTTAATGATTGGATACTATAAAAAAGAGTATATATTTAGTAAAAATATGCAATTGATTACTTTGCACTTTAAAATAAGTAATAATAGTATCACTTTATTTCGATATCAGAGAAAATGTTACAAACAGTAGAGTTTATCTTCATAAACACCACGAGTACATATTATTTAACACAATATACGCAATAATTGCAATATCAGTCTATGAAAATTAGTCAATAATATTATTTTGATGTATATAATTGCATAGTCACGTGAATCAATTTCTGACCGGCAAATGTTGTAAAAAAAGAAAAAAATTGGTTTATAAATTTTTCGTTGTGCCATAGTTACAAAATTCATGCATTGAAAGTATAAAAATTAATGCATTATTAGTGTGACATAACAAGTGAGTCATGTTTATATGTTAGTTTCCGTTATAATTATAATGCTTGTAACTTATTTTGGTTTCAATAAATTTTCAAAAGTTCAACTAAACTAATTTCGTATAACTTCAAATGTTAATATTTGTGTGTCAAGTGCTGCAGGTATATAAACAGCAGATTATATATCTAAACCCGTGTAAATATACAAAATTAGTGTGTAATGGGATATATAAAATAATAAAATGAAATTTATTGGTATATTAGTAGACTACTACTTTAACAAAATGCCGCTGAAAAAATTTATTTCATGGTCCCTAGAAATTATTCCAAACGGAGTACAATAATTTCTAAAGACCCTTAGAGAAATTTGTACCCTGAACCTAGGAAATAAAATCGACTACACTGCTCTTATGTTTAAATAATGACTTCTTCAACTTTAAGTCTTTTTATCATTTTTTTACTAAAATCATTCGATTATATTTATTTAAAACTACGACTAAAAAACATTGAAAATAAATGAATCACACGACTAGATTCAAATAAAATAAAAATTTATTTATTTATTGACAATTATACTTCTGATGGGATATTTTTCGTCTACTTCTAGTAAACGATTTCAGTTCATCTGTGTTATCGTAGATTGCAGGCTCTTACAAGATTAATTTAAAAAAGCCGACTTAAAATTTTTTGCAATTACTTGCCAAAGTTTGAATCAAGCCAATAATGAAACGGAACCATCTCGGAAGCATACCCTCGTTGAATTTGGTTGATTTATCCCAGAGATTAACGTAGATGTACACAAAAAAATCACATCGAGTACAAAACCTCTTTTTGTAGTCAGCAAAAATGGAAAATAGAGCTGAAATAACTTTTCACTGTTCTTTCAATAGAGAAATCGGCAACTTGTACTCTATTGAAGAGGATAATTTCCTGGAGGAAGACAGAAAACCATGCAGCAAGGTTTCTGAATTATTTAGGCGTGTAGTGATAACGTTAAGAAAAAAACCCAATGTAACTATGTTTTTCCTTAATCTGCAAAGTTATTGTATGTACAATCGGATTGAACAAAGAATGAAATAACAATAATTGTTAAGTTAATAGGCTTTCATTTTTAATTTCTTTGTAGAGTACAATGGTTTTTTTTATAATAAAGACTAAACTTTTGAATTTTTTGAATTTTTTTAGAATCTCATAGTATGTCATTAGATAAAATTTTATCATTTTTAGGTGAAATTATATCCAATATCAGCCTCTGATAAAACACTCATGATAGCTTGACTATTGATTAAATATGACTTAATTTGTACAATGTCGAACTGTATAGAACATGACATATATATACAAGATTCAGTTTCGTTGTCAACACTGGTATAGACTATTCAGACTTTTTAGAAAAATAATTATAAATAGTTTATAACCTTACCGTTTTCTTATTTTGAAACGCGAATGTCTAAATTTATTCATACTTAAATAGATAATGTATTTATTTAATTTTTATTATTTTGACAGTATGATCGAATAACAGTGCTCTCCACAACATTTTTTTTCAATAAAAAGTGTTTTTTCATTTTCATAGAAATAATAAATATATTTTTTATTTTTAATATAAAAACCAAAACAATACATCGCTATTAGTTTTATAAAAAATGTTTTTCTCATTTTTTGTACTCTAAAAAATTATAATAAATGTACTGGTTCAAAATCAAAACTGTTGAACACATTTGTTTCAAAAACTTTTCAAATGATATAAAAAATATTTAACATGATCGTTATACTTTTCGATTATTAAAGAGAAATTTCCCAGTAAATATAAAGTGATACGTATATCATTCAAATAAACATTCGACCAAATATCACATAGATTATTGATTCTGTTAAAAAATTATTGGTCTAACAGAAGCTCACTAATTGTGTACCACAAATGCTTGTTTAGTACTGCAAATATTAAGAACAAATCCACAAAGTGAACACTTCATACTTTTATTTTTTTATAAAAAGTAACAAAACGTTAAGTGCGTCTTTCATCAGTGTTCTTGTACGTATGATTAATCTCCTGTTGAGTAACAAATAATTTATTCTAAAATAAAGGCAAATTATCACCAAAGTAAAATTTCAACACTTACCAAAATTTTCGTTAGGAGGTTGTGGTATTGGCAAGTTTATTCTAACTCCATCAGCGTCAAATCTCTGTAGCAGTCTCAATAGCCAGATAGGAAAGTCATTGTTTCGCGCTACATAAATGTCATTTTCATTTTCCAAATCATTCTCATGAACATTGATGAATGGCCGTATGTCATTAATATGCGGATTTTCTTCCTCAGGCTCCATATTATTACCTTCGTCATCCAAATTATTATTAGCTAAATCTCTATTTTCTGCCATATCAAAATATCCGATTCTTGGCGCGTCAGCTACACTAGGAGATTCTGAGTCTAATGTTCGATCATGTGCAATGCTGGAGAGATCATCCACAGGAGATAGGTCTGGAGGTGAATTGGAATTTGGATAACCAGAATCCATAATTTCTGGAGACCAACTGTTCAACAAGCTTTCCGGTGTATCTGGAGATATTCTTTCCAATTTCAGATCTTTTTGCGCACTGTCTGTAATGTTTGATAATTTATAACTTATATTTTTTGGTATTGTACCAGTACAGTTCCTTAATTTCTCTGGAGTTTCATTTCTTTGTGGTGAACACTCAATTCTATAATTTAATAACAGTATGAAAATCTGAGTTTAAACAAACACCATTAAGCAGTACAAAAAGAAATGAACTTACCTATCATTTTCACCAATTACAGGTTCATTTGAACCTGTACTTGGAGCATCATATTTATCATCGCTCTTATCTGCAACACTTTCTAATAAACATTCTTCACCCTTATCAATATTCTGTGACTCTTTATTAAAACATAATAAATCTACATCACTTATGCTTGGAGACACTCCAATATGAGTATCTGTGATTTTTATTTTTTTGAAAGTAACAGTTGATGGAATATGAGGAGAACTTGTGTATTTTGGATCTTCAAAATTACTTTCATTTATATTATTAAACAATACACTACTGTCCAGTTTCAATTTTTCACATTGCTTAGCCATCAAAGGGCTTGGCATTGGAGAATCTAAAAATTGTTCTGTACTACCCAAATGACTCATTCTTGATGGTTCTAAAAACATACTACAAATGCTGGTAGTTTTGTAAGACGAATTATTTGAATCATTTACTGGTTCATCCATTGAGTACTTTAGTGTTACATTTCCTATTGTTTCTGAAGTTGAGCTGTTTGTTTCAATTATTTTCTTGTCAATACATATTAAAGATTCTTGTGTTTGTTGGCAGGGAATGGTTGCTGTATCTGAAGTATCAGAACCCTTAGTTTCTGTAAAACTAGAAATTTCTATGGAACTATCTAAAGTAGAGTTAACTAATTCAGTAGAACGACTCTCAGTTACTATGTCCTCGAGACTCATATCATCTGGTTGAATTGATGCAGTACTATTGTTTGCTGCTGCATTATCAGCATTAGTATTTTCATTATTATCATCCACTCCATGCTGTCCAATCTGTGCACTTGATGCATTATCTTGTTGATCCCAAACTTCCCAATCTTCTTCAATATTTGTGCTACTGTTTTCATTTGCAGCTTGTCTACTTACAGTAATATATGGTTCATTGTCCCAATCTTGTTCATCTAGTAAATCGATATCTAAATTTTGATTACGATTATAATAACCAACTGGTGGTCCTGGTTCTTCATCCCAATCATTAACAGTATCTAAAAAATCATCTTCATTCCAACTCCTAGGCCCTTCTGATTCTGAACTTAGCTGAGGAACTAGAACAACTAGTCCATCATCTCTATCAACTACTGTATAACTTGCATTTTCCAAAATTTCTTTTAAATAATCTTCTGTAATGTAAAAATTTGACATGGTTTTTAATAGTTTTTTCAATGGAATCTGCTCTTCAAATTCTTCTTGGTTGATAGAAAATTTATTGATGTAATATATCGCATCATCAAGAATTTTCTGCTCATCTGAGCGATTATCAATTTCAAAAGGATATTCATACACCTCTATAGATTTATAGAGGCCTTCAATGCCAGGTACTTTTACAACTTTTAGGTCACATGTTCTATGGAAGACTGCCATTTGTGAACATGCGCCAAGATTTTCAGTTCCTTCTGGTCCATTGCATATACCCTGAAATGACACTTCATATTCTGGAAATCTTGCTATAATATTGTTTGCCCTGCAATTAGCATAATTTATTTTTTGAAACTTTTTAGCTTAATAAAAGGTAGTGTTTACAATAATCATTTACCAGTCTTGAAATTCTTTCCTTGTCCATTCGAATTTGTGGTCAGGATGTCTGAACCCTGTCATTCCATCAAAAAGCACATTGAACTCAGCATTTGGAGTTGTAAATATAGCTACTTTAGGCCTTATAAACCCAAAAACATTCTGAGGTACTTCTAGTAAAGTCTCTGAGTGGAGATGTTCAATCCTACATAAAATAAATCAGGTAAATATTTATTTTGTACATAATACTGACTATAGAGTATAAAACTCACAGTTCTATGCATATAACTGCATCAGTATCCTCTAAAAGTTGGTCGGGTTGAGTAATACTTCCTTCTAATACTCGCATAACTAAAGGGGAAGACCTTCTATGAAGATAGTCGACATGCAAAGGCCTTGCTCTATCTTTATACATGTTTATGGTATCTGTGTCAATATCAACAAACAGTACTTCTTCAACTCCTGTCATATTCTTAAGGTACACGCAAAATTGAAGCTCAGAACAACCAAAATCCACGATCTAGCATCATTGAAATAATATTAAGAAACATTCATAATTCTTTACAAACAACTTTATTCCTTACCTTTTTGAGATTACCTCCATAGCGCGGATGAGTCAAAACATTGAGTACAGCTTGATATCGCTGAATGTAAGCTGGAGGATTAAATCTGATGTTATTCTTGGATTTCTCATCCGCGTTGTCATTGGAAAAACGTCGTTTCAAGTTGATCTTCCCTCTCATGTCTTTGTCCTGACTAATATTTAGCTTGACCTCTCCACTCACAATTCGATCTCTATCGGCGCAGTTGTAGCGACGATAGACCAGTTTACCAAGAAAGTAAATCACGTGGAATAGCACGATGATCATCGTGCCACTAAAAAGTCACCCACTTGCAGTCGTGTCGTGTTACTTTTTTTGTTGGAAAGCACTTACGTGGACGTTGTTGTTATTACTGAACGCTCGTTGCATTGTATATTTACCAACACCTTTGTCTATCTACGTGCCGGTGTGATACAGAAGAGAAAAAAAGCGACTCGCACATACCACACAAAGCGCGGTTTCGCGCGCGCGTTGAGCATCAATTTCGTCTGCTTGTGCGTCTGCGCATTGGGTCTTGTTTTCCATACAACGATATGGCATTATCACAGTAAATTATGGCATATTGGCCATAATTTTAACAGCTATGTCGAAACCGAGAGCATCCAGTGCCGCAAATTTATGTACTGGTAAAACAGGCTGGCAAAAGTCAATGGCATTGTATTTTTTTCGCGTTCCTGCGATTATCAGTGAAAAAAGCAAAAAATTTTATGCGAGACAGAGAAAAGTGATTAACTTGCGTGGAAAGAGCGAGGACACATGGCTGATAGTGTTCAAACGTGAACATGCACCAGACAATCAATTTATCAAAATAGTGTTCGCTTAGCATTTCACACCAGGCAATTAAAAATGTCGATTCAGCAGTTGCTTACATTACGTATTGGAACTATTTTGAGATTTCAAAAATATGGTATATTTGTGTTACCGCAGCCTTTTTTCCAAAAATTAGTTCGAATAAAAATATAAATTAAAAAAATAGTAGGATCACAAAGCAAAACATAAAATTATTTTCCAAACAACAAATTTTGCGAATTTTTGCATTATTGGCTGAGCAGCCTAATTGGAGGACAAAAACAATCTATATATTAGGTCCTTTCCTGGAATTTGTAACACAAGCTGGATTGGTAAATGTAATACGCTCTAATTGTAAGAAAGGAACGCGTCAAAGAAATATCGCATATTGTTTTAATTCAAAAAGTAATGTTTTGTTTTTAGGAAAGAAGATTGTAGCGGTTGAATTTTACGGCTGTAGTTCGGACCCATCTGTAATTAAGAAGTTCTAATGTCAATATAAGAGATGTTGACTCTAGTTCACAGGAAAATACTATATTGTAAACTTCTAATCATCGGCCAAAACAAACGGTGACATTGGCGATGAAACTTCGACAAATGACGTTAATAGTAGTAAAGGCAATACTTCAAATTATTCAAATGAAAGTTATCAGCACTGGTGCATTTCTGTACCAAAAAAAGCCTGTCTATTTTACAAAGCAGCTGCCAAAAATTATTTTATAGAAACATTGGATGTGGAAATGAATTGGACAAGAATGCGTTTAGATATATACATATATATGTGTGTATGTATGTATGTATACATATACATGTACGTATATATACATATATATCAGAGCAACGGTATATATATTTTTCATATCAACAAATCTATTTTGTTATTGAAAAATAACCAGAATAAATATTTATCACGGTCTAACGATACATAGTTCACAGTGCGTAATCAATATTGATTTGTTTTGTTTTTATTGTTTCTTCTTCAATACTTTCTTCGTCGATTTACGTGTGCGTATATTAAACACTACATATACACTTTATTTGGTTGTTGCACGCAAGTATGTATTAACTTTTTTGCGCACGCAAGTTATTTTGTTCTGTTGTTTAGAGGACGTGATTATAAAATTATAAGAAAATGTTATCATAGTTACCAAGAGAACACATCAGCTAATTATACTCAAGCACTCGTTATATGGTACATAAAATTGTCAAGTCCTTTATAATTATTATTTAATTATCAATAAGTCAATAAATATCAGTGAATTTTCTTTCGTAGCTTATGATACATACCATCGCGAAACAATTGGCACTTCCACGTGGTATATCATGCTAAATGTATATATAATAACTGTATATTTATACATATTGTAACTACTCCTAAAGTTCACCAAATTGTCATAATTTGGACGTTAATTGCCATGTTCCGTGCGATAATACGATTTTTCTACAATCAAACGATAAAAACACATACGATAGTAGTAATATTATGTCGACTACTGAAACGTACAAACCGTTTATCTTTTCTCACGTAAACATCACAGCAAGATATATAGTGTTTTTAAAGATTTCGATGAAAAATATGACAAGGATCTAAGGTAGTTTGAAGCTCCGGTGCACAATATTGCTCGGTGACAGCGCTTACAATCACAACGATTGATTTTATTTGGACCGTAGTCAGCTAGGCGGCGGTCCAAAGAATTGTCCAGTCGTTATCATAACTACATTACGGATTGCGCTTCGATTTAAAAAAATCGTCTCTCTGCTTCGCCCCCTGCGACGAAAAACGAAAAAGAATCGAGGCGCATTCGAGCATCCGGTTGAAGCTTCGCTGCACTTTTAGAAAGCGTAGTGGACGCGCTTTCAACTGTCCCAATGTCAGCCGACCATGTGTTCAGCGTCTGCAATCAAAAAGAGAGCATCGCCGAGATGCGCCTATGTTAGATCAGCGAATCTTGTCCGTTCGCGTGCGACTGCATAGCCAGTCAGCGCCTACGGAGTCATTTGTCAAACGTTCGGGCTGAGCGAGTTTCCTTACATCTACTGTCGACGTAAATTATTTGGTCGTTGGCGCTTTAGCCAGTTATCATAAGTTGTACAATATACTCGGCAGTACATAATATTCATTGCTTACTGGTGCAATTCGATCGCGCACAAGATTCAGTACCTCATCAAGACTCCCAAATTCTACTGACCAAATGGCTCCGTTTTGACAAGACCGGCCTTTAAATCTCGTTAGTAAGTTTGTCAGGTTCGACAGCCACAATCAACGAGCAGTCATTGAAATGATGAAAATTTGGGAGCAGACTTCATGAGGCTTACACACAAGATGCACGAATAGACATTGACTAACGAGATTTAACTGCAATTACGGCGGCTCTTGTTTTCGGCAAAATCTATTTTTTCCAAATTCCAAGGCTCCTCGCACACTGCATTTTTCAAGCTAGATTTTTCGCTGTCACACGGCTTCTAAATGAAATTTAGAATGAAATTTAGATACCGAGAAGGTGTAAAGCTCGTGGTGTTACGGTAGGCCGGAGAACGTGGAAAAAATACGACGTAACAAAGTACGAAAAAGTCTTGTGCGAAAAATACGTAATAATTGTATGCGATATCCCGATATACCGATATCCGAGAATTCGCAGAGTAGACGTTTGATTCTCATTGTTATAGTTGGACCCACGACACAGCTCCAAGTACATAGCTTGGAACGATTTGCATTTGGAAAATGGTTTGCGTTGAATTACAATTCTTGACTCGTTTTGCTTGGCGCGTCTAACGCTAATAATACTGCTACTCCGACTGTCTACACACATTGCAATTACGGCGGGTGCGGCGAGTGCTGCATGCGAGCGGCAACAAAGCGATAATAGCGCAAAGTCCAAAGAGGACAGCAGCAGTCGAGCGGTCGACTGGCCGAAGGCGAAGAGAGAAAGGGGCCGGCAAGTTTGTACTCGTGTGCCCGGTCTTTACAAGTACGACTCTGAAAATTCAAAGTCAGAACCGGAAGCCCGGGACGATCTGGTGTGCACGGATATACCCCCACCGATGGCGCTGTCGGAGGTGCCTTCGCCGGTGACGAAGTCCGCCACGATGAGCGAATCCTTGGGCGCGCTGCCCGCTGGGTGGAGGCCACCGGCAGCGCCGTCGCCGAGACCGCCCTCCTTGTCCCGCTCGGCGAGCTTGGCCTTGACCTGGCGAATCCTCTCCTCCTTCTGCAAGCGAACAGCCGGGCCGTGAGACTGGGGGGGATGGGGGCTCAACCGACCACTCGCCACTCGGGCGCACCGGCGGCTCACCTGCGCGATCAGCTTCTGCAGCTCCTCGTTCTCACTGAGCAGCTTGTGATACCTCTCCTCGTCTTCCTTGGATATGCCCACGTCCTGGTTGTACTTGGACTCGGCCTTGTCCTTGGGGTGGCGTATCACCTCGATGACCTTGGGCACGAAGATGAGCGCCATGCTGAGGAAGCAGCAGAACACGATGGCCAGCGAGACGAAGACGAAGGTGGCGTCCTGCTGGCTGGCGATGACCATGGTCACGGGAGCCGTGATCAGGCACAGCACCACCACGTTGTAGATGGACATGCCCACGTAGCGCGAGTCGTTGATCTGCTTGACCTTGATGCTGCGCGTCTCGTAGGCCAGGAATAGGCCGAACACCAGCACCAGGCTCTTGTAGCTGTAGATGATGCCTGCAAGCCGAGCGGAGCGCTGAGTCACACACATCGAGGGCCGCCGGTCGACGGTCGGTCGGCGGTCGGTCGATCGGTCGCTCGCTTACCCAGCCAGACGCTGTTGTGTTCGCTCTCGCAGTGCTCGAGTTCGGGCCGTATGCGGGCATCGTCGTCGCCCTGCATGGACGCCTCCAGCGGGAAGACCTCGATGGTGCGCTGCAGCGGGTCGACCACCTGCCAGGCCGTCAGGATGACGATGTCGATGACCAGCAGGATGCTGACCATCGTGTACAGCTTCCACGGCTGCACCTTCTTCTGGATCGAGGAGACCTTCTGCTTGGACATGAACAGCTGGGTGGGCAGCGCCCGGTCAGAGTGCGCTCGGCGCCGCGGCAGCTCCTAGCCTACTACTGCTACCTTGGCGTGGTCGGCCTTGGTCTTGGTGTTGAGGCGGTGCACGCGCCAGACCTTGCTGAACATGGCGCCGAAGGCGAGCGTGAAGCCGACCGACAGCACCCAGGCGCGCGCCTGGCAGATGCGCGGGTATTGGCGGGCCTCGATGAACTGGCCGTCGACGCCCAGCAGGAACACCGAGACGAAGCAGGCGATGCAGCCCACCAGCATGATGGTGTTGCACACGGGGTGCGACGAGACGATCACCCTGCGCTGCCGGTTCCACACGTTGAAGACGATGAGCAGCAGCGCGCAGGAGATGCCGATCGACGACACGCCGCACATGGTGGCGAAAAGTGGCAGCGACACGGTCCTCAGTAGGTTGCGGATGATGGTGCGGTCCTGCGGCACTTTGCCGCCGATCCAGCGCTCCATGTTGCGCCACGTCAGGTTGGTGTTCTGCGTGTCGTAGTAGCCCAGCTTCACGTACTTGCCGTCGACCACTTGCTCGATCTGGGTCAGGGCGATGCGGTCGCCTTGCGAGCTGAAGGCCACGTAGCCCTGCGAGCAATCGATGGAGCGTCAGTGCCGCGCGCCTCGACGCCGCCGCCCGCGCCCACGCACCGAGATGCCCACGAACTGCGTCGAGTTCATCGCGGAGTAGATCTCCTCGGCCATGTCCTTGTCGTTGTAGGTGAAGTTCTTGAGGCTCTTGCCCTGCTTGCTTAGCTTGTCCATGGTCTTGTTGAAGGCTGCGGCGGCAGGTTCCGGAAAATTTGGGCACGGGGTTACTCGGGCTTCGGGCTCGCTCGAGGCGCGCGCGCTTACCCAGGGCCACCGACCAGACGGCGTCGTAGGCGAGCGGGGCCTCCTGGTAGCCCTCGGGGTAGCGGTTGTTGTCGATGTCGTAGCCCTCCTTCTTCAGCACCCCGTTCAGCCGCTGCCGGAAGTCCTCGGAGGTCATGCCGCTGATGGTCGTGTCGTTGTTCTGGTTCCACATGAGCGCCTCGGTGGTCAAGTGGCCCTCGGCCGCCTGCCGCATCTGCTCCTTGGTGCAGCCGATGCCCTCCTTGTCCAGGTTCATCTCCCACCAGTTGTCCTCGTACCAGCCGATGAAGAACCACACGTACGACTTGCCGTAGAGCCCGTTCTGGTAGATGTCGCAGAGCACGCGACGCGCCGCCACCACGTAGAACAGGCCGACGATGATCCGCGCGTCCTGGCGGCGCAGGTTGCGCACCGCGTCCGACGGGTCGGACAGGAAGCTCTGCCGGGTCACTATCTCGATGTTGGCCTCCTTGCAGCGCGCCTCCAAGTCCTCGACGGTCTGCCGCGGACAAACGGACGGTGGTGGTTTATGGTTAATGCGGTGCCGCGCCGCGCCGCGCCGCGCCGCGCCGACGCCTCTACGATCGCGGGGCTATGCTCACGGAGATGAACACTTCCTCGGTCTGCTGCAAAATGGCGATGCGGGACCAGCCGAACTTCTGCAGCAGCTTGATTCTGGTCGGGTTGTGCACCGTCGCGGACGGGTGGGTCCTGAAGAGGGTCGGGAAGCGGTTCCGGTCCGACAGCGCCGGCGACGAGGCACCGTAGCACAGCTGGAACCGAGACACACCAGGCTGATTCGCCGGCCCCTCGACTCGCGGACTCGCGGGCCGCGCGTACTCACCACCACGAGGTTCCACATCTTGGCGGCCTCGGCCACGGTGGTGCACACGGTGCTGCAGCCAGCCAGCAGCATCAGCTTCTGCGGCGGGTTGTACAGCAGGTTGTACATGACCGACGCTCCGAGTCCCGGCTCGCACTTGGTGTTGGCGGCGGCGGCGGCGGCGACGGCGACGGCGGCGGAAAAAACCATCGAGTCTCAGGTGAGTAAACGAGAGCCAACTGGCCGTTTGGCGAGCGGCCAACTACGCGCCTACCTCGCTGTCGTTCGAGTGCAGCTTGAGCGTGAAGCCTGGCAGTAGATTGTTCCGCTTGTTGACGTCCTCCAAGGCGAGCTTGGCGGCCGGCATGCACGCCTGCGACACAGACATTCGATTGCGCTCGCCTTCCCACGCCAGCGACCCGCCACGAGGGCAACTCACCTGTCCGCCCTGCCAGCCGCCCTCGCCAGCGATGGGGAAGATGCCGCCGATGTGCAGCACATTGTCCTCGCGAGCCGCCGCCGCCGCCGCCGCCGACGAGGCGCGCTCCCCGAGCGCGCAGAGGACCAGCAAGCCGAGGCTGGCCCGCAGCATGCTTTGCCGCTTCACGGGCTGGCCAGCAGCACCTCGACGAGCCTCCCGCTCGCGTCGAGCCTCTCTCTGCCCTCTCGTGTCGCGCGCAACTGTGGCGAGCTTTGCGCGCGCGCAAGCTCCGCTGGTGCTTTGCCGCCGCGATCAATATCGCGCCTGGAAAACACTTATTGATTCAGCTGGCGAATCGCTGTAATATTTCGCTCGAACGTTTCGCTATTTCGCTGTAACGTCGTGTGGCTTACCACCTGTGCGTTGGTGCGCGACCGAACCTCGATAAACGAACGGACCTGGCAATCCCTGAACGATGCTTTCCCTCGATAACTGCACGTTTTCGTATTCTTCTTTTCTCCTTTTAGAAGACACTTAATCGCGTTTTCTGCTCAACATAGCGAGCGCATACACGTTACTTTCCGAACAATTGATCGACGCAAAAATCTTAAAGGAAACAAGTAAAATCAAACGTTTATTAATATCTAGGGGAAATGGTTATTTATTTGACTGAATTTACGTTGGGATTTGCGAATACATGAATAAACTCGTCAACACAAGTGGCTTGGTAAAGTGATTCGCTTCACGATGGACAGCCTCTGGCTAATTATTAGGCTATTGTTTGAGCAGTGGAATAGCATTGATCTCCATCCTTAGTCATGGCGCTCGGACCAAAATCCACGTACATTTGGCTTTTTTAAGCTGGACAGAGACAATTGCTTTTACCGTTGTTTTCAGTCGTCCGCGATAGGACGATAAGAGCGTGCCATTTTTCTATTTGATTTTTTACTGCGGCGGTTCGGAAACGCGACAGGACAAACACACATGCTACCGAATTGCTCTACCAATAATGGTAACATAGTCATTGTTTGTTTTGCACCCCGGGGTGCAAAACAAACGATGACTTTCACCTCCATATGTGCCCATTGTCTCCTTATGTAGAAAGCTCTTTGGCCCGAGTGGCGTATGGATAAAAGGATTTAATCGTTTACTCCAGTTCAGCTTGTTTTGTTTAAATTTATTAAAATTTCTCAAAATAGCTACAATAATGTGTACTACACGAAAAAAATTATTTCATGCTTATATATATAAATCTACGCAATGGCTTTGAATTCGGCTATTTTTCTTCTGCAGGAAAAAAAGGTCCTACTATTTGAGATTCATTTACACGAAACCAAAATTAGAATATATCACATTCTATATATAATCCATTATAGCGCATACCAAAACGGGGTGAGATATAGCATCAAGCTAACTACACTTATTCATGTAGCATACGGTAAAGATGACCATGTTTTTATTTCATTCGTCATTTCTAATTATTTATAAAAAATTATTTTAAAAACAATCTAGCGTTTTTTCGTCAGACTCCGTTTTGTTAGTATCAATATTTATAAACATTTTCAATCAATAGCAGTAATTCTTGAGCAGTGAGTATTTTACCGTTGATATTACACCAACTCTCCTTGGAGTAGTGCAATTAGTTCAGCAGAAAAATATTCTATAAATTTTTGTGAAATTTTTGACAATGTAAAATGTATCTTATTTGGAAAATAACTGAAACATCAAAAATAATAGTAACACACGCAAAGAAACGTGAAATAATTAGAGTTTAAACTTAATCGTGATGACGGTCAAGGACAGTTTGAAAATTACGTCCGACTTATATTTTGCACCATTGTCGGCCGAACGAAGAGGAGGATTTCTCGCGAGGAGGAAGCTAGCTCGCACGGTCGCCCATATATCACACCAACGGTCGCAGATCAATTACGGCGACTGCCACTCATCTACGAATGACTCACCCCCTAAAAAGGACAGAAGCACGCGGAAGAAATACGAGCGTTTATACACCAGCGCGAAACCGGATCGCTGGGTAACTTGCGCTTATGAACCTAATCAAGGAATGATCACTTTACGCCGACGGCCGAATTGGCGCATTTGTCGAAGATCAATTCGGATGGAATTTCTTTTCATGATCGCGTTTGTTAGACTTTACTGAATACTAAAACCCAATTTGCCGACGGCTAACCTACTCAGTATTTGCTTAATCGAAATTTCTTTCCAGCCTCGAAAAAAATATTTTTTGAATATTTTTAAAAAATATCAGCGTGAAAAACAACTAATTTTGAATGGCAAATGACCTATATCTCAACGATCAACCTTCCTCTATAATATCTGAAGAAAAAATTTGAAAACTCAACGGCAAACTCTATTTTTCACAATAAACATTTAGCGCGCGAGCGCGTCATCCGTGGCAGTGCAGATTAGGTGCTCAACCGATCACCTCTCGCACTGTGAGGAGTGAAATCAGTTCATTTATAAGAAATATTATACTTGATTTTTTTTAACTGAACCGAAAATAAATATAAATGTAATTAATTACTATTATGCATATAATAACAAATAAGTAGATTCCATTGACTATAATTCAATTTTATTAGAAAAAAACAATATTAAATTACATAAACAATGAAAATCATATATTTTTACATTCATCCGTATTACATTTACATACAAGATTTTGTATACAAGATTTTGTATAAACAATTAGAAATAACGAAAGGAGAAACATATAGGTATTTTTGTCCCGTATGTGTTATAAATGGCATATAGTTATATGCGTAATTATAGTTTTCTGCCAATTTACAATTACTGGTGTCATTTTGGATAAACCTGGTTAATAGGGCCAAGATCATAGTTCAAACTCTTGACTGCATGCTTCGGTAGTCCTTCGCTCTAATAATTTTGAATGAATTAATAAATAATTGCACTAGCTAGTGTATGTACATTTGCCGTTGCCTCGCTCCGTTAACGCTTTATTCTCAGCTTTGTGCTTCGTTTCCTTAACAAACTCATATAGCTATTTACTTTTACCTTCGCAGCTAAAAGTACATTCAGAAACTTGATAAATATAAATGTTAAACACAGTTAACAAGGTTGTATTTACGTAATCATAAGTGCTTTGCGTCTTATTTCGTTGAAAAATTTCCTGCATGCGTACACACGCATATATACTTATCTGTGAAATTTCGAAGCAGAACATACACAAAGAGAATAATCTATCCGTGCACTTCAAAATTGTGCTGAAGCCATGTAGAAGCAGTAGGGGGCCTATGTAGGGTGTAGATTGTAGCCTTATAGCTATAGGCTACGCGTAGCGAATAGAATAGTGATGCTCAGCTTTAGTTTCAGTTTTAGTTTACTAGATGGCGATGGGTCTCTTAGCTGAGACTCCGGTATGCCAAATAAAAACACATGCGTTGACAGTGATACGCAGCGAAACGCGCAGACTTGTTCTACTTAAAAAAAAAGTAACAACAATAGGTTACTTTTGATTGATTCTAATTTATAGAATATGGCTCAACAACGTGCTCTGCCTCAAAGCAAAGAAGCTCTTCTCAAATCTTACACTACTAGACTAAAGGACGATGTAAAATCAATGCTTGAGAATTTTGAAGGTGAGGATCCTAACCTACAAGCTTGTTGATTTTGTCTTTTTCGATTGTTGTTTTATTTTGTTAGTAGTCAATGTTTTTCAATTGCATCTTAATATATTGCACAATTAATTATTTTCTCAAAATATCTTTCTAGCATGGAAATTCATTGTTACATTTACTGACGTTTTGTAAACGTAGTCTTTGCATTAACGTAAATATTGACTTGTACATATTTATTTTTATAGAGATTTTGAAACTAGCTAAAGGAGAGGGTGATACACAGTTGAATCGAATGACACAATGTGAAATGGATACATACGAAATGCACGTTCGTGCAGCAAACATGGTCAGAGCAGGAGAATCTCTAATGAAACTTGTGTCGGATATCAAGCAGTACCTGATTTTGAATGATTTTCCATCAGTGAACGAAGCTATTACACAGAATAGTAAAATCTTCAGGGCAAAGCAAGCAGAATGCGATCAGAAATTGGCTTCACTGCGAGATGACATGGCTGCTGATCTCTACGAGTTGGAAGAAGAATATTACACTTCCATATACAAATGACTGAATTAGGCTTTATCCACTTGTGTATATAAGAGTGTATATAAAAATGAATTATAGCATTGTACAGTGATCTTTACGAATTTTTTACTGAATTTTAAACATGTCCAAACAATATTTTCATGGATACTTTTTTTAATTGTAATTATTTTTTATTGTACTTTCACAATTTATTTTTCAAATTTTTATATATTTTGATTGCAATATACTTATTTTTAATTAATATTGATACTTCTAAATAAATTTTTAAACTATCTCTTCAAACTGCGTGTTGCAATGATTTCACATATTTTGAAAAATTTATCAAACACTGATATTTATTGATTTATTATTTATTTTTTTTAAATATTGGCATGATTACAACTTACAATAATTATAATAGTACATAGTAGAGTAATACTAATTTGTTTTATATTTAAATAAATGGTATGATAATGACAATAACGAGTACGACTACAACCACAACGATGATGAATGATATTGTTAAATGATAATGATTTGACAATTTACAAGGAAATTCTTAAGTCTTCTTTTAGGAAGTAATAAATCAGTATTGTTGAATTTGCCTAGATTTTTACCCTTTCATAGAGAAACCATTAATTGATTATCAATTTTATACACCATAAGAACTGTATTATAATAGTTCTTTAAAATCTTTATACAAATTGTATTGTTTGATTCTGCACTCTGAGTGTTCAGATTTACAAAATGGATATAATCAGAACACACATGTTCCAGTCATCTTTGATAAAATGTATTCATTTTAATAAAGTTTAAAACGTGTTTTTTGGCAATCGAGATTGAATTTCAATTCATTTTTTTCGTAAAATCAATCTTCATAATTTATATTTTGGAGTGAATCTCTATGAATAAGTTGCGTGGCAAGCATTGGGCAGTATTTTAAATCTGCTTTAATATATTTTCCAGCTTTCTTAGTACGATTTAAAATCCTCTCGCATGCTTTTAACCACAAAGAACAAAATTAACAAGTTTATCACAACACGAGACACTAATGCCATGACACAAACTATCACTACTAAACATTAAATAAAGAAGAATCGTCGTGATATCACAATGATTTAGCGATATGAAATCACGATTAAATGCTTTGTAACTTAGTGAACAAACCCAACAATGATTGATATGACAATTCATAATCATACGATTCGTACGAAGATGATAAAAAAAATTGGATTATGATTGGGAAAATTTTGAATACTGTAACTACAATTACAATCAGTCCATGACCTCGCAACAAGTTATCATTAAGCACTTCACTCGTTAATTTAATGGCGCATTTGCGTTTTCGCAGAACATTAAATGGCATGTGTCTCTTTAATTAAACAAAGAAAATACAACTGAACATTACAACAAAAAGGCAAGAGAAAGATACCCTTCAAATCTATCTCAAACAAAGAAATGAATCATCTTTGAAAAATTATATGCACTATTACTTAATTTTCGATCTTTGAAGGTCTTTTGAATATGAATAATTTAGTTATGTTTGTTATGTACAACTTTGAAATACGATTTAAGTTACTCGTTACACTTAACAAGTAGAGCACTTTGAAAGCTCATTTTCACGAAATTACAGTTTTTTACCAACAGATTGCTTTTAAAATTATTGCCATAGCAAGCTGATACAGCAAAAATTTTAGAAATAAGTTGCAGACGACAAAATCACCTATTATACGAACCGTCTTGTGTTCTTCACTCAAAAAAATACGAAAGTGGACGGTAACACTTTTAAGATTACTTGTTAATCCCGCGTATTATGTACGGATTTTAGACAGCAAGAAGAGCGCGCTCACAAAGAACTAAAAAAATACAAACGATAAGCTTTTATATTTTTTTTTTTGCGTTTTTTTTTGTTTATCCTGACGATCAACATCACATAACACGAGTGAAAAATGCTTACCAGCATCGGGAATTGGTCAAATGTACAAATCTACAATTTTAATTTTAGAAACAGCTGCTTATTATACATAAATACCTATACACGATGAGTACGTCTAAGTAAATTCACGCTTGTAGAATCGGCAGAAAATGTATAAATGTTGAATATTCCTTTTTTCATTCCGTTATTAGCCGAATGAATGTGTATATGCGTATATAGTATATGCCTGGCGAATTTTAACTTTACATGGATGTTTTATATTTTATCTCATTTAAAAAATGTTAATCGTAAAATTCCTCGCGGGTTTCTCCTAAAGTGCGCGCAAAGCAATCTTATATTTTAAATTAATCTCAAAAAGGTTTCAAAAAATCATTTTATCACCTTTATAGCATTGCTTTCATCTCTTCTGTGATATTCTCGTAAGCTATATGAAATTGTGCGAAAAATGAATAGGGAAGATACGGAAGAAAATTCGACACATCTTCGTAGAAAGTCTTCGCATTTTGGCAGTTTTTACGAGAAATTAGTACGAATAAGTAAATGCTCGGTTGTCCCTTTTTAATGGAATGCTACGGGTTTTTTGGGCGGCGACAACTCAATACAGTATATCGGCCGCCGTCTCTTGGCCCCATGTCTGAGGATCCTGCGAAGGCTTCAGATAATCTACTTCATCGATTGGTGTTTGATCCTGTTGTGGTGATGTAATAGTTTGCGGCGATGCTAACGTGGTCATTGTTGCTCGCGTTACGCCAAGTTCGAAACCATCACTTGCCAAGTCGACTTTGCTAGGAGTATAACTGGCCAGAGCACTTCCACCTAAACATTTAATTAATTAGCAAGTTCGTGCATTAGTTAAATTCAAACATGAATTCTTAGCGTCTCATCGTGTATTTCAAAGCCCATTAGAGACGAAAGTAATTGCCATTTATAATTATTCAATCTCGTATTCAAGTGTTTTGATGTGTATACGATCGCACATATTATCCCCGTAACAACGTAACAGCGAAAAAAGAAAATTCGATTTGTCATAGTCGCTCCACTTAATAACGAAATTTAAATATGAATGTCTGCACAACAAGCGTTACATAAAAAAGGAGCATTACAAGGAGGAAAAAAAAAGAGAAACGACGACGACGACGACGACGATTTTCCTAGATAGAAACGGTGTGCCATTAGCAGCGTGATTTTCTCGCGCGACTATACTTTCGAAACAAAAGGGCCGCTTCGTAACTCATCAGAAAGAGCGGCGGTAGAGGAAAAAGAATTCCAGAGTGTCGCTCACCGAGTAGAGAGGGCAGAGTACCGCTGCTGCCTCGAGCTGCAGTTGCCGCTGCTGCTGCTCCAGCAACCTCGCCGGAAGCGGAAGCTTCGTTACCATCGACGTTGACAACTTCTGCTTCTGCTGCTGCTGCAGCTGCTGCTGCTACTGCTGCTGCTGCTGCTGCCGGATTTTCGTCGAGTGAAATTCGCTTGACGGCTGTTGACGACACGACTGCTTCGTGTAACAGCATCGATGCCTCGCTCGGGTACTCGAATGTCCGTGTTGCCGTGTCGTCGAACTGGATACGATGCTGAAAGCAATCGTAAAAGAAAATCATTATTACCAGCGTGCATTCCATCGCAAGCTTCATTTACAAAGCAGCGGTATTGAATTTTACAAATTGAAATTCTTGGAGAGTTCATTAATACAAAGGCCTACAGAATATCCTACATACACACGATTATAACTACACTCGGAGTCTTTGAAAATTAACAAAACAAAAGCTCTTTCTCTTTCCATTGTTCGATAAAAAAATGTATGTATCCATCTCTCTCTACGATTTCAGAGCGGATGTTGTATCGAGAGATAGGGGGGAGAGGGGGAGGGGGCGAGTCAATCCAATTTCGTTTTTAATATGCACGCGCGTGCTTGTATATGTGAGCGAAGGTCGCAGTGAAAGTGGAGAACACATTGAAACATATGTATACCTGAGTACGCATCGCGTTGAATAGTCAAGTAACTATTGTATAGCGAGGCGAGCGAAGGCAAGCTTTAGAAGTAAAGCTGCTCCTCGTGCGGTGAGCGAGTGTTCGAATAACAGTAACCGTCACACTCGCTGAGTTTTTTCAGAGCTGCTGCGCGTCTACTGCTGCTTAGAGGGAGAGAGCCGTCCACCGTGACTTCCTCCTCTCGTGGTACGCGGATCAAGGAAGAATTCAGCAAATCGAGCGAGACGACCGCTATCGGGCTTTCGTCGAGTGAAATTCGCTTGAAATCCAACTGGGAGAGCTTGCAGTTTGAAATAGGACGGTGCCCGCGGCATTAGCCGCTTTAATTAAGCTGAACGCATGTGTCGTTGCTGTGAAATTGATCCGAATGAGTGGCAGTCTGGTTAGCTTGTTTCGGTCTCTTGATGAAAATGAAAGCCGCGCGCAGCGAACTTGTTGGAAACTCGCGAGACGCGAAGCCACTCTAAAGCCCTTCTCATCGGACGTGTCGCGAGCGTGCACCGCGAGATTTTGCCATTAGAATCCAAGCGACTGACGAAATAGCGCGAAAGCTCGTTCGGGCTACGAAACCGGAGCGTAAAAGATCGCCCGTAGCGAATGCTCGCATAAACGCGTCAACCCGCGTAGCAGCGTAATCGTCGCGCGAGTGAGCCAACAGAAAGAAAGAAAAAAAGGCGCGCAACAATTAAGTGTAAGCCGCTAACAGTACCGTCTATTATTTCGAGCAGCGCGCGTACACGTGTATATGCAGAGGCGAGTGGAAAGAAAAGAACAACAAGAAGAAAAGAAAAATGGGAAACAACCAAGATGTATATACGAAGAAACGGCGTGAGAATTGTGCGCCGCGATGCGCTTTTGGCCTGTGACCCTGTTTCCGCGCTCAGGGAAAATTCGAGCGGCGAGAGAGAGAGAGAGAGAGAGAGAGAGAAATCGATGCTCCTCGCGCAACAGCAAGCAAGAGTTTTACGTTGCTCCCGGTGGACGGCGCGGACAAGATTTTACGATCGACTTTACGCGACGATCCTTCGATGTCAATATTTCGTCCCGAGAATCAGTTATTTTAGAAAGTCGCAGGCGACGCTAGCCTTCCAAACGATTAGTAGCGGCCACTGCTGGATTCGATGATACTAGATTAGATAAGCAAAGAGAGCTCGATCTATCAAATGATAATCGATTGCTTTTTTCCTCGTGATAATGAACCGCCGACGACGATCGTTTGGCTTTCCTGTCCGCGGGGTAAGCACGTATTTCCGCGAAAGAAGACAATTACGAAGACAACAATAGAAATAAGTTTAATTCGCGTAACAGTCGTGCACGCGTAATCTCGTTCCGGAATCTAGAGCGCAAATAGAGTCCGCGCCAGAACGCGATTAAAGCTCCGTCATCGTCGTAGGAAACAGCTCGTCATCGAAACGGATAAAGAGAAAACTACCACTACACATCGAAGGGAAGCCAATTACGCGCGGAAACTTTCAAGGTCTTTCTCGTCGTTCGCGTTTTTTTTTAAATCCTCTTTTCGACCGACGCGAGGCAACCCTTGGTTGAAATTTCATCCTTGCGATCACCAATCGAGTGCGTATAGCGTCACACTTCCCGATACCATCGAAAATAAAAACAATAGGCACCCAGCTATTAATCTGCGTTCTTGTCGTTCTAATCGCCGAGACACGGCCTTGCGAATGGAAAAAGCGATAAGGGTACGGGACAGAGAGGAGCATGTCGCAAGGGGCTTTATCATGACCGACTGACATCCTTATAGATTGCTATTTATTGGATTACTCACGCGTTACTCACTCATAGGGAGAGGGAAGTGCGACTGCACAAAACGAACGTGTCGATTCGAATTTGGCTACTGAATGAAATACAGCGTTGCTTTTGTTGCCTCCAATTAATGTCCGTCGCTTACAAAAACACGTGTTTAATAACAATTGCACTCGTGAAAAATAAAAAGCGACCTCAGGTTATAATAATAGATAATATATTACGATGGCACATGCCCGATATCAATTTATTTTGAAGGTGAAGAGTGTGTGTACACACACACACACACACACACACACACACACACACACACACACACACACACACACACACACACGCGCGCGTGTGTGTATTTTTTTGTGTCAGAAAGATTAACGTGAGCAGCGCATAAGAGAGATAAAAAAAGGGATGAACAAGCACGACAATGATTTCATATTTCTGTACATCAGTTAAGATTATCGGTATGGAGAGTGGCGTGAAATTGTCCATGAGGAAAGTCTTAAGAGAGGAAAGAGTAAATAAATAAAGAGAGCATAACGAATTGACGACAACAGCAACGATCCCACGCGAACTTGAGACGAGCGACGACGTCGTTCGATGAGTTTGTTCTTTTGTCTGGTCGTCGTCGCTGTAAACACTTTGTCACGTTCAATTAAAATAAAAATCTGTCATTAGAGCAGCGAGAGAGCCTGCAATGACACGCCATTCAGTGGGTAATTGGCAGTCTACGGGAAACGAGGTTTCACTTAGCTTCATCATGCTAATTACAGTTTGTATGATGGAGCCTGCTATAATGTATAGATAGATCGGTTCGATCGCGTGTCAATTTTCTCCGCAAAATTTTTGAATGACCTCAGCTGCCCCTCCTCTCGGAGACATTCAACCTGTATACTTTTACTTGCAAATATACGGGCACAAGCAAACGATGGAAAGGCCTTCTCTCTCCTCGCTGGATGATCGAGCGAGACGCGTGAAAGTTTAGCTTTGGCCAACCAAGAGTTGATCGGCATTCGCAACTTACCTTGTGATTTCGCGGTGTCCTCGAGAGGTTACTGCGCCCGTTGATAAGCACGTTGTCGTTGTAAAAAGCAACGTCGCATGGCGACGGTGGCCCAACCGACAGTTCCGAATCCGAATCATCGGTCAGCTGCACGTTGTCGATGTTCGATCCATTGCCCGACAACTCCTGCAATGAAGCGCACCGATTAATTTTTTTCGCCGGCCACATCAAATTTTCATTTCGCAATTCAATGGTCGGAGCGATCAATTCAACAATTTATCGCCGGCGTCGAAAGGTTTTTCATTAAAAACGAGAAAGTTTGCGTTTTATTATCGTTCTTCTAGTCATCGACTGCGGCAGTAACGAAAAACTTTGTGCATTCCAATCGATTTCGCAAAGACGCCGTCGTCCGAAAAAAGAAAAAGTATCGTAGGCGTCCTGCTCTACTTACTATGGGCCGCTGCTCGTGGCAAATTGAATTGAGCAGCAGCAGTTTCAGCAGGTGATCTTACAAGTATACACGTACGTACATAGACAAGGGAAACACAATACGCAGCCACAAAGTATACAGCGGCAATGAACTTGCCGCGAGAGAGCAAGTCAACGTTCTCACGGCTTCTCGATCTCCTCTCTCTCTCTCTCTCTCTCTCTCTCTCTCTCTCTCTCGCTCTCTCTCTCTCTCTCTCTCTCTCTCTCTCTCTCTCTCTCTACCGACGAGTTGTATACATATGCATCTTCCGCTCCTCCTATATACGTATACTCCGGCTTCCTGTCCATTTGCCGCGCGCCTTATTTCTTATCTTCTTCCGCTCGAAGCCCTTTTAGAGGTCGATCTGACGTTTTGTGCGCGGATCCATTCTTTCGCTCGAATGTCCGATGTGCAAATGGCATCTATCGAGGCATGTTCGAAGCCTACGCGTCATCTTACCGGGCAGTTTAACGACTGACGAATATCGCGTCGTTTCAAGTTTTTTTTCCTTTTGTTTTTCTCACGCGCGCGACTGCTGCCAATGCAACCATCTCGGAATTAGCCTACGGAAATGAATCGTGATTTCGCAACGAACGGCGTTCGAAAATTAAGCATTGCTAATTGTGATGTTTGTGCCTCTCGCCGAAAACCAATAAAAACCTATCTTTATTTCCAAGTGATTTTGGAATGTGCAACATCGGCACCGCCAGCTTTCTAAGGTACAAAGCAAAAACTATTAATTTTAATACCATTCCCAAAGCGGCGTCGACCAATTAATGATTGTTTTATCCCTTTTTCACCCGCGATTGGCGAGCGAGCGTGCCCATTGCAACTCATTGCGTAATTGCGAAATCGTTGGATTTATTAGTACATAAACAACGAGCTAATGTCGAGCGGCCGACAATTACCTCATTATACGTCCGTGGAAAATTTGAATAATAAAATCGAACGGAGCGTTATTCATTAAAATGCTCTCTATTTCTGCGCGCTTGTTGCTTTAACGATCCGGTGTTGCTTCCGCAGGGAGGGGAGGGGGCTTCAATTTTTTTATTCGTTTTACGCGCCCTCAAATTGTTAAGATATAGAAAAAAACAGAACATTTTCTGCGCTTTTCTCTCTCTCTCTCTCTCTCTCTCTCTCTCTCTCTCTCTCTCTCTCGGAATTATTGCAACCTAGAGCGCGTGCTCACGAGAAAAAAAAAATATCCATCGTCGATATCCTATCTGTACTGTGAAGCGCGCGTGACTCAGTTTATATACATGAATACACGTACGTCGATGGTTTATCGCTTCTCGTGCGTAGGCGCCGAGGATACGATTTCACTCCGATTGGCTTTAAATGCATCTTTTTTCGTTTTTTTATTTCTTTATTACGCTTGGACGCGCTATGGATCGATTTTCTCACACAATTCAAAAATAAAAAACAATCCGTTGTTGCTTTGAGGCGTCGAGAGAGAGAGAGAGAGAGAGAGAGAGAGAGAGAGAGAGAGAGAGAGAGAGAGAGAGAGAGAGAGAGAGAGAGAGAGAGAGAGAGAGCTGACAAACTGATGCGAGAGAGAAGTATTATTGAAAGTAGCGGGCGCGAGTATGATGCAGCAGCGCGACTGGTTCCGCGTAACGTGCCACTTTCCGTATAGTGTCAACAAAATTGTAAACCGTGTCGCTATGGTTGCCTCGTGGAGAACCGTTCCGATTGGCGTGAATCTTCTCTCTCTTTCTCTCATCAAATTAATTTAGGACAATTTCCCTTTCCCTCGCCCGCTCGCGTCATGACCGCGATATTGTTGCTCTTTATTTATTTATGTTTATTACGTTTGCTGCTCTGAAACTCTTATTAACAAACGTAACGCAAGCCAGATAGTAATGTAAAGAGAAAAACAGCCTCGACTTACCCTTGGCTTGTCGCGTTTCCTAGTGATGATCAAGCCGTCATTTTCGATGTAGTCCGGCACATCCTTGCGATTGCTAAAGTTGAAGACCATCGTATTGTTCTGCTGGTTCCATGGTTTGGCCTCCCAGAGGCCTCCAGCCGACGACGAGTGGCTCTTCTTCACGGGCGCCGCTTGTATCTCCTCGGCACTTTTCAAGCTCACCACCACTTTCGTCGGCTGCTGTTGCTGCTGCTGCTGCTCGATGCTCTTCACTCGATTGATCAGATTCTTCTCGATCTCGCGATTGCTGAGATTCTGCTGCGGTAGCTGAGTTTTCGTGGAGACCAGCGGTCTGATTATACCTATCTGCTTCTGCGGCGGCGATACTGATTCTGACTTCTGACTTCGAATCGTCTTCGACTCGTTGCCTTGCGAGTAACTCGTCGTGGTCGTTGATTTGATAAGGCTTAGACTGGAGATAGCGCCGATGGGCGCTGCTGCAGCTGCTGTTGGCTTGCTCTCGATTGACGCTTGGTCCTCTCTGTAAATGATCTCATCGTAGCTGTCGACCAGCGCTCTGTCTTGTGCTTTTAAAGCCGAGTCTGGCAAGGCAGCTACAACTTCCGAGACAGCGGCGGTGGCGGCGGCGGCGGTGACGCCAGGCACACTTTGATTGTTCTCTAGGTTCGACTTGCTCTCGTCGTGCTCGGGCTCGTCGTACTCCATGGAATCGTCGTCCTCGGTCTCTCGTACAGTGGGACTCGATGTCGAGCGCGGCAGATACTTTTTTACGGCCGGACTCTCGCTGAAACTGTACTGTACTGTCGTGCCTGCTTTGCCTATATTGTCCAGAGCGGATTTGGACACTGCTCTAGGGCTGTCGACGACCTCGGACATCTCTTCGAAGCTTTCCACCAGTAGGGTCGAAGCTTCCGACGAGGAGGAAGTGTCGTTCGTTTTGGACACCTCGCTTATGTCTAAATTTTGATTACTTATCTCTAACGTTGCTTCCTTCACTTGTTCCTCCGCCGGCTCGTCCTTGTCCTTCTCCTTGTCAAAGTCAAGCTTAGGCATCTCAGAAGACACTGAATTCGTTTTAGACTGTTCACATTTACTAGTTATGGGTGTGGAATTATTAATGGAAGCTTTGTGCAAGTAACCCGAGGGTGGCTTGCCAAATTCCAATTTGGGGGACAAGGGTGACTGGGCCTTGGGGGAGGTGCTGGTTCTTGGTGATGGAATTGGTGTTATCGTTGGCGATTTTATATCTAGAGAAGACACTTTAGCTTTGACAGTCACTGGCTCTGGACTTGGTGCTGGTGAAAACTTAATTTTATTGAAAGTTGGCTCTGGCGACGAGGCAGGAGAGCATGACTTCTCAATTTGCTGGAACTTGCTGACCACCAAGGACACAGACTGTACAATGGGATCTGTAATTACATTGTCGTTGTGATAGGCCTCCTGGCTATTCTGCTGCTCGATTAATTCTGCTGTGGGTTTGCGCTGTACTATTATTTTCCTTGGAGAAGCAATGAGTCTGGAATTGCCATTGGCAAATGGTTTTGGCTGGAGAGGTGGCTTTGGAATGATTTTCTTTTGGTTTTGAGCCTTGAATGTCTCATTGATAGTCTTAAAGGTAGCAACTTTCACGGCAACTTCACCCTTCGGCTTGAGCTTCTTTACAGACGAACTTTCAAAAATGCGCAAAGTGGTTTTGACTAGATCTGGTGGTGGCCTCTCCGTCTCAGCCAACACAGGCTTTATTCTCTTGGGCTTGTTGATGGGTGGCTTCAGTCTTTCCTTGTCCAGCAGACGATTCTCTATTTTTACAGTTGTTCTGTCCACCAGTATAATATGATCATTCTCCTGCTTAAAAGCATTGGCCACAAATCTATTGGTGCTGTTGTGATGATTATGAATTGTTGTATCCTCGATGGCAGAATTATACCTCATCAGAGTTTCCACACTCCTCGCTCTCTTCATGGACTCGTTACCTCTGGCGGCATTCCTGTATCTCTCCACCTTGGCAGCAGCTCCAGTCATGTTCTTCTTGGCGTACCTTCTGTTCTTGTCAGGACTCTCATCCTTGTGATCCAGCAGATCCTCCAAGCTAGCAGCCCTTCTGAAGCACTGCACCGAAGCTCTGTTCTTGTTCATCTCCCTGAGGGTCATATTGAGGTACCTGCTCCTGAGTTTGTGCACAATTCCCGGCCCATACTGCAATTCCTCCGAGCTATCACTCTCGCAGTCGTCCTGCTTGGTGGTGCCTGGTGACAGCGGGTTGTTGGCTTTCATCCTGGCTTGGTCGCCGCTCACAGCGGCTTCGAGGCGCATGGCTGCGTCGCTGGCCGCGGTCGACGACGTTATGAGTGGCGGTGGTGCCGTGTCAGCAGCAGCGGTCAAACAGGCCCCACCACACGCCGCTGAGCCAGTATTGTCGGTAGTGGTGGTGGTGGTGGAGAAGGAGGTGGTCGTCGACCTAACTGGAGCACAATTCTGCTGCTGCTGCTGCTGCTGCTGTTTGTTCTGGCGCCTGCGCTGGATAAGTTCGCGCTTCCACTGCGGCACGATCACCAGGCTGCTGATGGCGCCGTTGTCGAGACTGCTGCTGCTGTTAAGGCCCGCGCGAAAAGCCAAGTTGCCGTAATAAGACGTCGGACTGGTCAACACTTCAGCCGGGTATGCCGTTACCAGGCCACTGCCACTGTCGGCGTTGTTGTTGCCGCCGCCAGAGCCGCTGGTAGCCATCTTCCTTCCAGCGAGCGTGTGTATCTGCCGCTCTTTCGCGCTCCGTGTGTGCGTGCGAGCCTCTCCCTTTCTCTCCTTTCTCTGCCCCTCTCGTCAGCAAACGAGCCCTGGAGTAGCAGGCAGTGCGAGCGAGCGAGCGAGCGAGCGAGAGAGAGAGAGAGAGAGAGAGAGAGAGAGAAGGGAGAACCGCTTCGAGCCAAAAGTCGTTCTCTCTCTCTCGCGCACTTGTCGAACCACTCTTTTTCGCACACAGCAGCCGAGTCAGGCTCACCCTGACGAACAATAATCGCAATGCACGCTCTCGGTGACTTTCTATTTCAAATTCATGTGGCCTTTGACGATCGGTCTCTGCCCACCGCCGTCGCCGCCGCCACCTCGAACGTAATCAGTGTCGCCCCAGAGCAGACGCCACCGTTATCATTCTCGCGATAACTCACTCGCTTTATTATTGAATCTTATTGCAGAGGGACGGTCCGCGCGAGTACGACACAATTGACGGCGGCACTTTGCTCACGGAACGCAACACACGCAATCGAACTGCACTTGTCACCGTGGAAGCAGCGGCTGCAGTCGTTGGTCCATGATCTCTCTCGCTGCCGACTGCAGCTGTGTGTATGTGACAAGTAGTCGTCTCGAGAGCTCCGCTGCTGCTGCTCTACGCGAGTGTGGGAGTTTATTCTGCGCGCGCGCGCGCGCGCGACGACGACTGCTATCCTTTCGAATATCACCTGCGTGCAAGAGCGTGCCTATTATATCTCTCCCCGTATGGGATTCGCGCGGTGCAGAGAGAAAATTCTACCGCTTTCGCCGTGTGCCGAGTACACACTGTGCACGCGCGCGCTCTACGCGCAGTATATCTTTCGATTCGTATATAGGGACACTGCTGCTGCTGTTGCTGCTGCTGTTGCTGCTGCTCGCTCTTAAAGGCGACTCGTTCGCAGCCGAGGCTTGCGTAATAACTTCTGACTGTCAGTCTTTACTTTTTATAGGCAGCGCGTTATCAGAAACGTATATAACGAGGTGCTGCTGCTGCTGCTGCTGCTACCGTCATTCCGGATTTTTCTCGTTTCGGAACGAAGAAACAAGCGCAGCTATTAATCTCACCCCGCGAATGCATAAAAAACGAGCGTTACTCAAGCATAGACGTGGATGGACATCCGGGCCACTCCTGTTATTTATTGCCTGTAATATCGACAACATAGCGACGACGTTATTACGCGATTTTATTATTGTTGTGAAGCGTTACGTAAGTCCGAGATACACATTACCGGGGAACACCTTATAATATTGCCCGCGCGCGCTGTTAATTTTCCACGTAAATGCGAGAGATTCGTAATAGGCGAAGTGGCGACTTTCGCGCGCTCATTACGATCAATTCGAAAACTCCGCACGCGACAAGAGAAAGAAAGACACACGAGATCGCCAAGAGCAATTATGGCGAATTTGCACAATCGAGATTTACATATCGCGCATCCTTCCGCTTCCTTGCGTCACTTTCGAACGCGGGCGCTCGCCTTGTGCAACGGCGCGGCGATTATCTAATTACGAGTGCTTTTTCGAGTGCTTACCTCGTCTAACGACACTAAGCCGCGCGTCGCTCGCTTTGTTGTTCGCGCCTCCGGAGCCCGCTCTCGTGTGAATCGCTCGCGCCAAGGAGCTGCGATGAAACAACAGCGCGCCTTCTCAACGGAGAGAGAAAGAGAGAGAGAGAGAGAGAGAGAGAGAGAGAGAGACACTCCGCGCGCGTATGCCTCTGTGCACATCTCTCCCCGAGAAGCCAGCTCGCCTTTCAAAATTGCAGCACACTGCGCAGGTGTATCCGCGTGCAGGCGATAAGCGGTAGGCGCGCTTTTTTTGTAAGCAAACGAGCGACACGAGTGCACCGCGGCTTAAGAACGCGCGAAGTGCCTATTGGAAATAATGGATCGAGTTGGCGCACGGCTGACGCATCACTGCTGTTTGTTTAAACGACCTCCAATGCCTTGCAAGTGTACTACAAAATTAGCTTGATAAGTCATTACCGAACGTTTGCGAATAATAACTCGGTAATTTTAAGAGAAATTTTTTTTCTCGAATGACTTTTATTTGCGGTATTTTTTGACCATCGCCCGAATCAGATAATGCAATTATATTTAATTAATTTAAAAGAAAGCCAGCATCTCGTTAATATATAGGGTGGATGTAATTGCGATTTGGATGTAATGTGCCGTTTGAAATATCGCGCCACTATGCCGTTCAACGGGGTGTGAATGAAAAAGCGGCTCGAACGAGCTCCACTACCAGTTTCCAACAAGTTATTCTGTTATCGTAAGCCGTGTTCTGCGACGCGTTAACAGCTTTCGCACAACAAACAAACGGTTGCTCCTATTTGAAACGTATCCAATTAGTTTTGTTTTTGTTTGTCATTCTTGATTACGGATAAACAATTTCACGGAGATGGCAAATACACAAGCTAATGTTGTGGAATCCTCTCATAGTGGTAAGTGATACGTTGTTTTGAGTTTGAGTTTTCTTCGTCAACCGTTTGATGTGGACCTCTGAAAATGTGTCATTTTTTATATAAATTTTCAATTATTATTGATTATATAGAAAACTAATATTCTATTGGCACAATTAACTACATTTATTTTAAATATAAATGAATATCGACGGTTATATTTGTTATCGAACAGTGTCATTCCGAGTAACATAACCTTACAATCAAGGATCTATAGTGTGGCATTGTACAGTGCGTCGTACAGTGGCATGTGTTTTCGATGGAAATTCATTTGAATACAAATTAATATGAAAATGTCAATGACAATGCACTTTAAAACAATGGTGTACGGTTTATTATGCATTATACATATTTAAATTTAAATGTCAAGTCTTCCTGCAACAAAGACATTTTTTATTTTGTAATCAGTCCTAAGTATTATTAATACAGTTATAAAGTAAAAATCACCTCTTTGGAATTTTATTCCATTAATTCACATTTTCACAAAACGGAAGTGTCTCTAGTTTACAATACAAATGTAATTTATAATTTTTCAGAAGGGTCAGATGAAATGGAGATCAAAATAGAATATCCAGAAATAGAAATGGATGAAGAAGGCGGAGAAAATGATCTATATCCTCCAGCTGAAAATGGAGAAAAAGTACCACTACATGTAATGATCAACCATCCAAATTACAACTTATGGACTTCAAAAGCAACAGCATGCTTGATCAGCCAGTACAAAAAGTATCGACATATGGTTGGCCAAACAACTCGATTCAGAAGTCTCAGAGATATGTTTGAAACTATTTCTGTTGATATGCAAAAGCATGGCTTTTACTTTAGTCCTCAAAAGTGTGAAAATAAATGGAGAGTACTTGAGCGTAAATACAAGAATCTGGTCATTAGAGAAATGATCAAGAAACCTGGAAGAATGAAGCACTATGGTCACTGGGAGCACAAAAGAGCTTTGGATGAAATTTTTGATGAAAACAGGAAGCAAGTGTATTTGAAAGAAAGCGAATATCCAACGATAACCAGTTCAACAAAATATGCCATCATTTTACCAGAAGCAGCTGCCAAGGCAGCTTCGAATCAAACTGCTGCTTCACAGAAATCAACACAAAATAACGAAGTCATTGATCCAATGATAACAGCTACAACATCTAGTGTTCAAATAACAACACCAAATCTTGATTCATTGAAACTTGCAAATGCTGAATTGTTAAAGGAGTTAAAGGAAGTTTTGACGGCTGCTGAAAAAAGCAAAGAGAGGAGGCATGCTGAAAAGATGGCTATGCGTCAAGATGAACTGGATATTCAGAAGAGGTTGTTAAAGATTAAAGAGCAAAAAATTGAATTAAAAAAAAGGGAAATCATCGCCATGTCTAATTACGTTAAAAGTATTTAAAGTCATTGTTAAATTATTTATTTTTTACCAAAGTATACATTTAAAATTTTTTTTAATAAAAATTGAAACGGTAGTGTTTTGATAGATGAGTAGACAAACTTGACATCTTTATTTATTATTACATTTGAATAGATCAATATTTTTATGTTTGAATATATCATTCTTTAAAAAATAATTTTGTAAATGCTTGAAAAGTATAAGTTACCGTGCGGAAAACTGATGCGTGGTTCGTACAGTGACCACTAGATGGAAATATTTTTCGCATTCTTCTCACTTGTGCCGGTATAAACAATACTTTACTAAATACTTGTTCATTGCAAAGAATTGATTGATAAGAAGATTTTATGCGACATAACGTATCGAATTGTGTAATAATAATTTTGTATGTATACGATAAGTAGATTGTTATGTTTAGCGCTATTTGCATTAAGCTGTATAAGCTTATGTTTTTTTTACGGATTACAATTGTGCATATGAAAACATTCGAGTATTGCTCTATCATTACATAAAGAACATTTTGTAAATAAATTGTTTTTCAAATTACTGGCTATTTTTCCCTTGCCATTGTATTTTATACTAAACCGCGCACGTATGACTTTCAATCTGCTAAAAATAGTAACATTGCATTTTCAAATTATAATTGACAGCTTTGAATGCGCAATCTTACGTAATCACCTGTACATCGTTCGAGGAAAGTAAATTCTAAAGTGCGTTCGAGCTCGAAATTCTCGCGAAGAAGGGAAATTCGTAGGTGAAAAAAGAAGCAATTTGAAGCTGCAGTTATCAGTGTCGAATAGGTGGCGGCACACCGCGTTTCCCTGGTCACCCTGCGTTCTCTTTTCCCTGGGCAACACAGCCGAGCACAGCTTGGTATAAGGTAAGCGAAGTGATGTCGGGTGGGGGGCCGAGCGCCAGAGAGAGAGAGAGCACGAGACGCCGGAGCGCCAGTCAGTCGAGCCGCGAAGCCAGTAGCCTCCGCATCGTCTGGCTCTGTCTTTATCAAATAAAAAAAAAAAAAGAAAAAAGTGAGCCCCGTGAGCGCCCTGTCCCCTGTCGTTGTCGATCGAATCGATCATTTCACGCCTTCGTACGGCTGTGACGATAGCTCAAGCTCGAACGACACGAGTGCAATGCCAGTGTAAACAAAAAGAGAGCAACAGTGCGGGCAGCAAACAAAGCAAAAGTAATAAAAAAAGGCAGAAAAGGAGTCGTAGCCAAGTTAAAAATTAAAGAGGAAAACAATGACGTGGACGAGCTTCACGATGGAGCAACTGCTGTTCGGAGCGATGGTGCTGGTAGGCCTGGTGTACTTCGAAGCGGTAGCGACGGCGATGCTGCTGCGACAGCAGCAGGGTGTCGTGGCCTAAGGGGAGCGAGCAGCCGGAGATAAGTGTCGCACGACAGGTAAATAGCGCGGGCTCGACAAAGGGACGAAATGGACGGAGAGGCGTACGCGTAACGGACTTTCTTCGCGCCCTCTCCTTTCTCTCTCCGACCGCGCTGCGCCGCGGAGGAACGGTACCAGGCTATCTCCTCTCTATTGCAGCGCCTGCGAGCCGAGAGAGCTGCATCGCGCGGGGCAAAGTCGTCTGGCCGGTCCCCACGCGAAACCGCAGAGCGAGAGAGAGAGAGAGAGAGAGAGAGAGAGAACCAGTCCCGCGCACTCGCTGCTCTTTATACACTTCAACTCGCGTAAAAGCCATGCTCGCGCCGTGTACTCTGTACCAGGCGCACGCACTGCGCCGAACGAGCGATCGCCAGTCGTCGAAAAAGCTCGCCGATACGTCGTTTCGCGCCGCAGAGTTTGCTGTCTTGGTGGGCAGCGCGGGAATCGCAGCCGACACTCGTCCTCGTCTCCTTCGAGAGTGCACTCTGCACATCTTGCTTTGGTGGATGGGCAGTCTCGCTCTGGAGAACAGCTGTGCGTGTATTCGGCCGGTCGGACCTATCGAAAAGCTTGGCCGTGCTCGTCGAACGACCGACCGAGCTATCGGTTCTCGCGACGCTTCCGCTTCGTCTTCCAAACGAAGAGATCGCGTGTTTCAGTACCGATTGACGGCTAAGCCACGGAGAGAGAGAGGGAGAGAGAGAGAGAGAGAGAGAGAGAGAGAGAGAGCGAGCGAGAGCTTGAGCCGCGGCGGCACGACAGCACGTGCGAGCGTTCATTTGCATAAGTGCGTGGAACCTGCCTCGACCCCTCCTCGCTGATAGCCAAGTCCTAATGGCACGATGTCGCCATCTTATTCAATAGTTTCAGTTGCGGGTAGGTTGACGCGCTTGTGCGCGGACTGCGGATCCGCAAGCTCGAGCGGTGGTCGTCGGGGCTGTGCGCGACGCGTCGTCCGTGACTTTCCTGCGCCGCAATTTCGGGGAAGAAGCACGGCCCGCATGTGATCCTGTTTCTCTTTCAGCAACAGCGCGAGGCGTGCAGTGCGAGACGAGCGACGTCCCAGCGCCCGCTCGGTTCATGGGTACGAGCAGTCACCAGCGACATTTGCATCCAAGGACATCGCTATGAAGACCCAACGTGCCGTCAGGTCAGTCGCGCGTTGCTTTGCTAACTGCAACGCGATCTTATTCTCGCGCCATGGATTCTCTTGTGTACATACCATAATTCGCTGCACCGCTAGCTCGCATTTTTACCTGTCTTTCTTTTTGTTGCAACCCTAATCAATCGGCGTCTCAATCGTTCGCAGAGCAAGAGAGAGAGAGAGAGAGAAAGAGAAAGAAAAGAAACTTGATTACCCATCGATTGCGTTACTTTTACCTTGAAAGCTCGTGACACGAGTTTTCTTTCATTAGTAGCGTGTCTTAACGAACGAAGAAAAACAAGACTCTAAAGCTCTGAAAGTCGATGATTCCACGTCGGAGAGTTAGCGAATAATTACCAAGTGAAATTTGACTGGTTAAGCAAGACCTTCGCCTCTGTCGATAATTATCGCTCACAGTCGTACGCGAGTGCAAAGTGAGCGAAACCGAAAAGGAGCCAACGACGGATCTATCGGCGAAGACAATCGACCGGAGCTTTACGTTTCTATCGTTGCCGTCGCGCAAACGAGCGCGAGCTAGCCTGCGGCTGTGCGAGCGCAAGCCCTGCCTAGTTTATCTTTATTTTTTCGTTCGTACGCTCTCTTTGCACGCTGGATTCCTTCGTTCCTTTTTTGTCGGCGAAAGTGCGAGCGACGCGCTCCAGATTGCGCGCTCCCTTTTATTGTCCAGCTGCGCCGGAGAAAGAGATCGCGCAATTAAGCGAGGCGAGCGAGCGCCACGGGACGAGCTAGCTCGGCGGCATCGGCGGCATCGGCGGCATCGAGCGCCGATCGACTTTCGCGGCGCGGCCCGTCGCCGAAATCCAAGCGTCCCGCCGAGAGCGCGCCGAGAGAGCGCCGAGAGCGGAGGAAGCCGGCCGGGTCCGCTCCGAACGCGCGGCTTCGATCCCTCGATTCGCCGGCCATCCGCGCGGCATGGAGGGGCAGGGCAGCGTGACGTCAGCGAGCAAGCGGGCCTGCACGTGCGTATCGTTGGACGCGCGCCGCGCCGACCACATTCACCGCGCGCGCGCGCGCGCGCGCTCGGGCCCAGCCTTGACACACTCTCGCGCGCTCTCTCCCTTGTCGCGCGCGAAAGCTCCGCGTCCGCGACCGAAAGCGGATCGGCGCCTTTGCCTGGCCCAAGCTCGCCGACGCCTCGCTCGCGACGAGCCGCCGACGGTCGACGGAGAGAAGCGGAGAGAAAGGGGGCCAATCGACCTGTCCGTCCACCTCGGCCGCGAAAGGAACACCTACAAAGGGCTCGCTTCTAAGTCTTCCGTCGTCGACGAGCGAGCGTCCGACAAATATGAAAATTAAAAGTCGAGCTTGGAGGAAGGAAGTGTCTGTCTCTTGTTTCGCTCTGGCGTCGCATCCTTGAATACGTTATCGTTCTTTTTCGTCGTAGCTTTTCATTTGGCATTCGTCGAGCGACACACGGCGAGTGGTTTTTCTCGTCTTTTCTCCGTGCGAAACGTCGACACCAAATCGATAGCACCGGTAATCGTTCGATTGCCGGACGGCACGCGTTTTCAAAACACTGCGATGTGCGCTCGAATTAAATATCTGCGATGGTCGCGAAAACGTAAAGATTTTTTCGCCGCAACAGACGGATGTTTAATCGTCGGATATTGATTCTGCAATGAAGAATTATATAATCAATGAAGGTTCTAGTTAAAACATCCTAGCCGAGTTGGGGAACTCGGTTACTAGAGCACACACGCATCACGAGGCAGCTGCTGCATAGCCGTAGCACAACACGTTCGATGTGATTAAGCATTCGTTACAATTGTCGCATATTAATTGTGGTCAGCGGTCCTTTAAATAAAACATGGAGCAGAGACTTGACGCCGGCGAGTACACGTCTCTCTCGCGCGCCGGCAAACTCATCGTCGACATCGGCACCTCGGGGTCTATCGAAGGCGCCGTTTACGAACTTTCGGCTCGAGCGTTCCAAGCGTCGCAGCCGCTACGAACGCCGGACAAAGCGTTTGCCGGATGCGCGATTAAGAGCGACGAGCCTAGTTGCGAGCGCGGCCGCGATAGATATGGCCGGGTGCGTCGATCCGACACCTCGTTGGGAGAGCGGGCCGTGCCGCGGTGCCGCACGCGCCTCGCTCGGACAAGGGCGACGACGGGCGCCATTGACCGTCACTGCGTCGGCTATCGGAGTCCGCGCCGGCGAGTCGCAACTGCAGCTTTCTCGCGTTTCGTCGCCGTGCACGCCTGACGTTGCTCGCGACGCGCTCTACGTCAGCGCCAGGGCCCTCGCCTATACAAGTGCCGCGCCGTTGCGGAATCACAGTCGGAGCTGTTGGCGGTCGGATGGACGCTTGCCAATTGACGACTGCACCAGTCAAATCGATTTTCACGCCGGCTTACGCGAGCGCAACTGTTTCTCGCTTGTTTCGCTTCGCGCTCCTCGCGCATTCGCGATCTCGCTCGGCAGCCGCCGACGATTTTCAGTACTTCCGGGAGAACAGCGACCACGCTCGCGAGGAGATCGTACAAAAGAGTTAACGCGTCCTTGCGTGGGCCCCGACGAGCTCGCTGCTCTTACATTGATTTCGAATAAAATTTACTTGGCCGAGACTGCCTTCATCGCCGGATATGGCGGCCATGATCGACTGCGGAACTGACGTTTCTTCTTGCGCAAAGCTAACGAATCTTCGGTCTCTCGAGTCGCGATAGCGAAGTTACTCTCAGTGTCGCTATGTGGAAAATTGACACATTCGGCTCGAGCGGCGCAGAGTAGACTTTCAAGAAAGTTACAGAAGCACGAGATGTTCGGTTATAAAAAGTTGTTGTACGAGCCGACGAATGATCAGTGGCGATGTCCGCCTTGGTTCGCGTGAAACTTTAGCAGGATAAAAGCCGCGGAGCAGTTCTCTCTCTCTCTCTCTCTTTCTCTCGTCGCGCAGGTGAGAGATAGCCGACGTCCGCGGGATCGGGAGATTACGCCGCGCTTCGGTCTCTCGGCGCTCGAGTCGCGCGCGTCTCGGTCGCGCGCGCCTCGGTAAGTCGGCATCGACCCAGTGCGTCTTGGGGAGAGCAGCGGCTCTGCGGTCGGCCGCGCCGAAAAATCAAGGGCGCTCGGCCGCTCGCTCGCGCGGCCGGGGATTGGCTTCGGCGCGCGGCCGCGTGGCAATCGATGTAGCCGGCCAAAGTTCACGGCGCCCATCCGCATGGCAACCCTCCCCCTGGCGACGCCGCAGCCGACGCACTTTCGCGGGGTCGCGTGACGCTCGGCGAGCGAGAGGAGCAGCCGCGGCGATCGCGCACTGGTGACGAGGACGGCGCAGAGGACGGCGGGCGCCGCCTGGCATCCTCGAATCGATGGCGCCGCGACGCGCGCGAGCCGCTCGCCGACTGCGCCGTCGGCGGCGGCGGCGGCGGCGGCGGCGGCGGCGGCGGCGGCGGCAGCGAGCGCGTTCACCTCTCCTTTGCCGCGAGTCAGTCGACTTTCACTTTCCCGCTTCGGCCACCGCCGAGCTGCCGGCAGTTCACCTACATATCGCCAACTATCGCCGACTATCGCCGACTAGCGCCGCCTTCTCCTCCGGCGGAAACTTCCTCCTTTGTGATTCGAGCGCGAGAGCCTCGACAGATGTTGGTCGCTCGGCGCAGGCTGCGCGCCGCGGGAGAGAGCTCGTGGCTCGAATTTACACCCTCTGATATTGGAGTCAATCGCGTGTAACGAGAGATTCGCGCTCGCGTGCGGCGGACGGAGGGCGGCGGGCGGCGGGGAAAGGGGAGGCCGACGGGAGCGAGGATCGCAATTTCGCTCTTCCCACACTTGCCTCGCGCAGCGATCGATGTTGCTTCGAAGCTCGCTGGTGCGCCACCGCGAGGCTCTCGGCCTGCGGCCCTTCTCGTCCCCGGAGAAGCGGTCGCGCGTGGAAACGGCCGCCGAGTTGGTAGCGCGGCTTATCTCGGCCAGGTGTGCCGCGATCGACGCAACGCTCGCAACGCTCGCAACGGCCGCGGCTCGCGCGCGCGTTCCGCTCCACAAATGTCCGGGCGCCGCGGAAGCCGCGCCAAGCGGAAACGGCCGAGCGCGCGTGGGTGCACCCACCTGCCGCGGCCGCATCGTTCGATTGCCGGAGAGCTCGGCGCGCACACGCGCGCTCTTTGTTTTTTCCCGTTCGGCTGCCTAGCCGCGCGCAGAGGGGCATGCGTCCGAGCTTTAATTAATGCAGATCTTTCGCCGAGAGGATCCACTCTCCTCCTTTGTGCGCCTCGTCCTTTGTGGTGCTCGTCTGCTCTATCTCGGGCCGACTTTTTCCAGCTCGGTCTTTCCGCGCTTTTTGTTCGCTTGCTCTTGCTCGTGGCCTTGGCGTGTCGCCGAGGCCAAATTGGAAAACAACCAAGAAAAACGCACGACAAAGATACAGCGATGCGTCCGCGCGAGCTTCTCCGCTTTCCAGCTCGGCCGATGAGTTTCGCTCGCTCGTTATCGGCGCAATTGCGTCGGGCGCCGCCTACGCAGCCTTCCGAATCGACTCCTCGAACGTGGCTCTGGCTGTGCGTATTTCGATACCGCCGTTCGCGCTTCGGTTCGACCGGCGATTCTTCTTCGAGCGTCGGCAGAGCGGACCTATTCCAAAGCATTTTGAAAGCCCGCCGACGACACCTGACATCGGAACAACTCGACAAGCCCTTTCGGGCGAAATTGGCGCTGTGATAATTATCGCGCGCGGCGCATTCGCGATTCGCGATCGATTTGCGCGAGGCTGTCTTTTTTTTTCACCGAGACAATTGCATTGTCTCGGCGCGCGCACTCCTTTGCCCCTTCCATTCCAATTAATAAATCGCCGCGGGGCTTTCCATGCGGTCGCGACGGATTGAATGGGACGTCCATGGGAAGTGTGGCGCGTCCGTGCATTGCGGAATCGCCAGCGATTCTTATCGCGCCGGTGCGAGGGAGAGAGAGAGAGAGAGAGAGAGAGAGGCGCCAATTACGCGTACGTGCATCGGCGACTTGGCTCATTCTGATTTTCCCAGATTGATTGTTGCGCGCGCTCGCTTACGCGCGCAACTTTCTCGAGGTCGCACGCCGACGAAACCATTGTTCCGCGATGTCGAGCGGTTCTTTTCGAATCGAAAGTGCGCGCGCCGGGATCGCGGAAGCGCACCTGCAACGGCCCAACCTACCCCAGCGAAACTCGTGCTAACGCCCCCACCCTCGGCGGCTCGACTCGTTCGGCGACCCAATTAATTGCGAATGACCGAACACGCGCGTGCCCGTCGCTGACTGACAACGCAACACGGGAAGTCGGCGTCGAGCAACATCTGGCGTACCGAGCCGTTGCTTCTCCGGCTGGGGGGGGGGGGGGGGGGGGGGGGGGGGCTCGTCGACAGGCGCGCGTACGCGCGGAGTTCGCGCCGTTCTCGAGCGCGGCCTCGCTGAGCTTTACGGCGCGCATGTGTGTATCTGCGCGTGGCGCCGCGGTAGACGGTCAACGTCGGCTCGAGCGTTTTATGCGAAGCGGGATCGTTGAATCAAACTCGAAGAAACTGTTCCGTTCAAGAGCACTTCTCGGCAAAGAGATGCCGAGTGGCGTCAAGCGGACGAACGATTAGTCGCCGTTAGGAATATCCGCGCAAAGGCTTCGAACCTTTCAGCCCGCAGCTAATGGCGTGCGCTCCTCCCGTACATGTATTTGCAAGCACGTGACCATCGTGAAAAAAGCACTTTGCGATTTCGCTCGCACTTTTTCACCTTCGCATCCTCCACTTTTGTTATACGTGCTATACATTCGTTAAGTACGCCGAGATAAGTATCTCTGCCGATCGTCAACTCAATATCTTTGTGTCTCTTCGATATCTACAGCGGACAAAAAACTTGAAGTGGCATCTCGAAAATCGTTGTACCAACGTGTCCCTTGGCATATTGCCCGTTACAAGTGTTTAAGTAAATTTACAAATAATTAAGAAAATAAGGAAAGACCATTCGATTAGATCCACGCTTGCGAAAAACAGTCTGGAATGGAGAGAAAAGTAAACGAACTATCGGAAGAATTGACAAATGCTCGAGTCTACGTATGTGGAAGACGGTGGAGCCTCCCCACCCAATGAGAGCAGAGCTCGATATCTAGACAGCGGGCTCTGTTTCGCTTCGCCACGCGTCTTCATTTAAAAGATGTCAAGAAACACGTCGGAACAACGATATTTCACATACCATTTGGACGTTTCCAGTTAGAAGCTAATATTCGTAAAATTAGCTTATAATAAATTATCGGTAAATATCATTAACTTTCCCATAAGATCCACTCGGTTACAGACATACTCGCTTTCCGAAAAAGACAAGCCAATTTTTTTCGATCGTCAATAGCTTTTGGATTGAACGTATTCAACGAATGTAGCGAGCGCGATGAAAATGGACGATGGTCAAGGTAAAAGTTAGCCGAATCAATCTGCTGCGCCACTTGTACGGACTTAGACTCCAATCGGCTATTTTTCATACGAGTCTTGGATTTGAATTTTCACCGATCTTCTTTTAGATGCGCGAGTATTCCGATAATTAAATTTGACTCTGGCTTTGTTCGACGCTCGGCGCATTACGCTTTAATTAAAATTCAGGCAGGAGCACGAAAGAAAGACCGCGTGCAAGTGAAAACGGAGCCGTGCAATAATCGATCGTTCGAAAGTATTTTGTTTTTGGAGGAGAAAAGAAAGCGCGCGAAATCGTAGCGAAGACTTTTCCGCGCGGAGATAAGTCCTCGCTTGGAGCTTTCCAAGCGAATGCGTAACGATATCTCGTCCAACTTGTGCAGCTTCGACGAGTCGTCGATGGAGAGCTGCTCGACGGCATTGCCCGACGAGCGCTCGCGCGAAAGTTGCGGCAGCTGCGAGAGCTTCGAGAGCTCTGCCAACAACTGCATATCCAGGCTGAGCGGCGTCGCGAGCACGGCGGCGGCGACGACGACGACGACGAGCAGTCCGACGCCGCAGAACCTTCAAGAGGTGACGAGCCTCGAGGAAGCCAAGTGCGTCATAGCCGCGCTCAGAGCCCGACAACGGGCGCAAGCCCATCAGATGCTCGCTTGGAGGAGGACCCTGAAGCTGCAGGTACGACGCAGACAGCGGCTCGCGAGAGTCGCCACTTCCTCCCGATCCCCCGATCCGAGCGGGCGAGCACTCGGTCGCGCATCGCAATAATCGGGACTGGTCGACAGGAGGAGCTGGTGGCGCGACTGACGCGCGAGAAAGCGGAGCAGCTGCGCAGCCTGTCGTCGCAGCTGCTGCTGTTCGAGTCGCGGCTCTGCCGAAAGCAGAAGGAGATCGAGGCGAGCCTCGCGCAGAGGGAGTCGATGATCCTGAAGCAGCAGCGCATCATCGAGCAGCTGCAGAGCAAGCTGAAGCTGGCGACCGAGCGCAGCGGCCGCTCGGCCGAGCGCGCCGGCGGCTCGCCACCGGCCTGCGACGCGCTCGACAGGCTGGACAGCCTCGGCGACGCCGACAGCGCCGTGGTCCTCGAGGACAACTTCCTCGACGAGCCCGCCCTGCCGAGGTTCGTACGCCCGCGAAGCCGCGCGAGGGCTCAGCCACCTGTCGCTCGCTCGCCCCGCAGGTTCCGCTCGAGCATCGTGGACGTCACGCTCATCAGGTCGGTGTCGGACGCGGTCGAGCCCCCGGCCAACAACAAGTACGGCTCGTCGCAGAGGCGCTGCAACGGCTACCTGCGCCGACCCGAGGTCCTGGAGACCGTGTACTCGGTGGAGGAGGACGCCGACGCCGACGGCAGCCGCGCCGCGGCCTCGGCCGACGAGGAGGAGGCGGCGCTCGACGAGGAGGCCGCCGCCGCTGCCGCCGCCGCCGCCGCCGGCACGCAGAGGCACTCGTCCGACTCGGCGATCGACAGGCCCAAGCTCAGGGATCTGTACGGCAGCTTCGAGCGGCTGGCTCAGCAGGAGGACGCCGCTCGCGACAGCCAGGCCGCCGGCGCTCTGCCCGGTGCGCAGAGGAGCCGCGACGAGAGCCAGCAGGCACAGGTGATTGTTTTGCTTGTTCTTGCGGGTTACTCGAACGGATTCGATCGGCGCGCCCCTTCCGTCGCCGCTCGACAATCTCGCCCTCCGGTCGTGCCTTCGACACCGGTGAGACCAGTTCGACTTGGTTCTAGCTGTCCAAATCTACGGACCGAGCCCGCGCGCGCGCGCCCCTTTCCCTGACGAATCGGGCCGACGATCGGCGATGCTCGAGGCGCCCCCCACGACCACCACGATAGCCAGTCGGCGCAAACGGACCATCACGGAGGTGGCTCGCGCCGCCGAGAGCGCGAGAGAGAGCGAGAAAGAGAGCGCGCGAACCGTTACTGCCGATACACTTCCTCGAGCATTTTTCCTTAATCATTCGCCTCGTTCCTCTTTTTTTCCCGGTGGCTGCCTCCTCCGACGACTGCAGGTCACTTACAACAGGGTCATGAGCAACCACAGATCGGTGACCAAGCCGAAGGACGTCAAGTACAAGCGCATCAACAAGGCCAAATCCAAGAGTCTGGAGGAGCTGCGTGGACGACTGCGCAACTGGGTCGAGAAGGGCAACAAGATCGCCATATCACTCGACCAGTCGTACGCCTGACGATAGGCTTTGCAGTGTCGTTCGTCGTCGACGTCCTCCGCCAGCGAGCGACACTGAACTGTACACACTCGCGCGTACACACGCTCCTTTAGTCGATGAACAAAGATTTTTTTTAATTCTCTCTTGTGATACGCGAGACGCGATGAGATTGTGATAAGTCGTCGTTTGTTTGTTTCTCTCTCTCTCTCTCTCTCTCTCTCTCTCTCTCTCTCTCTCTCTCTCTCTCTCTCTCTCTCTCTCTCTCTCTCTCTCTCTCTCTCTCTCTCTCTCTCTCTCTCTCAATTCTTTCGTCAAACTTGATCCTGCTTTCTTGCGAGCGAAACGAGCAAAGACTAACAATTGTTCTCTTTTGTCGCAACTTCGCGAGGATACATTTAGATATACGCGTGTGCATTGGCAGGCCGACTCTTCTTCAAGCTGACGTCCCTTTGGTCGATCGACGTGCACGTAATCGGAAACTGCAGCCTTGGAGGACTTTTGTCAGTGATAAAACAGCGCGCTTACGCGCCTGTGTGCCGCACGGGTTCAGCATGCTTAACCTTTGCCACTAACAAAGCACCTTTTGCAAAAATATACGCGCGTCCATGCGACTTTGACTTTGGCATTGTTTTTTTCGCGGACATCCGGTGCCTTGTTTTGCTGAATTCTTTTTCGTGGTTTTTTTTATCGATATCCGTAGCATCCCGAGTCAATATATAGATTTTTTGCTCGTTCTCTCTTTAACCGACAACCGATCCTCTATTGTATAAGACTCTCGTAAGTGCATTTCGATAGAGTGCGGCATATCATACGTTGCTATGTAACGTACCCAAAAGCGCCTTGTTGAACAATCGATTAATTTTGTATGTCTGATCATTGTTGGAGTCGACGACAACGTTTTGTACTCGTTGAAGAATCATAACGAAAAACATTGAAAGTTAGTTGTTGTGCAGTGACGAATGGCGAAACAATTGGCTTGATTCCGATAGACGCAGAGTGTAAAACGTTAATCGTCATTGTCGCGAGCCTCCGATCGACAAATTTCAACTTGATATTTATAACGATAGCTGTTTTGGCGCTATTTACACGAGAAATTTGTTACGATAAGTGTGCCATCAATCACAACATAAAGATTTAATGTGTATTCCTTTGTAAATCAAAACACGACAACTACCTTTAATTATATACACCTATTGAAAGCCAGATGCAATGCATAAACTGCTCGACAATCTAGCAGAGCTATTTTTTCAACGGATTTGAAACAAAAGTTTTCTCTCTATTTTTATCCTACGGATGTACTCAACTGGAACAGAAGAAAAAGCTATGTATATTGAGACTGTAAAGGCGAGGAGGCGCTGTATTGTGCAAAATAATTACCTAAGATTTAAGATCGCGATCTATAGTTAATGTATTTTAAAAATAATAAAAAAAAGACCACTTTACGACTAAATTTACGGTTAGTATATGAATTTTATGTTCCTGCGGGCCGTTCTTCGGCTAAAACGAGCGATCTCTTGCATAACAACACATTCGCGTGGATTGCTATTATTAACGTAGAATGTGTAAATATTTATATATATATAAAAAAAGCACAGACACACACGTACACGTACACTGACGAAGGAGGCGCGCTCTCGCGAGTGTACGCCTTCGCGATAGCACGCATACAACGCGAGATTTATTTTTAAGAGTTTGAGAGCCGGACGAACATTAGATTTTTGAAGCAAGTGCGCGAAAACAAGTTACGTGCGATACCCGCTCGACTCGACAGGTCGAGTGACTAAACCTACAGCACGACAATGTCTTAAAAAAACGGACAGCAATGATCGATATCCTATTCGAATGGAACGGCGAGAGGCGCGTTGTATTTACCAAAAGTCGGAGATCACTCTTAAGTTGTAAGCTTGTAACAAGTTTACTCAACAAAACAGTGTATATCATGTACCACCTTGCTTTACCTTACTCGAAGCTCGTAGACTGCTATAAATATTACACTAACGGATCTTCGCCTCGTTATAATATAATAAACATAAATTATGCTATCTAAACAACAAGTAAATGTCTCCTTTTTTCACTCATTCCGTACCACCGCCTCTGAAAAGCACGTTATGGTGTGCTGCATTGACATTTAGCCAACATTTTTTTCAATTTAGTCGTCGAGACTATTAGCTTTTTAACTATCATTATGTTTAATGCTAAAGCCTCTCCTTTGTTACGCAATATAGCTACATGCCCCTACGCAAGACCGAATACAAAGGCATATCGAATGCCCATCAAACAATATTATCTTTGTACTGTTTTTCAAATATTCAACGAGTCATTTTCTTGCGAGCTTTATACTAGCCATTTGACGAAAATCTGTTCTGTATTATAAGACACAGAATGTTTACTTAATTTAGTTGGCTTTTTCTTCACTTAATTAAATACGAATGAAAGAAACCGTGCTCTTCGGTTCAAACAATTTTTTATCGAGATTATTTCGCAGAGACATTTAATTGTAGCAAAAAATTGCAATCAATCTTGTGTCGATTGACGTTGCTCGTATACTTCAATCAATACATTCGTTTCAAAACGGATAATTTGCGTCATTTTATCCATGAAAATCAGATTTCACAATCGCTATACGAGTACGACGCTCTATTGCTTGAAACTTATCGTCAAGTGTTATCTAAAGTAATCTGTAGGTGACACAGCTGCCATCACAAAAATGGCTAAGCGAGCCAAGCCGATTTACAGCTGTAACAAAATCAAATTCCAATTACCATTGGCTTTGTGGATCGTGACATTTTTCGCTATTCAATGTGAGTATTGTTATTTTGCAATATTTCATATTTATTTATTAATACTCGGACTGTTCATGAAAACAGCCCTTTACCATTATTGCAATATTATTTGTCAGTCAATTAGCATTAACATAACTTGAAAATTTAGTTCTATTTTCATTAATCAATTAGTGCCAAGTAGCTTGATAAAACAACAAAGTTAAAGTCATTTGAAAAACACGTAATGTTCCTTCTCAATATCCGATTGATCAATGAGCAATTTCGATATTAGACTCCACGCGCGAAATCTGAATTTGAGATCACTAGTAATCCGTCAATCACTGCTATAACATGACAAATAGGTATTTTCATACAGAGGCATAGACGAACGTGTCCGACTTGACGTGCTCAATCGGCCTATTGTGACGTTGCTACCTCGAATATTCGCTCTCGCAACCGAGTGCATCTGCGTGCCGCTACATCTCATTAGACATGTGACAGAGGTGATACAAAGTGTATGAACCAGGTAAGCATTACCATACTAGGCTTCTCCTGCTGGAGAAAGTGGAACTTCGCGAATAATTTGCAATGTATTTAATTGATGCAGATTAAAGTGGAGCATTTAGGTGTCAATTAAGTCACATTCCTAGTTGTCATTTTTGTTACATATAGTTATCATTACATCGTTCTCACTTTTCTTATTGACGCAGATGCAAACAAGAATGACAGATGAAAGTGATGCTTACATTATATGCTTAAAAAATTTTTTCCGATAATTTAGTTTTTTTCATCACTGAATCTTTTTATTACAAAAGTATAAAAACGAACATATTTTCAAACATATTAAATTACATACAAAAATAAGACGTGCATAGTAATTAATAACATCAAATAATAATTATTTTACAATATCTTTAATGTGATCGCCAAACTGTCATTTCTGCTAATGGCACCCTTACAACTGGAATTTGATTGTATTTCTAAGAAAACAAGAATAAATGTAATGAAAGTTTTATGGGAAATCCAGTATTAAATTTTCGAGAAATTACCTTTTTGAATATTTTACCACAGCTTGCATGACTATCAACATCAACATCTCTCTTTATATTTATTACTAAAGGTGGTTTACTTGAAGTACTTATACCCTATGAAAAGTTTAATATATTATTATGTATATTTATATGATGAAAGAACTTTAAGACATAATTTGATAATATAATATGGCAACTTATTTTACAAGCTCCCACCTCATTAATCTCATCTTCAGGTATAACATTTTTATTACTTTTAGTATATGATCTTTTATGTTTCGTTTCGATTGGCTTCACTTCCAACTGTATTTGTTTAAATTTAAAATCTGTTTCTGACTCTAGAATTGTTTTGGCTTTTTTATTTCTTTTTTCTGATTCATTTTTGGCGAACACACTATTTGAGTTACATAGGATATCATTGTCGATGTTTTTAATAATTTTCTTAGGTTTATCTTCATCCAAGTTATATAAATCAAAACTCTTTGGAATTTCTTTGGTTGGGCTATCAAATATGTCAATTTTACGTTTTTTAACGTTATCCATTGATCCAGCTTTATCTATATCATCTAAATCAAAATCTCTGCTTTTCTTATTCGATTTTTTGAAGCCCCATTTATCAATTTTACTTTTGTTACTGTTATTTTCTTCAGTTATCTGTGATTTTGGTTCTTTAAAAATATTGACATGCTTGGTGTCTTCGGGCACAGCTTTTGTTTTGAACATTGAACCTCTTTTTTTACTAGGCCAAAACTGTTTAATATTTTCATCTATTTCATCAACATCTGACGTTCCGTGTTGTTTTTTGCTATTATTAGTTTTCTTTTCATTACACTGCAAATCTTGTTCATTATTTGATAAAATAGATGTTTCTTTTTTTCTAATACTGTCTGATGCTTTTAAGTTTTTGTTAGATATTTTAGCATAACTAACAAAATCATTTTTAATAGTATTTTTTCCTGGGATCGATATTCTACTACAATCATCACTATTTTCTATTGACTTTTCATTTGTCATTCGAATGTGTGTACCTGCTTGACTTGAAGAATTTGATACTTGAAAATCTTGGTTTAATAAGTCTTGACTCTGACTATCATTTTGAATATCATTTGTTTCAGGTATCAAACTTATCTTTGAAACTTTGTATTTTGTATTTTGATTCACAACACTTGTAATTTCTTGTGTATCTAACGCAAGTACTTCAGAAGTATCTTCTACATGACTTCTTCGTTTTAATAGTTTTATAAAGTCATACTCTGGATTGCAATATTGATCTAAAGAAGCATAAATAATAGCCAGAGGTATTTCAGTTTCGTTCACTGTTCTTACGTTTTTTTCTTTCATTTTGTTTTCTGAAAAATTATTAAATCAGAATACTGTTATTTAAGCTAATTGAAATAATGAAACCAATTCTATGAAAAAAATTGTTTATATCATACGTAATAAAGTATCAAATGCTACCAATTCTTCTGTTGAGCTATCATTGATTGGTACTTTCATAATAATATAATTATTTGAAAAAAATATATCTGGTATACTTGAACTTTTAGCATACACCTTGACTGAACCACCTGTATAGAGTTAAAATGAATTAAGCACAATAATTTTAAGTTCTATCTGTGAAAAGAAAAATTATGAAATTGATTGATTGTACCTGCTTGTTGTATCATTTCTCTATACTCATTACAACTTTGTTCAGTGAAAAAAATGAAAATTTTATTTTGAAACAGTGTTTTTCGTAAAGGGTTTGGTTTTAAGGACACCTTTCGTATATTAACTCCTGTATCTTGCAGTGAAAGTACAAACAAACTAGGATCTGGGAGAATTGTGTTCTCTTCTATACATTTCTTTAGTTGTATCCAGTAATCAATACCAATTATAGGCACACCGTTAATGAGTGCAAATATAATCTGTTTTCAAACCAAAATTTAGAATATTATTAAATTTATTTGAATTTTATAGTGTTTAAAGGTGTAAAATGTATTTTAAAACCTTAGTTGTTGTGGCAGCAGTAGTTGCAGTTAAATGAGTACAATGGCTATTATAAAAATCTATTATCAAACCACCAATATCATCCATAATACTTTTCAATTTCTGTTTATGTCCTGCATTTAATCGAGAAATAACTGTTACAAAATGAATATATTCAACACTAAAAATAAGAAGATCATTTATTCAAAATGAACTGCATGTGCATATTTTACTTTCAAATCAGTATAATGTTAGTAATAAATACAATGTACAATCTTTGAACTTACGAATAAATACAATTCTGTAAACCAAATGTCAAGGTGTCACCATGATGTAATTCAAGTCCTTCTTTTGTTACTTTTAATTTAGAACCATTTCGAACTATGAAGCTTCCATACTTAGAATTACTATCTTTGATCAAGCATGTAGAAGATTCTTCTGATGTCTGAAAGAGGTAAAGATATTGATTTCAAATTTAATAATTGAAAATAAAATTCATAACAATCAAATAAAATTTTAGATCTAAGAAATATCTACAAAATATTTCTAAAAAAAACTATTGATGCAAAAATTAAATGATACCTGCACTTGTTCTTTCAAAGTAACTGTTATTAATGCATGAGCACGACTTATTGAAGAGTCGTTTTCTAATATAATGTCTGCATCTTTTCTACCAACTTTAACTGTTTTATTTGGTTTCAAGTATTTTATGTTTCCTGTAATAATTACAAATACATTAGTGAATTTAATACTAAAAATCTACAACAAACAACTTATATTAAAAATAGTGCAACCTTTGGCATCTTTTAACATCCACATTATAAATCGGTAGCTTTTAGACACTACAATTTAACAAAGAAAAATATTATTTTCAGAAATATCTTCGAAGTTCAATCACTTCATAACTATTTATATTCTCAAGCGAACATTTTTCAACTTAATATTAAATTTGCACGAACGTTAAACATTTGAATGATGCGTTTCTTTCAACGAATCTGTATCAATATTTTTAATTACGATTCCCACTCACAAGGCTAAGGTTAGGAAATCCGACTTCTCGGATGTCCGTAAAATGATTTTTGTTTATTCCTTTTCCTACATATGTATATATGTATATATAGTATTCCTTATGCTGCTATAATTAATGATCAAACGAACACAGTGAAGTTCGATCATAATTATATGAGTAGGCTTGTTCGAAGATATTCCATATGTAGTACCGCAACTCGTTGCCAGGTGACGCCACTATTTAGAGATAGAACCGAAGGAAAAGAGGCACTTTCTTCCCCTTCCTAAGTCCTATCTCTCTTCCCGCCTCTCCTACTTCATTTAGTTTAGAGAAAAGCGAGGTGATTCTAGGGTTGGGAAAATTACCATTAACACATATTTCTTGTTTTTGTTTTTTTTTTTTTTTTTTTTTTTTTGGGGGGGAATGGAATATCTTCGAACAAGCCTACTCATATAATTATGATCGAACTTCACTGTGTTCGTTTGATCATTAATTATATTTCGCCTAGCTTGTTCGAAGATATTCCATATGTAGATGTTTAGAGTGAAATTAGCTGTTCCTCTCTGTTAAATGTATTTATTATAATATATGTGAATATATTTAAAATTACGTTACAGAAATAAAAGACTTTATATTAAAAGAATGAACATTATAAACACTTTCTTTAAGTTATGCAATAACTGCTGCTGCGAAATTCCTATCTGTACTCTTAACAATAGGTCTGTTATAAAATCTAGCAAAAACCTTTGAGTTCTCAGACCAGCTGGCTGCATTCCGTATGGTACCAATATCTAATCCTTCCCTTAGAGCTCTTGATGTAGATGCATGCCTTGTACTATGGGCAGTGAAGAACTCATCGATACCTGCTTGTCTCATGACTGTTCTAATCCATCTGCTTATCGTCTGGGAAGTTACTTTTTTAAAAGGTTTTATAAAAGAAATAAATAATTCGTCTGTATTGCCTCGTAAATCTCTAGTCTTCTCAATATAAAATATTAAAGTTCTTGCAATACAAAGTGTTTCTCTGTGAGGAAAATAAGGAAAAAACACTATAGGATCCTTTGATCCTGGCCTTGAGGTTTTGATAAGATCTGAAATTCTGATCTCTACTCCATTACTCAAAAACCTGATGTTCTTTATCTTAATTAGAGCAATAGATTGTACTCTGAATGCTGATCCTAAAGCTAATAATAATACTAACTTAAAAGTAAGATTCTGAAGGCTTAACGCTGACAGTGGATTCCAAGTTTCTAACATATTAAGAACAACCTCCACATCCCATGTGCAACAATACTTTGGTGCAGTTGGCCTGGTTCTAAAAACACCCCTGAAGAATCTATTTAAGAGAGGGCTGTCTGAATTATTCTCTTGATTGATTAAGGCAATAGCTGATCTAAGTGAATTGAGCGTACCATACGCCGCACCCTCGTTGAACTTTCTAGTTAAACAGTTAACAATCTCCTTATCTCCTGCGTTGAATGGATCTAACGCTGATTCCTTACAAAATTTCCACCAATATTCTAGGGCTGAATTGTACTGCTTCATTGTGCTGTTGGCCACTGATGATAACATGATCTCTATTGTCGCCTCCTCCAGGTCCTTTTTCTTAAAACTCTGCCTGACAGTATCCCTGACACCAGGGTAAGCTCCGAGGCCAATGGATGAGTTCTGCTCCTACAAGGTGAACATAGCAGATTGGGCGATGGTTGGAAAGTTATGAGTTTGCTTATTAAGAGCGCTTTAAAATCCGGGAACCAAGGTTGTACAGTCCATAAGGGGACCACTAAGATGCCTGTTGAATATTCCTCCCTGATTTTCTTTAGTATTCTAGGTATCAACGCAAATGGAGGGAAAGCATACCAAAAATCCTGCTTCCAGGAAATGGTTAAAGAATTGATAGCGAAAGCATCTGGGTCTCTCTCCCAGGAACAATATTTTAAACATTTTCTATTTATGCGTGAGGCGAATAAATCTATGGATGGGCTACCAAACTCCTTAACTAATTCCTTAAAAGCCTCCTCTGCTAGCTCCCACTCTGTGTCTAGATTACTGATTCTGGAACCCTCATCTGCCCTGTTCTCTCTTGATGCTACGTATTCCGAAAAAATCCAAATTTCTCTCTTAGCGCACCAATTCCAAATTTTCTTAGCTTCAATATGCAGGTCTTCATGTTTAGTACCTCCCATCTTATTAATGTACGCTATCGCTGTAATATTGTCAATTCTCAACAGGACCTGAATACCAGTTCTTTGTGATAAAAAGCATTTTAATGAGAAAAATGCTGCTCGAAGTTCTAATAAGTTTATGTGTAGCTCTCTCTCCTGACTGTCCCAAAAACCGTTTGCTTTCATTCCCTCACAGGTAGCACCCCAGCCTGTCTTAGAAGCATCAGAGAAAATAGTTAAGTCAAATATATTTGACCTAATTTTGTTGTAAGAAGGTAAAATATTAGCCTTCCACCATTCTAGTTCTTCTCTAGCTTTTGTGTCTAGATGTACTGATTTGTACATATTGTAGTCCTGAATTGTTAACGCATCTCCCTTGAGTGTTTCTAAATATTTATAATGTAACCAGCCGTAAGCTACTGCAGGGCAAGCTGCTACTAACACTCCTATGCACCTAGCTAGCATCTTGATTCTTACTACCTTCATCTCTAAAATTGTGCTGACCATCTCGAATATTCTAACCTTCTTTTCATAGGGCAAGGTTAGGGTCATGTCTGTTGAATTAATATTTACACCTAAAAATCTACAAAGTCTACTTGGTGTGGTCTCACTCTTATCGAAATTAATTATAAATCCCAATCTCTGAAGTAACGAGATAGTCAAAACAGTATCATTCCTACATTTGGTTTCAGTGGATCCTATAATAAGGAAATCATCTAAATACACTATTACCTTAATCCCCTTTTCTCTTAACTCCTTTAATACCGGTTTGCCTATCTTAGTGAATACATATGGGGCTGATGATAAGCCAAAGGGTAAAACGTTGAATTGGTACAAACGATCCCTATATTTAAATCTAAGGTATTTCTTTGAATCCTCATGAATTGAAACTAAAAAGTATGCCTCCTTTAAATCTAATCTGCACATAAAATCCCTCTTCTCCAATAAATTTACAACTGTGCGAATATCCTCGATTTTAAAATGTTCATGATTAATAAAAAACTTTAAGTTCTTCAAATTTAAAATAAACCTGAAGGATCCATCAGGTTTCTCTACTAAGAAGAAAGAGGATAAAAATTGTCCTTCAGTATATTTACATACTTCAACTGCTCCATTGTTTATTAATTTATCAATAGCCTTATCCATCTCTTTCTCATAACCCCTCCTCGGGTACACTTGGGCTGATGGTTCTTTATGTTGAAAAACCGGGGAATTAAAACAAATCTTATAACCCCTAATTGTTTCTAAGACAAACCTGTCCTGCGTAATAAGTTCCCATTGGTCTATAAAAAACCTTAATCTTCCAGTCTTTACCTGTGTTATTCCTATCTCCTCCGGTGTTGGTAAGGTTGGGATTGATTGTAGAATCTTTTCGTTGGCTCTGATCTGCGACTGGACGTGTAGGTGCTGCTGTGCGTGTTTGAGCCTGACCGATGATTCTGGTACTGATTCTTGTAGCTCCCCCTGCTCCCACGGTTGAAGGGGGAGCTTCTCCAGTTTAAAGAATTCTTAGCGTTGTTGTTATAGCTGCTGAAAGGAGGTCTGTTATAGGTGTTCTTTGGCTTCAACTCCTGTACGGCTCTTTCCATTGCTTTGGCGTTTTCCAAAACCGTTTTGAACTCGTCCCCGAAAAGTAAGGAAGTCGATTCTCTATTCTTTGCAATTCTCTGAATATTTTCATTGTATCGACCCATGATAAAAAGTTTTCTGGCATTTGAGAGTTGATAAAACAGATCACTCATTAGTTTAACTGCACCTCCTAGATTCTCGAGTAGGTTTCTAAAGGCTCAACTCTATCGTTAATGATCATACTCAAAGCCGTTGCGGCTGCAGCCAAAGACGCCCCTGCGAGTTCTTGATACTCTCTGAAAAAGCCATCTTTAGTCAGTGCCTTCTGAGTAAGGCTTACTGCGATCTCTTCATTAAGTTTTGGGGCCTCGAGGTTTATTTCATTATTTCTTCTAGGTATTTTAGATATTAATTTTAATTTCTCCTCTTTATTAGAAATGCCTTTTGATGACCACACTTTTAACCTGTCGGCTACAGTTTTAATAATAAGGAATTCTTTGTTATTCTCACTAATAGGATTTTCTCCTAAGGCCGCCATTGTCTCCTCCTCAATCGGCTCATTGTCGGCCATCCTGATCTCTCTTTCTAGTAGCTCACCATCCTCTCTTTCCTCATTCTCCTTGTTTTCCAAACGCAAAACATCTGCAATTATTGAACGAAGAACAAAGGAGTGTAGATTCTTATGGGAGTTTTTCCTTTTGACATCGACTTAGAATCGATGCTCAGATTTGCCCATATCGGCTAAGCTTGCCATTGACATCAACTTAGTATTGATGCTCGATAGTATTTCATCTTACCCTCATATGTGAGTATCTCCTCTTCTTTCTGTAAGGTGTCAAGTTCGCCGTAAACTCTGTTCATCAGCTTCTCCGCCTGACGTAATTCCTCCATCTTTTGTCTAACACGATCTTCTTTGTTTTCCATTTTGCCTGTGGCTTCACCGAGCGCCAAGAAACGAATGAAGTAGGAGAGGCGGGAAGAGAGATAGGACTTAGGAAGGGGAAGAAAGTGCCTCTTTTCCTTCGGTTCTATCTCTAAATAGTGGCGTCACCTGGCAACGAGTTGCGGTACTACATATGGAATATCTTCGAACAAGCTAGGCGAAATATAATCACTGGCGAACGGCCATCACACACGCGCAGTGATCATATGGTGGTAGTCGCAGGCAATGGAAGGGAAATCCAAACGGAAAAAGAGCGCGGGAACTTTTTCTTTAATTTAAATGACTTTTATTTAATTATGACGATTCTTATAATATTAAAATTAATTTAGTTCAAATAAGAAAGTTTATTGGTACGCTAATAGTTGTACTATATATGAATAGAATAACAACTAATTAATATTTTTTTTCATTTTTTTTTCATTTATTTTTTTTAATTTCAAAAAATTAAATATTTTTTGAAATTATATCAAATAAAAATAGAAAAATTGATTACCTAACGTTCCATTGACAAAATTATGAACGCTATGATATAGTTGAATGAAGAATTGAAAACAAAATTTTGACCCAGAACTGAGTACCTATAAATTTGATTTTTTTTACCTGGCTCCTGTGTTTTAGAGAACAATCTTATACATGGCGCGCGACGATGCAATAATATACGATTTTATAGCAGCGATGCGATTAGACACGGCGGGCCACGGAAAATTGTGTTTAATAAACAAGGTGTCGATGTTGATATGGTGATTTTTTTCTTTGTGTAAATTTGTAAATATGTCTTTCGGTTGTTTTGGCACATCTACTCCAACAGCTTCGTTGAACTTTACTTTTGCTACGGGTACTACAGCAACAACAACTCCGATAAAGCCAGGTAAAATTTAAAAACATTTCTTGAGGTTAGGTAATATTTTGGAAAGCTTTTTATTTATCAAAGTAAAAGTATACAGTAAAAATATACGTATATGTTAGTATTAATATTCATATCCTACCAAGATGTGATTAGTTTCTAATAACAATGCTACCAAAATTTCTTTAAGATTTGATAAGCTGTAATGTTAATTTTGAAAAGTTTTCAGCAGTAAATTCTATTCTACTCTCTCATGGAACTGTTACTTGTTCGGCTTGATGTCTCTGCTGATCTATCTCTCCTTAAAAGAGGTTTTCGTGATCCAGCACAGTTTGGATCACATTCATTAAAACCCTTTTGTAAACAGTTATAATACTTTGTCTTCCAACGTTTCATTAATAACAATGTTATGCAGCAAAGAAATAACAGGGCAAGAATAATTGAAGCACATATTATTAAGATTGTTGTAGGTGGCATTGATGTAATTTTATCTATAGTTTTGCTTTTGAAATCCTTTACATCCTCATAAGGCATTGATGAAACTTCAATGTCCAATTCATAAATTTCAACTTTTCCTTGAGTGCTGCTAGTTATACCCTTAGAAAGATCTACAGAATTGTCATCTAGAATTTGATCAAGCACTGGTTTCATGTCCTGTTTACATTATATTGTTCATTCTAATGTTTATAATAATAGTGATTATAACAATGAGTATCTTACCATGATTGATTTGTTATCTTATAGTTAGAAACAGTTTTATATATTATTGAAATCAAATTTATATTATATTATCAAATTTATAGTATGCTAATTATATTTTTAGGTCTGTTTTTCAAATAAAGATGTGAATGTAGGCACTAATTTCAATAAAAACAAGTCAATATCAATGTAACATAAGATGTTTAACATAAACATGTATAACTAATTTGTCTAAAATTACAATTTCAATATTTATTTCAGCTGGATTTGGATCACTCTTTGGCACACCTGCATCTACAGCCCAATCTATGTTTGGCACACCAACTGCTACCACAACTACAACACAATCATTATTTGGTACACCAGCATCAACTGCTCAACCTATATTTGGAACACCTGTTGCTACTACAAATCAATCTATGTTTGGTACCCCAGCTGCTAAATCAAATCAATCAACATTTGGAACAACAAGAACTCAACAGCAATTAACAACTTTTGGAGCTAACAATACTTTTAATTTAGGTGCAACTGCATCAACAAGTATTATAGGTGGAACTAGCTTTGGTAGTTTTGGTAAATTTGGTACTGCAGTTACAATTACCTCAGCTCCATCATTATTTAGTGGATTTGGAGCTGCTCATCCGCAGCAACAACAATCTACATTTGGATCAACATTTAGAGGACTTGGAGCTAATCTTAGTACTAATGGAACTTCTACTGGATTTGGAAGCTTTAGAACTGGTATATACAACTATTGCTTTCATAAATCAATCAATATTGCAATATTTAAGAAATGGTATTTCTTTCATTATCTAATTTATTGTCTATTTTTATGGCTAGGTAGTGGATTTAATAGTCTTGGTTCACCTTTGTTTGGACAATCACAGCAACAGCAACAACAGCAACAACAGCAACAGCAAGCCCAATCAAATTTAAATTCTAATACATTATCAGAAGCATTATACAATGCTGTTTTTAATTGCCAATTATTCAATGATGAGAGAGACAATACAATAGCTAGATGGAACTTGATCCAAGCATTGTGGGGTACAGGAAAAGCTTATTATTCAATGAATGCTCCACCTTTAGAATTGAATCAAGAAAATCCATTATGCAGATTCAAAGCCATAGGGTACAGTAGAATGCCTGATGCCGATAATAATGACGGATTAGTTGTATTCTGTTTTGATAAGAAAGAACCAGAGTTAAGAAGCGGAAAGCAACACATAATAGCATTGCTAAATCAGATTTTAGGGAGCAAACCAAATCTCACTATAACTGTTGATAATATCAAGCCTATTGGGGAGACCAAAGGTCAAGTTACAATTTTCGTTACGGAGAAAGGAATCACTGGATCTGTCAGAAAAATACCTGCCAATGAGTTGTATGCATATCTCACTCAAAATATGCAAAGACAGCAGCTGATACAAATGGGAGTAGAAAACGCATTTCCACAAGTGAAATTAGATCCTGCACAATTGAGAGAGTATTTGGACAATCCACCATGTTCGATAGATCTACGGCTTTGGAAGCAAGCACAACTTGATAATCCTAATTCAGAATGCTATATCCCTGTACCAATGATTGGCTTTCAGCAAGTAAAACATAGACTAAAATGCCAGGAAGAAGAAACATCAAGATACAGAGCTTTCCTTGATATGGCTACTGACAGCATTCAAGACTTGCAGAGGCAACATGCAACAACACAAGCCAAGCTGAAAGAACATAGGAGAACTCTATTAGAACTTCAACACAGATTACTCCAAGTAATGATAATGCCGTCTCTATACTATCCTTACATTGTAATATTTTCTTATAATATGTTATGAATTAAATTGTGATTAGGTCTTGGTGAAACAAGAAATAACCAGAAAAATTGGATTTTCACTGCAACCAGAAGAAGAAGCCTTGAGGAATAAGTTCAAAATCATGCATTCTCAAATAAGTGCTCCAACACAATTCAAAGGCAGAATTAGCGAGATGTTATCTCAATTAAGGATGAGGAGGCATATAGACTCGCAAAACCATGAAAGATATACAATGGATCCCATTGCCCAAGATGACATAAAAACTGTAAGTTTCCAGTTTTTAAACATGATGACACTTATAAATTACGTTGCTTATTTCAACTTTCCTTTTGGCTTCCAGTATTTAAATATGGAACAACAAGGCATGCAGGAAATAATAGCAACAGTCAATGCAGATTTACAAAGTTTGAAAATCATCAAAGATGGAATGTCAGATCTCATACCTGGCCCGTCTATGCTCTCGTGAATAGGTGTATTTATAAGATTAAGTATTTACTACGAAACATTCTATTGAGTGAAATCTATTTTATGTGAACGCGATGTATCATAATTTAATTTTGTTAAACGACATTGTTAAAGTTCAGAAGTAAGATATAATAATTTAATATTTATAAATAATAGTATTGTTCTGTATGATAAATTATGAAAACATTAATTGCTACATTCCTCAGCGTTACTTTTTGCTTTGCATTGGAAAATGTGATTGGCAATTTCTTAGAACAAGTTTTTTACATGACAGCCATTTTGTAATTATGGATATTTTTTTGTTCTTACTAAATAGTAATTGAATTTCATGCGACATAAATATATTTTAATTAGAACAATATTAATATGACTTTGTATAGAACCCAGCACATAAATCCTATGAGTGAAGCAACCATGATTTGGTGAATCCAAAGGAATCTAAAATAAAGATAATTTTTATTTGAAAATTCAAACAATATTATAACTATAGTTTAGAAAGTACCTTTTATATTTTATCCGACTTTGCTCCAAAGTTATTAAATCATCTTTAAACAAAAAGACTCGGACTCCTTTAATGCAATTGGCAATATAGTTTTCCCAATCGAAATTCAACATCGAGAATTGAAAAATTTGTTGATCACGAGGGTCTAATTGATCCCATAAATCATGCACATTTTCGTCCTTGTATAGCCAAATATTCGTGCTAAAGTAATATACTAGATCGACCATTGTGTGGAGTTTGTCATAAGCCGTCAATAGTCTTTGAACGAAATACAGTCGTCATTGAAATGTTTCTTGTTAAATTTGAAAGGAAAGTTTTGTCGTGAGTCAAACACATACCTTGATTTTTGCCCAATAGCGCGAATAGCAACGTCGATACAATAGGCAGGCATTAAGTGGAGGAGAAAAATGTAAAGATTGTAGAGCCAATGTCGTTTGGTCAGTTGAAATATAGCACACCACAGCGTATTCATCGACGGGTATTCGTTAATATACTTAACCATGTATTTCTTAACTTGGTTCCAAGCAATCGGAGCATCGTTTGTCGACGTGAAATTGTAAATGAGAATGTTTTCGCCCCTGATGCAATCAATCGAAACAGTTATTCGTTAGTCTTGAGCTTGCATTTTTAACGATGAAACGAGCTTTCTACATTTTCCTTGCTGACCTGTCGGTCCGTGTTGCCGTAGCCCAAGCACAGGCTATGATAGCGTTGACTGTCAGATCAACCGGAACGACGTTGACCAAGGATCTCGGATCGCAGTAGCCAACTCGCATCAATCCACCGGCGACACTTGCTACGACGCCTGCAAAACCGGTGTAGTTGTCGATCCAGCCAGGCGTCGGCTCGCAAGCCGATGGCGATACTAAAAGGTCGGGTGCACGATTGACGTGGCTTTGAGTTTCCTCGATCACATTAGCACAGTTTATTTACCTATTCCGGGCCTAAAAATTCCGACCGGCAGCTGCGCGCACGTTTCCCTTACGAGGTCTTCGGCTAAGGCCTTGCTGAAAGTGTAGGTGTTGGGCCACGGCTTTATTAATCTGAAAGGAAAAAGCACAGCGGTCGATGAAAGGGCGCAAGTTGCGCGAGGGCCGCTTCTAACGTTTGCACATGGAACCTACTGTGGAGTGATCGCGTCGATCAGCTTTTCTGGCAAACCGTCAATCAGCAGTTGAAGCTGTTTGTGGCCGATGGAATAATCGTGAAATGCCTCTTGGACATTGGCAGCGAAGCAGTTGGCGTACAACGTCGACACATGTACAAAAGACTAACATTCGATTGATCTTGATTATCCGAGCTAGGTTTTCGAGATCGCGCGCGCGCGATTACCTTCAAATTTTTCATGTTTTTGCACAGATCCACGACGTTCGACGTGCTTCGGACGTTCGTTGCGAAGGCTGCGCTTAGATTTTCGTCGAAGCGCACCGTGGCCGCGACGTGGAAAACAACGGAAACCTGCAATGAGAGTCGAGCAAGCGATTGGCCGCTTGGCTTTGACCGGCGAAGAGAAATCATACTTGTTCCTTCAGGAGGTCCATGTCGTCGTCGGCGATGCCGAGATTCCGCCGCTGGCAGTCGCCGGCTATACCGCGCAGCTTCTGGAGCTTTCTCGCGTCGCGCCTGTGAGCGTCGAAAACCTGCGGCGAAATATCGTTGATCGGTTTGATCCCGAGTGACGCGCCACAAATCACGGGACTTACAGAATTGTCGAGCAACTCTCGCATTCTTTCGTCCACCGTCTTGCCTTTTTTTTCGCGCACCAATACGAAAATCCGCGAAACTCCGGGACAGCCACGCAGTAACTTTTCGATCAAGACTTTTCCCAGAAAACCGGTTCCTCCTGAAAACAAAAATCGCGTTCAGACGCTCCACGGCGTGCTTTTCAAATTGCATTCGTCCAGAGAAGACGACAGAAATGCCAATACCCGTGACAAAAATACTTCGGTTTTTATAAAACTGCTGAATCGGCGTCGAGCTTACTGTCCCTCTGCTGCGATCGTCGACGTTCACGTCGAAACCATCGACTTGGTTGCAAATATTGCCGTGTAACTCCATTTTTGGAAGAACTGCAATATGTTTATACAGGCTTTTCAACGATATATTCTATTGGCAGGAATGAACAAGTGGACGAACAAGTACTATTACAAGTACTATTCGTATCGGAAACGAAGAACTGCAAAAATGTGTCTATATGAAAGGGACGAGCACTGCACCGGCAGACGATCTTTCGCTCGCTTTTATTCTACTCTCCCCTCTTCTATCGGCACTAGCGCTCGTATAATAAAGTTCATCGCGAATTCATTGTTTCGGCCTATGGACACCGATTCTACACTAATCTTTACATTTCGCTTGTTTAACACATCCCCATTGAATGCCAATAATAACCTACTCGTATATTTTCTTTTCTGGCATCATGTCTTTCATAATCGTACGTTTGGTTCGTACGATTTTCTTTTTGTCAAGCGGCCATCTTAAACCTATAATTTTTTCAAATATTTATTTATTTCCACAAGAATATTTTCAAGCTAGGAGAGAACTACTTCAGATCGATATCAAAGTACTATAGCCCGGCTGTACGCTCATCTTTCGTATGTTCGCCTGTTTTCCGAATGTACTCATACGTATTGATTTTTGAAGTCACCTGAAAGTCTTTTAACTTACAATTTTTTAACATTTTCAGCAGAAAGTATCGCACAAGGTAGATATTCGGCTAGACCTTTGATTAATTCATAATCTGATTTAGGAATGATTTAGGTCTTCATAGATGAAAGTTAAATTCATCAACATTTGGTTGATCTATCCCACGAGTGATCGCAAAAGAAATCTTACTTTTTCATGAAATAAAAAGTACAAAGCTCCAGTACAATTCGGATGATTGTAGCCAAGTATCTCTAACAAAAAACTTTACTAATCGATGTTATCTCAAGGTTAGATAAATATCCTACTTTATTTGAAGCATTTTATAAAGCAACAATAACATTCCCGTGATCCTCAAATATGTCGCAATCTTATAACTTATAAATCTTGATAATTTCAACTAATTATTGAATTTATTAAATGATTATTCGATCATTTCTTCGGCGGAAGAGTTTTTTCAGCGCATGATTACAGTAAAGTGATGACGTAAGTGAACAAATTCAAAAAAATACATTTCAGTGTAAATACAAGACAAAAAAAGAATAACGATAATTGTAATTGATGCTTATAAGCGAATATCCTCGGAGAATATTAAAAAGTCGAAGAATACACGAATGAACAGTATAATTTTCATCTGAAATTGTCTGCAACCGTTTTAGTGATTTCGATAAACATGATTGTATGGGCGGTGTTTCTTCTGCAACGAAGGATAATCAGGTAAAAATCACCAATGTATAAATAATATACAAGTATTTTATTAAACAAAATGACACAGTTTAGTATATGAATCCCTGAAAATATAAGGCACTTTCTTCTCCACGTTACATGGCTGCTGACAAACAATCTCCTCATATACAGACAATAATATATAATGTGCGTGTTTGTGTGTGTGTGTGTGTGTGCGCGCGCGCGTGCGCGCGTGTATGTCTATCTATGTACAGTACGTCTCGCTCGCGTATCCATAGAAAGCGCGACACCGGGACAAAGGCCAACGTCGTTCGTCCCGGTGTCGTGCTTCCTCCTTCTCGACTGTCTTCGATAGAAAGAAAAAAAAATAACGAAGAAAGAAGAGAATCGCAAAATTCGCAAAAATAATTAACAAAATCCAGTCGCGGCCTTGCAAGCAGAGCACAGCCAGTGAACCAGTTTACGCGCCAACTGCCAAATGCAGATCCACTATAGTTTGGTAGTTGCGACCGGTAACGATGGGTTTGTTCGTTTTGCTTTTGTCTTATTCAGCTGCCATGAGCATTTCGTCGCGATCGACAAGTATTCCCGTTTGTCCAGCTCGCACGCGTACACGCGCGAAGGTGTGCGCGGCAAAGAGCACGAGCGAGAGAAAAGGGAGAGCGAGTATGTACAGAAGCGGCGGGCGACGAGTCATTGGCTCCCCCCCGAGGTAAGCGTGCGGCACGGCGTGCTGACCTGCGCACGCCGGAGATTGGTAATATTTGGCTTTGAGAAGCGCCGCGTTCTCCGATCGACCGACAACAAGAACGAGCGAACGAGGGTAAGGACGACAATGTACAAGCAAGAACGAGGAGAGGGACGGGCCGATCGGGCGGTCCGCTGACTCGATTACACCGCGATCGTCCTCGTGGCCGGTCATTTGTTGATGGTCAAGTCGAGCGGCAGGTCCTGGTCCATGTCCGCCGGCGCGACCTCGGCGGACCTGGCCCGCAGGTCCTGCGCGCAGGTGTTGGCCGCGGCGCCGGAGCCGTCGGTGGCCGGCTGGCCGGCCGGCCAGACGCTCTGCAGGCCGTAGTGCAGATCCACCGACGCGAGCAGGTGTCGGAACAGCGGGTTCGGCGAGCTGAGGATCAGCTCCGACAGGATCTTGGTCTTCTCCAGCAGGCTGTTGCTGCCCGCGTGCTTGCAGCACTTGTGCTTGCAGCAGCACCGCTCGCAGCCGCTGGCCGCGCCGGGCGGACCCTCCTGGCGGGCCGGCGACTCCGACGGCTGCTGGTCCATGGGCGCGTCGGCGCGCTTTATCACCGAGTTGCGCACTACGTCGGCGCTGCCGGCGTAAGGCGTCGGCTCCTGCTTGAGGGGCGTGCCGCTGCTGCCGCCGCCGCCGCTGCTGCTGCTGCCGGTGCTGCTGGTGCTGCTGTTGACGATGGAGTCGATGTTGCGGTAGTCGACGCCGCTGGCAGCCTTGTCTTCGCTCTTGATCGGCGTGGACTGCATGCCGATGCGCGGCGTGGCCGCCATCGGGTGGTCCGGCGGCGACGCCGCGGTCGCCAGCTGGGGCTTGATGTCGATGGGGTAGCTGGGCGTCGGCTGCTTGAGCACCGGCAGCTGGCGATCCGGCAGGATGTACTCGTCGTACGGCGAGCGGCTGTAGTGGTGGAGCTCGTGCTCGTAGCCGGCGCCGGCCTTCGCCAGCGGCGTCGAGATCTGCGCGGCCTCCAGCCGGTGCTCCTTGCCGCGCTCCTGCAGGCTGTTGTACGCGTTGTTCCACTCGACCAGCTTCTGCTGCTCCTCGAAGCTCGTCGACGAGGCCGTTGTCTTCGGGCTCTCGCTGCAACGCAACGGCGAGCTCTGAATTGGTCCGGCGATCGCCAGGCGGATGCTCGCGAGGGCCGGCCGGCCCGTTACCGGTGCGCGGATAGTTACCTGACGGAGCAGATGGAGCTGCTGGTGGCGTTGCTCTCCAGGCTGGAGTTCTTCTTGTCGGAGTCGGAGCTCGGACTGGCAGCGGTGCTTCTGTTGTCGGGGGTGGCGCCGAGTTGGTGGTGCCTCTTGGTCGTGGCCAAGTCGTCCTGGGCCTTGTCGTGGTGATGGTAGTGGTGGTGGTCGGCACCGCCGGCGCCGCCGCCGCCGCCGCCGCCGCCGCCGCCGCTGTTGTTGTTGTTGTTGTTGTTGTTGACGTAGTGGCGGTAGGTCTTGACGTGCTTGCGCAGGGAGGACGGGTCGGTGTAGCGCTTGGGGCAGCCGGGTATCTTGCAGCAGTAGGGCTTGTCGACGGCGTGAGTGCGCGAGTGCTTGAACCGATCGGACGAGTTGGAGTAGGCCTTGTTGCAGCCCTCCACGGGACAGGCGTACGGGCGCTCGCCCGTGTGCGAGCGAGCGTGGATCTTGAGGTTTTCCGCGCGGCTGAAGCTCTTCGAGCACTGAAAGCAGTGGTGCGGCTTCTCGTTCGTGTGCGTCCGCACGTGCACCAACATTTTGTATCTGCAACGATCCGAAGGGGCGAGCGATTACTCTTGGCTGCGCTTCAGAGGGGGGGATACACCTCTCCGCCGTCCGATCGGCGCTTGCCCGGACCTGGCTGGCTCTCGGTTTCGCGCGACAACGAGACCGAAACAGTGGCCTCGTTGTCGCGCGACGCCACGGCAACCCTCGTGCATAATAAGAGTAGCCGGCTAATCACCTTGCGTTGAAGCCTCGGTCACCTCTCTGGCAGCCATCCCATCCGCAGTAGAACAGTCCCCTGGGACCGGGCTCCGAGTGTACTTTGCCAACGTGATCCGCCAGTTGTTTCAGGGACGCGAACCATCTGCCGCAATTGAGCCATCTGCAACGCGCGTACCGAAAAACCAAGAGAAAAGAGCGCAATCGGTATGCGTACGTTATCTGCCTCGAGCCCCTTTCCCCCTATCTTCGATTATTGTTAACGCTTAATTTTCAGCTAATCTAAGCACGGCTTATCGTTGTTTTGACTCTGCGCAGTCGTGTTGACGGAAATTTGTGCCCGAGATTTATGCGTGCTCGGTCGAAATCTTGGCCGGAGGACCGATAAAAAATACCTCTGTCGCGTCACTGCGCACTGGCCACATATCATCCGCACGATTGGAGCCAGAACTACGTGAATTGGCATCAATTGGTCGCGCGCGTCTGCGTCACTCGACGGACGACAATCGATGCGCGCTCTCTCTCTCTCTCTCTCTCTCTCTCTCTCTCTCTCTCTCTCTCTCTCTCTCTCTCAGGTATATGCGCAAGAAAGACGAGTGCGGCTGTACGACAACTTTTACGGGGATACCGTATGCCCCCTCCTCGCTGTTTGCTTGCCTGCGCGATAAAATATCGGCTTGCTCGCTTGCTTGCGCCGCCGCTCGCGATCATCGAGTCAGCACGTGAGCAGCGCGTGCAACGCGCTTCTGTCGCAGCCGCGCGAGCACGTTACGAGTCGACGTGCGACAGCGGCATTACGCGCTGTTATCTCGGATTTGGCCGATGACTCGCGCGCTGACGCGTCGCCGAACGGTGCGCCGACATCTGAAATTGGGACTGTGCACCGGCGCGAGCGCGCGCAGACGACAGCGAGACGCGGAAGAGTCGCCGCGACGAGCGACGCCGAGTTACGTAAAGCGCGCGACACTGGTTTTATCGACGCCGATCTCCGCGTCGGATTCGCTGCCGTCCTCGCGAGAGGCGCGATTCTTTCGGATCCTCTCTCGGAGAAGCGCGCGACGACGACCTCGGAGCGCGCGACGGAGCGTCGCCGAGGTCGCGCGGCGCGCCTCGCCCTTGGAGCGCGCGAAAGGCGACCGTCGGGAGAAGTGCACGTCGCGCGGTCGCGCGCGTATTTACAAACACGGCGAGCGCGGCGCGGCAAAGAACAGTGGCGGCGCGTACCTGCACTGCAGCTCGGTGCGCTCGGTCCTCAGCTCGAGGCTGGAGTTGGAGGCGTCGGAGTCGCTGTGGGCCGGACTGGACGGCCCGTTGCCGGCGATGGCGGCGGCCGCGGCCGCCGACTGCGCCAGCATCTCCTCGTCTTGGGGCATCGTTCTGGGCCAGCCGCTGAAGAGGCTCGTGGTGGTGGGCGAGATCGGCGGCGAGGGCGGCCGGCGCTGCTGCTGGAGCTGCTGCTGGTGCTGGTGGTGCTGGTGCTGCTGCTGGTGCTGCTGGTGCTGCTGCGCGAGCAGCTGGTACGGCAGCCCAGGGCGGTAGGCCGTCCTTGGCATTCTGCCGGGCACGTAAACGATCATCGCGCCGCTGCTCGGTCGTCGAGGGGGAAGGAGGGGCCGGGCGACGGGAGCGCGCGAGAGACGTTCCAGGTCTCTCCGAGCGGCGGGCGGGGGCGCGCGAACGGCTCGAAGGGCGAGGACGAGGTCTGCTGCTGCTGCTGCTGCTGCTGTTTCTCGGCGGGGCACACTCTCGGCACTAAGTCAGAAGCAAGCACTTGGTCCGAGTCCTTATGGTCAGATGTACTTGAAACGGTTGGACTTGAGGATGCGGTAGCTCAGGAATTGCTTGCTGTACTCGATGGGGAACATCACGGGGCCGGTGGCTCGACTTAGCTCGGCAACCAATTCTGGACGGAGCCACCTCGATCGCACTGCCGCTCTCGATTCTCTCCCGCTTCTCTCCCGCTTCTCTCCCGCTTGCCGCCGCGGCGCACTCCGAAACACCCACTTGTCGCTGGCGCGCGCGCGCGCTCACTTCCGCCCTTCCTCGTTGCGCACTACTCTCTCGACGGGGTTGCGGCCGCCGCTAGGAGCGCGCGCTTGCCATGGCGAGGTCGGTCGCGGTGGTTCGGCGAGAGGCAGAGTCGGACTGATCGCGCACTCGGCGGCCAGGCCGACTTTTATAAACAGCGCTATCTCGCGTGTGCGCGACAGACCGGCGGAGAGACGGAGCGCGAGCGGCGGCCGCGGAGAGGGGCGCGCGCCGCGCGGCGACGGCCACGATAACAGAGCCGAGGCGATCGCTGGGCGTGATTGCCGTCCGACCGGCGATCGCTGCGCGGCTCTCACGTGCGCGCGCGCGCACTCCGGAATTTTTCCGTCGCTCCGAGCTCGGATTTTTCCGCCTCCGCTCCGCCAGCCGTACGAGAGACGCAGCGCGTCGCCGCAGATAAGGCCGGACTGCTCCACTTTTCGGCCCCTCGCCTCGGACGCGCTGCCTCGTGCGTCCGCTACGGCTGCCGCCGCCGCTCTCTCCTCTCTGGCTCGTCCTTTATCCGGTCCTTGCGCACCTCGCTGCATCCACCGCCGAGCGAGAACCGATGCCCAAAGTTGGCGCTCCCGCGAGCGGCAGCTCAGGGGGGGAGAGAGAGAGAGAGCAGATAAGAGCGCGGCGGTAAACAAGAGGAATTTCGTTTGGGAGTAATTAGCCGGCGTTGTGTGCTCTCGGCGGCGGCGGCGGCGGCGGCGGCGGCGGCGGCGAGGATGATAATAAAAGTCGCGCGCGATAAGCCGGACGCGCACGCATATACGCGTTACCCCCCGGGAAGAGAATCGTGATATTCGCCGAGGCTAGGCGCGCCGGGCGAAGGTGCGCGCGCGCGACGGCAATGAATCTCTATCGACGCCGGCGGAAAAAAAAATTCCCCTCGCGCGCCACGGCTCTTAAAGAGTTCGAGAAGGGAGCGCGCGCGCACAATAACGGAAGCTGTCGGGCGCGCGCGCGGAGGGGGGAAGAAGGTGCAGGAAGGGGCGCGGCGTCTTTGTGCCGCGCAAGAAGCAACAGATGCGCGCTTACGTAAGGAGCGCTGGAATTGCGATAAATCTCCGTGCGGGCGCTTCCAAAGGAGAGCCAATATTTGGCCGCGTGCACGCGCAGATAAAGAGAAAAGGACAAAGATTTTCTTGTTTTCGCGCCGAAATATTCCATTACGACAGCGAGCAGATAATCGTTGGCTGCACGCATGTGTGTACGCTTTTTTTTTTTCCATTTCTTTTTTTCTTTTCTTCTTTTATTTCGTTTTTTCCGGCGCGACGCGAGGTATTAATAAAGACGCTCGCGCGAGGACGGCAGATACACGACGCACAACGGGCCCAGCGGAAAAGTACGGGCCGTGCGTTTTGTTGTTTTAGGCGAGTGTTTACTCGTTTGAATATTATCGAAATCGACTCGGGACTGGCTCGTATCGAGCCATCGGTCCTCTGATTTTGCGCTGGAAAATTGGGAGAGTCGATAAGCTGGCAGGGCGCGCCGCGCCACACGTGGACGCTCACGTGCACTCGACTGCGTACCTGCTCGTCGCATTATCTCTCCTCCGGCGTGTGTGCGCGGATCAGTCTCGCTGGGAGGTCGCGCTCTCTCGGAAATTCCTCCTCGGCGAGATGCGAGCGAGCGAGCGAGAAATAAAAGGAAAAGGGAACAGAAGAAGCGCCTTCGATTTCCTTCTTTCGTGCAAAGGTGTCGCGCGTGGATTTATCAGCTAGCGATATCGCGGCACGCCTCGAGGGGGGCCTCTTCCTCTCTCTCTCTCTCTCTCTCGCAGGGTTTTTACGAGCGACTTTCGATCTTGCCGTATACGACGGCGAGACGCGATAAGCCGCGCCGCGGTAAACAAGCGCCCGACCGTCGGCAGAGGCATGCCAGGAGGAACTTGTTTTCTCTCTCTCTCTCTCTCTCTCTCTCGACGGATCGCCGGCAAAACCTCCGCATTTTTCCGAATTCCGGGCTGCGCCTCTGTCGCGATTGATTTTTCCTATCGGGGAATTAGGCCGATCTTCTCTATCTCTCGAGGCGCGTTTGCGAGCCTTTCGCCAGAAATTGTTTTCGCGCTCGTTTTGCCGGCCCGATATTACATTTACCGGCGAGCATCGCTTTCGTACCCTGGGCGCTGCGCCGGAGGAGACGAGTGACCGCCGCAAGCTCGACTTTCGCTCTCCTCGGAACTGGACCGGGGAGCGAGGATCGCGGCGAACAATGGAAAAAACAGAAGGATGGCCGTCGCGCTGGGAGTTTCTCACGCGTCCCGCGTCTCGAAGCTAATGAAGCTCTCGGTGGGTCTCTCGCAGGGCCGAATCCGCTGGTGGCTTGCACGTGTTGCTCCGCTCGTGTAAAAAAGGAACGAGAGAACGCTTGCCCCGGTCCCTCTCTCCCACATAAATTAGGCAGAGAGGCAAAGGCGTTTACGAGGCTGTTAATTATCGGAATCGCTCCAATTGAGTGTGGGTCCGGTCGCGCGAGAGCGGCCAGATGTCAAGCTGCAGCTCCCACGGAATAAACACGAGAGCGCGCGCGCGCAGTCCCCCGCGAGACCGCGAGACTCGTTTGATGTTTCGCCGCGCGAGAGCAGGTAGGCCGCCGTGCATCCTTCCAAGGCTAGATCGCCGCTAGCGGGGACGCGGTTTCGGATGAAAAACGCGCGGATCCGCGCGAGAGCATTCTCACGCGCGCGCCCCCCCGCAGCCAGCGAGTAATATTAGCTACCGTATCGCAGCGGGAGAGCCGGCTGCGGCCGGCCGCGGGGGGCTGCGCCGAGCGCGCTGCCTTTTTCGAAGGCGCACCCGAGATTTTCGCCGGGATTTTCTGCCGGAGAAGGCGCGGGACCCCGGCTCTGACAAACGATACGCGTCGCCGCCGCCGCCGCGCCGGCCGGACGCTGCTCGTGCTGCAGGCGAGCCGCGCCGTGAAAGAGCACCGACCTCCCACGTCGCTCCTCGTGCGCTCGCGTGTACGTCGTACGTGGGAGGAGTGGAGAGCCCCTCTCTCTCTCTCTCTCTCTATGCACGACGATGACGCGGGTATGCGTATTGCGCTTCCTCAAACGCGGCTGGAGTTGTTTGATTTTCTTTTCACGCACACCTCGATGCCTCCTGCCGTCGCTCCGCCAATGCAGACGATCGGCATCTTCGTTCTCCGTCCGATCCATTTCAGTGGCCGACTGCCAACGGACGTTCCAGGAGTCGCGCACGCAGCGCCGAAATTACGATAGTTACCGATCGGCTGCAGCGACGTTACAGCGCGCGAGTCGATTCGGAGTAGGTACGTAGCGTTCTGGAAGCTCCAAACTCAGTCTGGTCGTTTTTTCGAACCGGCTCGCCGATACACGCTCCTATTCGTAATAAAGATTTCGCAAGCTCCGAATACGCGGAAACGAGAGCGAAAAAATAGATTGGACGAAGCGAAACATGTTTCTTTGAAGCAGCGGATTTGTCTCGTCGGTCGCACTTTTGCATTCGTCAAAAGTCCGGAATTCTAATCACACCTCGGCAGCCGTGCGCAAAAAGGGACAAAGCTGCGCGAGCGAAATTCTCATGGCCTAATAAAATTGCCGTGGGTCGGATCGGCGCAGCAGCGAGCGAGCATCGGCGCGTCCCCTTCCCCGATTCCCGGATCGAGCGTTGCCTCCGGGGTACCGTCGAATCCCCTAATTTCGCGCGAAAAAACCGAGAAAGGGCATCGGGCGCAAAAAGAGCGAGCAGCGAGCGGCGGCGGCGGCGGCAGCGGCAGCCGAGGAGCATTGTGCGAGCGAGCGCAGGCCAGCGACACCTGCGCCCGGTCTGCTTTAAAACAGTTTAGGATACCACACACCAAGCGCGACACCTCCGCTCGAGGGACCACACACGAAGTCGTGCACGGCGCGCCGGTCTCCTTCTCCCCGCCGTCCTTTTTGCGCGCGCAGCCGAGCCGCCGGCAGAGCGCCGATCCACCTTGTCACTCGCGGCCTCCTAATTGTCCGCGCGCCAATTAATTAATATCCCGGGCGCGCTCGGCTACCGCACCGCCGCCGACGTGCCTTTTCGTTTTCTTTTCTCTTTCAAGCGAGAAGAGAGAAAGTGATAGAGAGCTGCCCGCCGATACGGTACATTGTTTCCGTGTAGGCAGTCGTCCGCTTTTTGACGCCGACCTCCGGCTGCGCTCGTTCTCATCGCGGTGGTGGTCCAGAACCTTGTTTTCCGAAAAACCCCCCACAGACGAGGCATTCGTCCCTCCGGGCTGCTGCTGCTGCTGCTGTTGTTGCTGCCGCTGCTGCTGCCGCTGCTGCTACTCTGTTACCCAGAAGAGGGAAATCGGCTTGACGGACGTTCGGCGCGTCCCGCCAAGGACTTTACGCGGAACAAGCAGACTTGTGACTAATCGACCGAGCTGGCTTTTCAACGATCACGATTATTTTTCGACTGGCTGCTGTGTGTCGGACGATTTGCGTGACAACGGCCAAACGACGGCGTTTCGCTTTGTTTTCGCTAACGGACAACGCGCCTGCCTGTCTCCGCGCGTTTGGCGCATCGATTTTTTTACCGATCTCCGGGCTTCGAATAACGTAACCCGTGTGACCCTCCCCCATTCGTAATATTTTAGCGCTTTGCGTCTTTTCGAGCGAAAAATCGACTTTTCTTCCTCCGAGCGGAGAAGAGAAGGAAAGCTATCGCCGAGCAGTTCGCGCAGACGACCAGAGTGGTGCGCGCCGACAGAGCAAACAGCAGGATCGCGCGTCTCGCTCTATTGACTTTGCCAAAATTTCATCGAAATAGCCTTATCGCGAGCGTCTTTTAACCTCTTACGTAAGCACTCCATTGCGGCGGTGACGCGCGTTATCTGGGTTTCCAAGCGACGCAGCCACGCGTCCGTGACGAAAATACAGCGAGACGCGCAATTGCCAGTGTCCCCCAGATCGCCTCGCGCTCTCTCTCTCTCTCTCTCTCTCTCTCTCTGCACGGGGAGCGTTAAAGCTCGATCTGGCGTCCGCGAGGAAAAAAGCGATATTCCCACGTGGGACCATCCCCTGTGCGCGCACGGGCCGAAAATATGCAAATGGCGATTGTTTCTCGGGGTGGGAACCTGTCTCTCCGTCTCGCTCTCTCGCCTAGGCCAGAAACTCCGACTAGGGCTTG